TCGTATCATCAAGGATATCCTGAGCGGACGCTCCATGTGATCACGTGCCAAATATTTTCAGGCTATGATCAAGAATGGACTATCCTCTCAGCAGTGCCGATATCAAAGGAAGATTGAATGGTGTCGGAGGGTTCGTGGGCTGCACGAGTTACGACCTCTTGCCACCCTTGAACAATGGAGACTTTTGTATCGTCAACACCGACAACGTTCTACCGGTGTACGATGCAACGGAAGGCGGACATCATTGGTTGACCGTGTGTCGCGAGCAAAACGTGATCCTGGTTTTCGACAGTTTCGGACGCAGTCTATACACTATGGAGCAAGATTACACTGAACCTGCACTGTGCGATTTCTTTAAAGAAGCCTACGCAGACTGTAAGATCATCACCAACACCCAAGCCGTTCAAGACAGAAGCACAGCAGTATGTGGATGGTATGCCATATTGATGGGAAAGCTATTTTCCAAATATGGTCTGGATGAAGCACTTCGAATTTTCCGAAGAGTCTTTGATGATGACGAAAAGCTGGAAAACGATCAACTGGTTCTCAGTTCAGGTGCCCTGGAAGGTGCTGGAGCCTTTTGGGACAACAAAGTGCAAAAGGCAATTCAGGATGGAAGACGGAAGAAGAAGACAGAACCCGCACAGTTCCATACGAAACTGGCTAACGAATTGCACAAGCCCAGACGAGTGCATTTCAAAAGACGCAAGGTGAAGAGCAGAGCAATTGACCATATATGGAGTGCAGATCTCGTGGATATGCAACGGTTTGCCCGAAGCAATAAGAACATCAAATTCCTGCTAACAGTCATCGACTTATACAGCCGCTATGCCTGGGCAATGCCTTTGAAATCGAAGACGGGTACCGCCGTGAGAGATGCGTTCGATAAGATTGTCAGTACATCCGGAAGGACACCGCTAAAACTCTGGGTAGACGAAGGCAAGGAATTCTACAATGCCCCCATGAAACGATGGTTATCACAACACAACGTCATCATGTACAGCACCCATAACGAGGGTAAAGCGGTGGTGGTCGAGCGCTTCAATAGAACGTTGAAGGCAAGAATGTGGCGTCACTTTACAGAGAAATCCACGAACACGTACCTCAATGTCCTACCTCATCTACTAGACCGCTACAACCAGTCAAAGCATAGAAGCATTGGGATGACACCTCACGAAGCATCGAACGGTAGAATACCAAAAGATGCAGATCAACAAGACCCCCTGCAGTCAAAACCCAAGTTCAAAGTGGGTGACGAGGTGCGCCTAACCGTATCTAAGCGTCATTTCGAGAAGGGCTACACTGCGAACTGGACGGAGGAAGTATTCGAGGTGGATGAAATCCTATCAACATCACCACACACCTACAGGATTCGTGATCTGATGGGAGAACACATCATCGGATCGTTTTACGAAGCAGAACTGCAACACGCCAGAGAGACCGGTTTGAGATTCGACAAGGTGTTAAAATACAACAAGGATCAACGTCTTGTGCAATGGAAAGGCTACACAGATAATAAATTCAATACCTGGCTCACAAAGAAGGATGTGAACAGTCTTCGGTCATGATTCACAATGTCATTCATAATGAAAAATAAAAAATAAATGATTGAGTGCTATGTACAAGCTGATGGCGTTCATGAGAATTATCGCATGAGTATGAGGGGTATACTGCTGGACACTTTCACGAGTGCGTTAGCACGACGAAAAATATAAGGGATACGGTATGTACAGAGTACGAATGGTATAATCCAGTTATCCCATGTACTATTCCAAATAGAGCGCGATCAGCACTAAGACATGTATCGATTATCCCACGAGTACGAGCAAGAGTACATGTACTCTTGGTACGAGGGGTACACCGCTAGATATTTTCATGAGTGCGTCAGCACGATTGAAAATATAATGGGTACGGTATGCACAGAGTACGAATGGTATAATCCATTTATCCCATGTACTATCCCAAATAGAGCGTGATCAGCACTAACATCTCCCTTATTTACTCTGTCGCAAGACCCGGGGAATATTCGTGCTCCGAGCGGGGAATATCGCTCTATTGACAGTTGAGTCCTCTTTCCAAGATTCCTTTTGAATTCCTCTCTACCATCTCTGTGTGAGAAGAGACCACGGAATTCCGTATATGTATAGCATCCACCGATCGTGCAGTTCGCTGTGATGTCATTGCACAGTGTATGTATATTATGTGCATGTGTGTGTGTGTGTGTTTGTGTGGTACGAGGTGATTCGCAATTTTTGGACATGTCGCAATTTTTGGACAAATCAGTTAAATACGGAAGTAGAGTCCTCCTGAGTCGTTGTCCTTTCCTTGGTGGACAAATCTTTGACAAGAGTGTCTTCGTGTGGTCCTCAAGTTTCTTCGTGCCAATTTTTAGCGGTGAAGGCCGTTTCTTTCTGGGCGTTTTCTTCATTATTCTTAGGTAATGTAATGAGTAATTTTGAAAATTTCGATTAAATAATAAATGATTGAGGATTCCGTTGACTCTACGTCGCATAACGGAGAGAATGTCGACATGCGGGATGTTGTATCCCTTCCATCAACTCCAGGGACTACGTCTTCCAGCTCGAATCCGCCTGGAAGAGTCTCCTCGCCTTCTCAACCGGTGCGTTTGTGGAGGGGTTATGGTCAGGAGAAATCTCTTTTAGCAGTGCCAGCGTTCCACTCACCTGGCACCAGTGAACACTTCCTAACCAAGAAGGACGCAGCGGCTAGTTACGGCGCTAGCCCTCCACTCTTTGCGAAATATGAGAAGGAGATGGGCCACACTGGAGTGCTCTCCTCTGTTCTTGAATAAGACGTCCATGAAAACCCTTGAGTGACCCTTTAAATTGTGTGTCACATTGAAAAGCCTTGAAAAGCTTGCTATGAACGGCCTGTCATTAGAACTCATATCAGCCGGTCTCATAGGCATAGCCTTACCCCATTTTCATGTCAAGTTTTACTTGTTCACACCATTGCAGACTGCTGCTAGATATTTAATTTAGTTGTCCAATAATTGCTCGCATTGAAAAAGCAGTAGAAAAAGACACCTTCGATCAGGTCAAGTTGTGGCCGCATGCTTCAACTCTATGCCTTCAGGTGTGCGTGGTGGTGGTAAAGCATAAGTGTGCCAGTAGAAAAGCAAGAAAGAAATTTAATTTATCTTACAAACCAACATAATGGGGTGCTATTTAATTTGAGTGTCCAAAAATAGCAAATGACCTCGTACATGATGCATCCTACAATCCACTGTGACGTCAATGCACACTCCATGATGTGCGCATCCATGGTCCGTGTGCCTTACGTATTTCCACCCCTGAAAATATATGAAAATCAAGTACTATGAGAGTAAGAATTATATGAGCAGAAAGCTAGAAAAATCCTCCGTCTCATCGACCTTTCAATAGAAGAAAGGCATTCACATCTCAATCTGATATCATAGTCGAAAGATTCCAAACCCGAACAAAAAAGACTCACCATGACGGGGGCGTCTTTCCGCTTTCGAAACACATCGTGTTCTCCAAGGTCGTCACCTCCCCGTGGCGTGACCCCTTGGTCTTGTTTGAGACGTCTAGACGTAGCCTTGTTTACAAAGGTCATCGCGGCGTGAACTTTGACCTCGAGGTGAAGTAGTCTCAACCTGCAGTTTCATTATCGACTCCTTCTTGCAGTGTGAAGAAGCTAAAATGGCGTGGACATTTTCTGAGACGTGCAGAGCAGAGAAATGGTATTTATTTTCATGCGATAATGAAGAGTTCTCAATCCGTCGCCTCAGTGCTAGCAAGACAACCAGGGATCTTGACCCGATGATAGCACATCCCAGAAGATTCGATATGTCACCACTCACTGCTGCTGAGTATATTATCTGCAGGGTCACCAGTCTGATCTTGAATGTGAAGAATAGGAAACAGCACCTTCCTAAAATCGTCATCGGTGGTGTGGAGGACTACGGAACTATTAGTGAGACTGATGATGGTGTCATACTGCGAAGGTGGACTGATGGTAGACACTCATTCTACAAGCTTAGTGACATGCGTGACGAACCGTGCTCTCAACACATCATCGACCTCTTCGCTGATGCAACCTATTTGGATTCCAGCGACGTAATGCAACTTGTCAAGGAGGTGAACGAAAAATGAAGTCTCTCGAGTTGATCGTGTGCGTGTACGACGTAGTACCAAGGCCGTTCAACTCCGTGCCGTTGCAACAAGAGTAACGCGGATTCGTGTGCGAGTTGGTACGATCGACATCGGCGACGATGGATTTATCTCCAAATTACCCGAGTCGACTGTTGACACGATGGCGGTGCAAAGGAGGTCGTCGACTGACAGTTCCATTGCTGACTGGGTGGAACCATTGGTGCACATCAGAGCGTCCGACAACTCCACCTCGTACTGCGTGTCACGGAAGAGATCATGGGTGAATCCATCCTCACACGTATTCGAAGAGTAAACTTTGTGGTCTCTCATCCAATACCAGCTTGATGAAATCAGGACAACAAGAACTGAATTGTACTACCTTTCTCCTCCACTCCATTGCGATATTCACTGTTCGTTCCATTATTCTTTGTAATGACATGTATCGTATCTATCAAGAACTGACCTTTCTGACGTGTGTGCGAGCAGGACCATTTTTGAAAAATTGCATGGGGAGGTGGGGTAGGTCACGGAAAAAACTTCATGATAAACACCATATTCAACATTCTACTTTTTATACCCACTCCCATCCGGGGCAAGGTGGCCCAAAAAAGTGAGATTCAAACCCACATGTGCACAACACATATTTTCAATAATACCCCATTTTTTGGGGTCAGGGCACCCCCTGGCACATATTTTTATCCGCAAAAAAACCGGGCCAAAAATAATTTTCACCGCAAAAATGGGGTACTATTAGTACCCCATTTTTCAATAATACCCCATTTTTTGGGACCCGGGCGCCCCCTGGCCCAGAACCCGCTCGTACATTCCTACTCTCATTAGTCAAGCACAAGTACATATACTTACTTTGTCGCCCTTCTTTCCCCGGTTTCCTGTTTCTCCTTTGCTTCCGTTCACACCGAATCCCGCCACTCCTTTTGGACCGGGTGTTCCCTACCAGAAAAGAAGAACCGGCAATGTGACTCATCATGACTTGCACATTCTAACATACACCATCTAACGCTACAGCGAGATTTCAATATAGAAAGAACCCTGCACATAGTGCACACACGACCCCACAAAGTATTGAGTGGCCAACCAGTGCTTGGGATGCCACTCCATGCAAAACACCTCAAATCATGATGGTATACGTTTATGATGTTGCATGACTGTATTGACTCACTTGTCGCCATGTAGGATCAGGTGTGTACTGGCAAAATTGTCTATATCTACTGAGGTACAAGTTGTTAATTGATATTTGATACCAATGAAGAACAGTGCCATTTCAATTGATAGGGCTTACAGCAAACTAGCCAGTTGTCTCCCATATTGCTGTGTACTTCGGCGCCTAGAACACTCTTTCGAGCTGCCCCTACCGGTCCTGATTGGTCACAACAACTAGCTAGCTAACTCAGGCTGTGGCCAAGGGAATATATCTGCCATTAAAACAGTCCACACACGACATAAGACGGAAACTGGCCAGTGGCCACCACATCCAGGTAAATACTTACATCACTTCCAGCGTCACCTGTCTCTCCCTATACACGATCACAGTGCGATGCAACAGACAATACAGACAGAGTCAGTTGATGTACATAATAACGCCATGTGCATTAGAACGTACATCCGGGGCTATGCCGCATGACATCATCCTCACATTGAATCAAAATCAAGTGGATCACAAAAAGGATTGTTCCCAGTGTGGTTATCAAAGTGTGAAGCTGTATCTGGCAATGGCGTGCCTATAAGGTAGAAAGGTTAGGCAAAACTGACTCTCACATGGCCCATGAACGTCTTTAGGGCACAACTTCACAGCTAAACAAAACCGTCATTTTAATTGATTCAGTCTGCCGTGCGACTTCATGCTCGACACGATTTATCAGCATGCCATACAACACACATCATGCACGGTCAGGGTTCTAGCCCTGCCTGGATATCTGGCATGCACGCATGTGTACACAATGCATACATTGACCCGGCATTCCATCGCAAGGCACTGCTGCCCATGTACCTTCACAGATTTGCCAGGTGCGCCTGGGTAGCCAATGGGGCCTTGCACCCCGGGCCGACCTTGTATGCCCCGAGGTCCTTGGTCTCCCTTCACTCCGGTTTCGCCCTGCATTGAGAAGAAGCAATGTTAATGGCAGGCACCAATCAGCAAAGACAGGGAACAGAAGCAATAAACAGTTTCCCCTAGCACTACCAAAAATAGTACTGTAAAAGCAGAAATTTTCGGTATTCTCCAAAATCGGCGGTTCGGTGGAGGGAAATTTTCGGTAAACCCACTTTCCAGGTATTAAAGTGTACTAGTACTATACCGAACTTTTCGGTGCGTTTTATTTTCGGCAAAAAATTCGGCACCAAAGTTACCAAAAATAAAACACCACCGAAAATTTCTGCTTTTACAGTATTTCATGGCCACTACCCATGCCCTCCTCTCTGAGCAATGTGCACATGTGCATAGCCACAAATGTCCTTTTGTTATCCACAGCTACTTGAAGTTCTTTGCCGTTGTTTGTGAGAATTCCATCAGTCGGTTCCAACACAGCTGGACCTTTGTTAACTCCATGTATTTTCCTTCTGAAATATCCGGATGAGCCATGCAGGGTTCCGGATAGCTTAAAACACATCACATGGCATTCGCAATTGTGCATGCTGCAAACCTGCCGCAAGCGACTTCGACCAGTTGGCGAAGGAAACGGACACGAGTTCACAAGGCAGGCCTTTCTAACGTCCAGCATGTTAGTAATTACCATCGCAAGTCCTTGGGGGAACGGTTACCAAGACAACTGAACATCAGTTCAAATATGCACACAAACCACTTTCACAATAATGAATATAGTGGCACATGCATCATTGCACTGCCAGGTATTCGGCTCTCATAGCCGTCCACAATTTTGTCCATGCAGTTGTCGATAAGGAGCTTGACTGTGCGGATATCTCAACTACCGGTCTTGGTGCTGCTAACTAACCTTTTCGCCAGCGTCTCCTCTCTCACCAGCTGGACCTGGAGGGCCCTGCCAAAGCACATAGAAACACACCACGATGCAACTTTTCTACGACTGGATAACCTCTAACATGTCAGTCCAACACCCTACAAAAAACAAAACAGGGTGATCACCGAATTGGTTTTATTGTGACTACAGGTACTAGCACTGAATACATGCCGCAACCTGGAAAGACATTTCGTGAAATACCCAGTGCATGGTGTGAATGTGATAAGCACATTGCTAATCAGAATGTGAGATTTACCTCCTGCACACTTGTCCAAGCACCGTCGTTCGGATGGCCCTGTGCATGTAGCATAACAGCATGTAAGCTTTCGTTTTGTGCACCAAGGATACTCGCGTACTCGCGCCTTGATTGACTTGCGCAAGCATTACATGTATAAAAAAGCATAGTTTTCACATCCGCATTAGTTACTGTACCGGCTACACTCAGGGCGAGTGTAGCACAGTATACCATATGCCACAGTAGCATATGTAGTCCCTAGTGCCGGCGAGGGTGCGAGACACAGTACTGTGACGTAGCAGCACACTAAATTTTGTAAGCAAAGGGAAGTGCCTGTGATGTGTTAGTACATGTACACACTCCCATCACTCAAGTCTTACATTGACAGGGACGTGATCGAAACCGCCCAGTGGCACGTGCCCGCTTGGCGACAACGTCGGTGTCCCGTGTGGTCCAGGGGGGCCTGGAGGCCCGGCTGGTCCTTGTAATCCGGGCGGGCCGGGTGGACCTGGCTTGGATGAGCCATCCAGACCTGGTTGTCCCTGGACAGGATAAGTTGTACATAATATGACAAGGACACGCTCAGCCCGGGACAGATGGATGCATGCCCTACTGCGGCATGACGTTTGCAGTGAAGCAAGAAATCGAAACCGAGTACACTGTACGGTATATACTTCAAGCACAGCATGTTGTAATAGGATGAAAACGCCGGAGCATAGCAGCTAGTCCAGCTGGCTAGCAGGTAGCCGAATGACTAGTCCTTCAATCAACCATGTTGCCACTGACTGCGGTGAGGTGGTTATACGAGCGAAATCGAGTCGGCGGGTTACGTCATTTCCGTGCCTACCCACTGGCTTAGCTGGCTTAACTTGAGGTAGCCGGGCCAGTTTCAGCGGGTTTACGCTACACATGTGACGGTCTGTAGCTACGGAATATCACAGTTGGTGACGGCTGGTTGTTTGATAAACTAATACTGTAAAACAGGTAATGTTTGCGACAATAAATGTTTGCGTTTTACAAATTGAGACTGGTTTGCGCTGTTTAATGTTTGCGATTGAATACATATTGAATACATACTTCTTTGAACTTTACATGGCGCGAGTTTGCGTTGTTCAAAGTTTGCGATTCGGGGCCTCTTGCAAAATTCGCAAACATTTTTACATCGCAATAGTTACCCGTTTTACAGTACCAGCCATACGGACTGAGCACAATGTGCATGTGGTTCCTATCTAGCACTTCAGAGTACTAGTACGTACAACTGGACCTTGTATTCCAGGCTCGCCGTGGTCACCTTTCTCTCCCTGCGCATGTGAGAATACGAACATAACACACAGCCACATCCATGTAAGCATCGGGTCAGGGCCCTGGAAAGAAGAAAAAATAGTAAAAAAAAAAAAACTACAGGAAAATAATGAGCTGGAGAAGTGAATTTGATTTTCTTACCATGATCATTATCTCTGCATATGCACAGACAATAACCATGCCCATTGATAGAAACATCCGGCTCGGTACGGCACCCCCGGCCTCTGATGAACCAGAAACCTAATCCTAGAGGCCCGAGTCAGGGTTGGTGCAACACTCTGCTGTTGCTGATGCTACTCCATAATTAAAATTGTACTTGTATATCCTATGTCTCCAGCGTACCTTGACTACAGGACCTCCTGCTCTGCCATCGAAGTATCCAGGATCATCTCTCTGTATTCAACAGTGCAACAATTCACCAAGTTAACATCATGATGCAGTGGAACCGGCCGCCAAGAACGCATCAAATTGTGCTAGTGAAGTACTACAGTATGACATCAAAGTGCCGCGTCACACTTCATTCGGCATGGTTACCCATCACTATGACAGTATGCCTGTGAGGAGGCGCAGCACAACATTGAGTTCCATATGTGTACAAGCGGAGTGAGCTGCGGAAATCGGCTACGCAGCCGTTTTCAACATCCCAGTGAGCTCACAGCTACACCAGGTGCTTACGTGAAGCTCAGGCTTACCTGTGGCTCTTCGGGAAATGACACTGGAAATATCTGGACACGCACCGACACGAACAAAACAAGAAATCAACCGGGGACACAGCAATACACTCATGCAACGAGAGTTTGCACGATGTGTACAACACTTGCCTGCAACATTCTCCATGGTTGCTATGCCGCATGATGTACATACATGTATGTCCATCGGAGGCAATTTTTCACAGCTAACAGTTATACGTGAGCTGCAGTACTTCAAAGTAATACTCTAATAGCCGCATAGTAATACTCTAATAGTAATACTCTAATAGCCGCATAGTAATACTCTAATAGCCGCATAATCTCCGGACAGCTAGCTGTTTCAACCTTGTTAGGTCTCGTCAGCGGAGCTCAGAGTACCTGGCTGAACTGATCGTAATGAAGTCAAAAGAACAAGAAAGAATCAGAGATACCCGTTTTGTTTCAAAGTAGTGTGTTGATAACTACATGTACATGTAGAAAACCACTCTTACCCTGTTGCATTGCTGCTCCTCGGCAGCGGTGGGTGAACAGTGATAGGTAATGTCCTGGATGGACACTTCCACGCCGCGGTTGCGACTGGACCGCTGCACGGCCACGTAAACATTGCCATCATGCGGGATGGCCAGGGCAGCATGCTCGGCGCGGGCACTGCCGGTCAACTGGCAGTCAACGATCCACTTGATCACACGGCCGTTCACAGATATTACTAGCCTGTGCCAACGTGCATCGAACAGATCAGTAGCATCCACACGTGATACTTGCGTGCTGACGGCCGACTCAAACTGGACGACGAGCTCACTGGTTGTGCCGTGCAGCTCCAGCGTCAGAACGTTACTGTTGGCCGCGTCGGTGACTTTGAGCAGACACCAGTTGCTGGCACGGGCAGCCGGGCTCAGCTTGATGACCGTGCTTATGGAGAATGTCGGCGGAACGTTGCTTGGCGTGGTGAACAGACGTCGCACCGGAGAGCTTGAGGAGGAGTGTGAGCTGAGGCGATACGCCAGCAGAACGCTGTTGCCGTCAAAGTAGAATGTCGTGGTCACGCCCTGCGGAAGTTGACTGATGCCGAGAAGACCGATCAAGTCAAGTGAGCCTGAGCATAGTCATGATAGTGTCATACAAGAGCACGTGTGGAGCGTGGATACAGGGGCATGCAAGCTGGCACATGGACATACGCATGTATACATAAGTGTTCTAGCCAAAGGGGGGGGGTAGGGGGGGGGGGGCGGCGCAGCCCCCCCCCCCCTACTCTGTCTGCGCCCCCCCCCCCCACTCATTCGTCGATTTTTTGTGTTTTTCATGCTATCCAACGAAAATTCAGTCAATATCCACTACTGCCACACACGTACTGGAGGGTCCAAAGAGGCACATATGTCTGGAGTGAAGTCGGGGGTTCGCCCTGTACGTTGTCTTTTGCATGGCAGGACAATTTTGGAAAATGGAAAAATGGGTTACGGTGTAACTGTTTCCCATGCCCCCCCCCCCCCCCCCTACTCATGATTTGACCCGGCTAGAACCCTGTACATGCAATACTATAGCAGCAGGAATGTTGTTTCTGGCTGGTACAAGCCAATACTGGTACTGCGCACTTAGCATATGATTCCATGGTGTACCTTGTACGGCGTTCCCATGCTGCACCGGCACTACCACTAGCGCTATTCTCGGTGAAGGGTACAGTCACAGTCTGCACTATGAAATCTGGTTGTGGATAGTGCGAGTGGGAGAATGCGTTAGCCACTGTGCAACCCCAGACTTGCAAATATCGGGCTGTGCATTGGTGCAGGGTGGTGGCATATTGATGAGATCAGCTTTCATTGAACGCAACTGTGCAATGTAGCCCCGACTCTGCCCATTCCATGCTGCGTTTCGGCCTTGCCTTCTGTTCTCCCCAGTGCACTGAGCCGTTCTGCTTGCATGATTTCCTTACCTGAGTAGGTGCCGGAACTGGAGCGTTCACATTGCCTACCTGCAGCTTCCTGTGCAGTCAATAGACCTGAAATCAAGGGTGAACATACAACCAGAGAATGTGCTCAGCAAGCAGTACAGCATGCCGGGGTTGCAGAGGCATACTGGCACAGTGCGGGCTGCAGAGGCATACTGGCACAGTGCGGGCTGCAGAGGCATACTGGCACAGTGGGGGCTGCAGAGGCATACTGGCACAGTGGGGGCTGCAGAGGCATACTGGCACAGTGGGGGCTGCAGAGGCATACTGGCACAGTGGGGGCTGCAGAGGTATACTGGCGTGACAGACTTATCTGTATCACTCACCTACATAATCTGAGTTGGATCATCACTATACGGATTGAGTGGTACCGAATATGCACGTGTGAATTTGGTACCGCAGTGCTATGTCTCACGGTGATAAAGGTACCATAGAAGCAAGTGTGCATAGCCCTGTACTCATGATTGAGTTAGATCAGACTGTTCAACCAGGTCGGATCAAATTCCTTGGTGACTCTACGCAGAGAACTACTGTCGTGGACATGGAAATCCGGTCAAATGACTTGGGGCCGGCGCCCTCAGTGCGTACAGAACGCTGCATGCAGTGCACGTGTTGGTTGTATGCGTACTCACGGCTGCATGGCCAGCGCCCTGGGCCGCTTGACCTCCGACCGGATTTCCATGTCCACGACAGTACATTGTTTACATAGTCAGTGCTGGACAGATGCTGTGAGGGACAAGTGTGTGGTCCTGCCCACTCGTATCCTCCCGGTTACAGTTGGTCTTGTGGATGATCGATGATCAGGCTGTGGTTGATCACGTTGTTGGGATGCAACATACTCCGACCTCTTGCCTTTTAAAATCACCGAACCCTGAACCTTCAACAGACTCTGTGTGCATGTGTGTGTGTACGTGTGTGGTGTGGTGTGTGTGTGTACGTGTGTACGTGTGTGTACGTGTGTGTACGTGTGTGTACGTGTGTGTGCGTGTGTGTGTGTGTGTGTGTGTGTGTGTGTGTGTGTGTGTGTGAGGTTGGGGCATACGTAGTTGGTTGGCTGGATTACTTGTTGCGTGCCTACAAAAACTACTTACCTACACTGGACAACAGGAGTACTATCAGCCAGCTATGGCTAGCGGTGCGATGTCCAATCCCGTTCCCCATGCTACACGTGGCTAGTGAGCCGGGCACACAGTCTGCCAAGTCAATGATGACCAGAGTCAGAGGGGCAGGAGACCACAGAGTCCTGTTCTCACGCTGCTATCAGCGTGCTCCACGTGCTCCGAAACTTCTGCAAATCTTCTGCCTCCCACCGATGAAATTCTCAAACGCTCTCGAATTGACGGTGCGTTGTGAAATTCGTCGACCTCAGCTGTTATCCATTCGTCATGCCAAGTCGCTTTCAGCCCTGGCCTGGTAAACTCCTAGGCTATGGACATGGCAAAGCTTATCTACCTTACCATACCAATGCTATCCGTCGACGCTCGGCAGAACACTGGTGCAGATCTACGCTCGTAGGTCTACGGACGAGTAGCGAATGAATGGAACGGTACGGGGTACAGGCTGCCGACGTCGACTTCGGTCTACAGCGGTGCTGCGCTTTCCAAGATAGGGAGCAGGATCGGATCCTCTTGGTAGTGTCTTGCATTGTAAATGTAAGCCGAGGCGACCGAACGGGACGCAAACTCCGGCGGCTCTGCTCCGCTTGAAGCGACTCCGGAGCGGGAGCATGATTGACTTCGCCATAGCTCTGCATGCTGCATCGTGATTGACACTGACAGACAGGCTGGTCGAAGAGCTTGTGCGTGGTCTGTCCGTCGGTATTGGTGACCATGTGCTCAACGAGCTGACTATTATAACGTAAAACCAGCACACCGCGCACTGCGCTTGGCTGCTAGGCTTGCGCACAAACTGACAAAGACTTCTTCATAACTAAAAAGGTCCAGCGATCAGCGCCATCGAAGCCAAAGCTAGAGACGAGTGCAGGTTTGCAATGCTACATATTTCTGCAGTCACCAGTCTGCCACCACCAAGCCGACGGCGAAACAGGCATCGTATCTCATTTTTAGCGTGCCAACACCATGCGCTACATGTAGCTGTCGCATGTCTTGTCATGTCCTGAACACTTCACTGGTACATGGTCCATACCGATGTGCAAATTTTACAACTCTGCCACATGACGTGATGTGCACGAGTGACATGACGAAGTCAGAATAATAACACCTTGACGACAGAAGCTGCAGTATTTTGTAACCAGGGAGTCACACACTGTGCATGTGACACAGTACAGACTAGCAAGAGTAGATATCTACTCTTGCTAGCCTGTACTGAGTCTGTGCTCTACAGCTAGCCTAGTACAGTACTGTACAGGTCTCCCGGCCCGATCCCCTTTAGTGGCTTTACTTGTTATCATTCATGGTTATAACTAATAGTAATAGTAATACTTATATTTACGACATCGGTTTGGTTACAAGTCAAGACGAACCTCATTAGCAACTGTACTAGTAGTACTAGTGTAGTAGGCAACAGAACAGGGAGTTACCATGTTACTACTCCCTGGTAGGCAACAATCCAAAACCCCTTGACGAAATACATCAGTCTATTGTAACAGTCCTACTTTCCCGCGGGTCTACAAGTCATAGGTACCGGCTGTACATGTACGTCGAAGTAGGATTTATTTTTATTTTTATTTATTTGAAAAGCAACATAACACCAGGATCGGGGAAAGCTGACAAAGAAAAAAGAGTAAGAAAAGACAGATAAAAAGAGAGCTGAGAGAGAGAGAGTTGGGGTACGGTTAGAGGAGGACGAGACATTGAATGGTACCGTGGTCGCCACAGTCACAGATAGTAGCAGTGCTGGTGAGGCTACAGGCACTCCACTGACCAATACTGGCAATAGGTCTCAGAATCGCCATGCCGGTAACGCACCAAAAGACAAAAACGGAAGAAAATCTAAAGCGCAATACAGTCAATATTAGATTTATCACGACAAACAGTCCGTATTTCAAATTCCAGAACGACAACCTCATGAATCCCGAGTATGATTGCACAACCGTTGCACCACCACCTACTCATGCAGTGACAATGCTGCACTAGCACTAGGCACCGTTCAACTGCGCAACCCCTAACTGGCCTAAGCAGTCAAATATAAGCAGTCAATATAGCCCTAAGGAGTGAAATATGCAGGAATATTTGACTGCTTAGGTATGGCAAAAATCTATGTGAGTCAATACTAAGGGAGTGATAAATAACATTTTTATGTTTAGTAGTACAATAAAGGTAATAGGGAGAGTGGTGACCACGAGAGAACAGTATACCGTTAGTATGGGGTGCTTCAGTGCACATCCCCAAAACCGAGAGGTGTGATCTGGAAAGAATAATGAGACGATCAATTATATGATGGGCTTCAAAGCACGTCCCAAGACCATGGCTGGTCTGAGATGTGTTTGTTGACACCTTTTTTTAGAAGCTGTGAGTGGAGAGTGATTGGCCAGACGGGGAAAGGCGTCCTCGGACCGGGGAGGCTGTTCCACAATTCAAGGAAACAGTACGGGAAGGAACGTCGAAGGTAATCGGGACTGGTATGGTGGGGATATTGACTTTTCGGTTTGCCACGTCTTCGCTTGGCTTTGCCTCTTTATGTATTTTACACACACGTAGTCACGTACACTCCCTTCGAGCTTCCCAAGGAATTACATGTAGTTGGGTGGTGCTTTGTGTTGTTGAGGTGTAGTTGGACCGGTTTGTCCAATGGTCTTACTAGTCTCGTCATCATCCTCAGCAGCGGACCTGTAACATTCGACATTCGGCTTTGTTGCCGTGGGGCATAGTTCGTGCACATCTGGCGCTTCCCTTCCCCTCTTCGGAACTTTCCGCACCTAGTACCTGAGCAGTCCAAGTTGGAACTGAAGGTTGTTAGTTTGCGCTTCGTAGATGACAAAGTAAGATGTGTTGGAGGCTGCTTGGTGTCAAACTGTCACTGAGGTCGTTCCTGTCAGGTGTGTGCCTTATTGTTGCAATATCTGACCGTGTTATTATCTCGTTACCTTGGTGGACTGTTAGTCGTAACTCGCAACATTTTGGTCCTTCCAGGCGCTTGCTCATATTCGATACTAGTAATAATAATTATTAGTCTTGGTTGTTTACTTCAAGACTGAAGTACAAACTTTGAAAGTACGCTTACAAGTGTAGTGGGCGACACCTGGACACAATGTCATTATCTTGCGAGCATAAGATGTACGGCCCAATCAGATTATGAGTCATAAAGTGTCTCATAATCAGGGAGGAAGCGGAAGAGTGTCATCATGCCAACAACTAACTATTACTTACTTCACAGTCTTCAGGAATAAGGTCTATTGAGTTTCATCATCAGAGTCTTCCCTTGGCTTGCGCCGGTGGGTGTGCAGTGGTGTGGGGTACCGGGTGGGGTCATGCCGCTGCCTGTATGTTTGTTGCAGACGTCTTGTGCTGCTGTGCCGTGCACTGTGCATGGGCAGGCTAGAGACCAAGACGGCAAGAGTCACTGAGACGTAGATCTACTACTACTAGACGGGCATCACATGATTCGCGTCTGACGACGTTATGGACAGTTCTGCATGCCCCAGCTATTTTCAAGTGTCACTTACTCTGTCTGTCTTTAGCCTGCAGTTTAGGTCTTTACGACTTCAGTAATAGTAGTTTAGTGTCACTGGCAGTGTCGGTCACTATTGGCCATGTCTTTATGCTACCTTGGCGTGCCTGGCCCGTTATGGTTCGACTTCCAAATGTGGGCCTGTTCGGCCTCCTGAACTCTCTCAACAGTCAGACACGGTCGGTGAATGCGCCTGGCATAGCTAGCTGTACTACCTTTCAGGGCTCCTCAGCTGATAAAGCCCCAACGTTTCGTTGCTGTACTGAGATATCGCTGAGGTGCGAGGAGCTTGCTGTGATTTTGCCGTCTCTCACGTCCCGTGGTGTTGTACAACCGGCACAGCCACCAGATCCAGGCGATCACCGGCATCATGCTGAGGCAAATCATTCTAATCGTGGTCCTGACTGCCGTGTGCAGCTCGGCGACACCTTTCGCTTCCATCGAGGACACTTTGGACGCCTTCAAACACCTGCTGAGCCTACCGCAGCAGTTCTCTAGAGATCTGGAGAGCCCAGAATCTCCGTACGAGTTCAAATGGGACGACTGCAGTAAGTGGTCTGAACGTGCCGTGCATTCTAGAATTCCCCACCATGCATACACCGTTCACAGATTTCTTCGTCAGAATCCACGGAATCTAACTCCGCCCATTCCGAAGTGAAGGCAGAAATTCTAGTTCACCCGCTAGAATTTACGCATTCATCGGACTTTTTTAAGTTTAAGGCTGTGTTTACATGAGGCGTTTCAACCCGGGTTGAGTTCGACCCGGGTCAGATTTCAACCCCCCATGTGCACAAAGTGAATGGCGCGTTTACATGACGCATTGCGCTTGACCCGGGTTGAAATTTCGCCCCGGGTTGATTTCAACCCTCCCCCCAAGGGGAGGGTTGAAACCAACCCGGGTCAAGAAAATCGTACAAACGTACTTCTGTGCGTATCTCGCGCCAGGTTTGAACAGCACTGCACATGCAAATTTCGCGCGAACGGATTCACGTGACCATAGAGGACTGTAGAAGTGGACTTTTGGCGGCATATCAGTATTTGACCCGGGTCAACTGTCTTCATGTAAACGCTCACCTCTTTTGTCTATCGTACAGACTTTCAACCCGGGCTGAACTCGACCCGGGTTGAAATTTCTCATGTAAACACAGCCTTAGTGTAGATTTCACACTTTCTTGACAGCACTCGCGCGTGTCTGCTACATGTCGGACATGCAGAATGCCGGTTATAATTATCAAAACCTGAACAATCTGAACGGTTGATTACTGTATAACACGTTATCTTCGGTATACGTTTCGGTAGAGAAACCAGGCACCTATTAAATTTAGATTCACCTGATGTGAATGGAATGCCGGTGACCTAATTCTACATTTTACACCTGAAACTTGCCAGGTCCCCCAACACCGAAAATTACAATCATGTTGCACAGCATCCGAAATGCCTTCGTGTTTTGAACTGAAGGGAGAAAATGAGTTTTGCTGAATTCACGTTCCACACCCTGCAGAGCATGGTGCGCATGATGTGTGGCAGGTTGCTGTCAAAATGATTATGTGCCCTCTTTTGAATAGTGCCCCATATCTGTGATGGACATTGAAGAAAATAGTGCCCCCGGGGCACTAATCGTGCGAGTACAGTATACGTTAAAATACTATACTTATGTCCCGATCTCAGTTTTAGTGAGAATTTCAATAATAATGCAACCATGAATGTCCTCGGGGGTATTTGTCTTTCGAACATTTCAGCATAGTTCTTTCCTCCCTTTGGTCTTTCAGGTGGTGGCGAGGGAATCGCTCAGCTGAAAAGCTTGTCTATCAGCCCGGATCCTATCCCACTGCCTGGTAACATTACTGCCAGTGCAGCTGTCATCTCATCAGCTTCCATCGCTTCACCAATCAAGGTACAATAATGATGTCCATGCACAGCTGGTGGGAAATGAAATCCAGCCCCTGGCGCCGCACAGCTTAGCAAGGGCATTGTTCTGTGCAGGCATGCCTGCACAAAAGCATGGGCTGGACTTCATTGGCCATCACGTGCAATACTAAAGTTAGTATCAAGAGCACGCAACCAGTGCCGGGCTCCTGGTAAGCTCTGTATGCACTCTTGGTTAGTTTTCCAGCAGCGTTTTCAGGCGGCCCGGAAATCCCCTTGCCGGTGCAGCACAGGCACCAGGACACATAGCTGCAGACTAGGGGATCCCTGTTGAAAACTGTGCCAAAACAGCCTAACCATCACATGCATGCCATCGCTGTATATCCTCGGAGATGAAGCCTGTGCGGATACAGTACCCTGAAGCTGCCACGGTGGTGCTGATCCCTTACTCACCTCCGCAGTGGCCCTGGACCCCTCGACCTGCCAGGGAATACCCCGGACCCTTACTTGGATCCCATCCCATTCTCTCCCCCGGGCCGCCCTACATGCCAGTTGGTACTTCAAGCAATATGCACTGCAGTAATTCCCCATGACACCACCATGAGAGAGAACGGGCTTGATACATGCACTTTATTTGACTTTCAATGCTCTCGCCTTGTGCAGTGGCGGCGAAAGCTATACATGTATAGTGATGCCCATTCTTTAATTATTGCGTGCTGTGATCATTGCACAGGCATCTGTTGAGCTGTACAAGAAGGTTGGTGTTTGGATCAAGATCCCATGTATTGACCAGATTGGCTCATGGTATGTACGGCCTATCGCTGCATGCACACACTTCCTCTTTGTGCTATACATGACTATCTGGAATGTCCATAGTGAACTCCTGCGATGCCGTTCATTGGTGTGTGACAAACACATAACAGTTTTCTATGGCAGCTTGATCCTCGATGGTGGCAGTGTCCCTACGGACGCAGAAAAGTCAGTCGGAGTGACTCTCACACGAGCAGTGTTTCTTTTGAAATGATTTTTGCCCATGCTCGCAGTGCCTGAAAACACCACCTGAACCAACACAGACATCCACGCAGGGGAGGCTAAAACGACATCCAGAGTTCCGGACACGAACCCAGAATTCGAAATGTGCCCATGGGTGACCCAGAATTCAAAATGTGCCCATGGGTCTCTGGCCAAAGTAGAGTAGGATGGCAAACCTCAACCTCCTACTCGGTTGATATGATCACTTGGACAACAGAGTCACCCTTCTATGAAACGTAATCCACAACTAGTACAGTGCAATATGCGACTGACACCTCCGAGGAATCTTTTCTATCAGTTGAAACTGCAATGACTGAAAATTAATGTACTTGAAAAAAGCCACATTCTAGCCCCTCAACAGTCTCCCGCAGCCTTTGTATTGGTTACAGTAGTGGAGGAAATTCAACACCCGCTGACAGGATGCTACCGCACCGTGACATTCAACTTATTAGCGCATGTTTGTGTCCTGTCGGTCCCTCTGCTGTCCCCTGGCAGTGACTACGATGACCTGTGCACATTCCTGCCGTCGGGAGACTGCCCAGAGATCCTGAAGGAGCACAATATCCCTTGCCACTGTCCCTTCGCCGCTGGTAATTACAGCCTGCCATCCACGTCCATCAATATCCAGGTCGGCTCTCTGCCCAGCTGGCTGGCAAATGTAAGTATGATCTCTCTCTCTCTCTCTCTCTCTCTCTCTCTCTCTCTCTCTCTCTCTCTCTCTCTCTCTCTCTCTCTCTCTCTCTCTCTCTCTCTCTCTCTCTCTCCTCTCTCTCTCTTAGAACAAAACTAATGCCATTTCAATTTTCAACTAACGTCACCGGGTACACGAACTGCAATAGTACCAAGTAAAACCCAAACTAATGAATACATCAGAGACAGGCTCACTGTACAATGCAATGTCTGTAGTGCTAAAGCGCCTTGCAAGGCTGTCATATTTATGGGGTCAGAGCTTTTACTTACGGTCACCAATGTATGCACAATTAATTACTACATACTTGTACCAAGGAACTACAAGTTACACTATAATATCCACTAACACCACCAGTTACTAAACAATCAGCGATAACATTGCACGACACTGACCGATGGTACTGACGTTCTACAACTAACTGGCTAACAGCTCTAGCACATCTTGGATGCGCACTCCAACAGCCTTCCAACTTGGAAGGTTCCAAGTTATAGAAATGACATAAGGAGTTATCGCATGAGCTGATTGTTTAGTAACTGGTGGTGTTGGTGGACATTATAGTGTAACTTGTAGTTCTTGGTCCTTTTTACTTTTTATAAATTAATCCTTGGCTCTCCATCCGAGTCTAACGTTGACATACTTGTACGTTAGAAATTCTGAACATGTAGTAAAGGTAGATCACGATAAAGTGACATCGAATTCAGAGAAACCGGACTACATGCGGAGCAGGAAGATTGATATTGCTGCTGTGGGCTGCTGTTGGGTACTGTTTATGCACAAACGTGGCGGCCACGTAGGAAAGGTTGTGAATACTTCAGTACAAGTGCTTGCAGCACTTGTATTCACAACCGTTCCTACGTGGCCGTGTCTGATTTCCACGTGATGAGAAGGCGATGTGAAAGTACACATGGAAATGTTGTGTCGAGAGTGTTCCGTGCGAGGAGCCAAGCGGAAGTTCGTTCTTTTCCTTAGTGTGATCTCTTGCTGCTGTTGTTTTTCTTTACTTGAATGTCCCGGCTCAGGGTGACTATCACGGCAAGGCCCAGCTCACCGACTCTGCCGGCAAAACCATTGCATGCTTGGAGGCATACGTTTCCCTCAAGGTTGCCGGCTAAACAGATTTAGACAACGTTAGGAGAATTCAGCAATCATTCCAGTCACAATCCACCACACTGTCACAGCATTTGACCATGCTTGAGCTGGAATTTTTAGGTGAATAATGGCTTTCGATGATGGGTTGAATTTGGATTTCAATTGATACTTCACATTTCACTGTTCCCTTTTGGATGTCTTCAGAGCGATGATCGAAGTTAAATAGAATAAATATAAATAGAATAGTCTAGTTCAACTCCTTTAAACTTACTATGTGTAATGACTAAAACACTAGTACAAGTGGAACTCTTCACTCTCCACAAGTAGTCAAATAACTTTCAATTCTTTACTCCTGCTGCTACTACTGTCACTGCTGTTCATCAAATTAAATTTTTAAAGAACCTTCGCAGGACACCAAATGGTGGCACCAAGCCCAGGTTTCAACCCTGTGCATGTGCAGGGTTTTGTAATCCAACTACAGTTACGCTCACTGAAATCCGACCCAACGTGCAAAGCTGGCGCCCTCAGCTTCCACGGCCCTTGACGCCCTGGAAGTGGAATGAATTCAGCTGGACGTACACATGTACGCATACAATGATGTAATCGGAACTGGTCCAGGGCGTCAGCTTTGTACTTTGGGTCGGATTTCAGTGAGCACAACTGTACATGTAGCACACAACAACAGTACAGTGATGGGCGATCAACGCCGTTGATCGAGTCATTGCCACAGTCCCGGCATGCATGTGAGCGCATGGGTGAAACACCATTATAAAAATAAGAATACCAAAAGAGTGCATAACCAAGTGTATGTAACTTGGCGATGCCTCGGCCCATGGCGGAAGGTTTCATGGCATCATTCTGGTGCAGGAGTTTGGCCCCCTGATGCCACACTGCATAGCCAGAGGTCAAAAGTGCAAAGAACTTGTACATGTGCATCACAGCTCAGGTCGTTGAAGCAGAAAGCATATTATAGTAGACCCATGCACTCTGAACCTGATACACTGACACTGCATTGCACATAACAAGTGCTAAGCGCAGAAAGCCCTACATGTACATCATACACTCAATGCAATGAAAAAATCCCGCCGTGGGTGGGGATATGAGATGCATACTCTTGGCTATGTACTCCAGACAGCACCGTTTATTCAAGACTTCACCTACCCGAGGCAATGTACACTGAAACAGGTCGAGATGTCCAGGATCTCGCACCATACGATTAAATGTACAATTTCATGTACATACTTTGTGCACATATCCGTGTCCTACCTAACTAGGATTCTATGCGTATGCATCTGGACACTCTCGCGATTCCCGTCTCTGTACTGCCTTCTTTGTACCAACGCTTATCCTTGTAGTTTTATTAGTTTCCTTTGTCTTTTGTCCTTGTTCATGCAAGATAACAGAACAACATAACACTTTGAAGTATACATGAAAATTAATGATGGAATGAAGTTGGGGTGAAGTCATGGAGGACTCAGTGCTAAGTGCAATACTTCAGTTTAGAGGTGGGGAGAAGAGGAGGCAAGTTGTGCACATACACACGTACACACACACATGCACACACACACACACAAGGTTCCGAGTCTTTACTGCCCCTTCATTCCATTGTAATTTGTAGCCAGCATCTAATATCAGTTGTTCGTGATATACGCAGATCTCTCTTATCCGGACCTTAAAGTTACAGCCACCTCGGTCTACGGCGTACCCTACGGGTGAGTTTCAGTGGAGATTAGGGAGTCGTAAAATAATTACATGTATATTGGTATTATACGACTCCCTGGTGGAGATATTACTACAATTTCCATTTTGTGGAAATAGCGATGTCCTATGCAAGATCTCTGGCCCTTCTCCATCGAAACGTATGTGGTTCAGAGTTACAGAACGTACCGTAAACTGGCCTGGGTTTCAAGATCCTGGATCAAGCGGAATCCGGTCTAGACCGGACATATTCTCATGCACGGACGGGCTGCCATAGAAAACTCACCACAACAAGCGGAGAAGGCGAACACGGAAAGCGGAACGGATTTCATGCACCACGTCCAGTTTTACCTGTCACAAGTGAACTACTGTATGAACTTTCACCCGCGCGCGCGCGCGCGGAAGCCTTCTGCAGGTCGCGGTACGACCCTAGTTTGCAGCTTGAACTGCATGCATACACATAGAGCGCACACGCATTCATGTATGTGTGTGTGGCATGTGTGTGTGTGTGTCAAGTGTGTGTGTGTGTGCGCCCGTGTGTGTGTGAATATACCTTGTCCATGTACATAAACATAATGGACTTGGTCTCACTAAAGATGACTTCATATGACTTCATGCTAATCATTATTTTGACATGCATATTGTGGGTCGCGCATGCCTCCCGGTATCCGAAGAGGAATCATGTGTCAAAATTGTGTATCAGGATAGATTCGGCTGCACCAGGGCCGTCCGGTAAAGATCGGTTTTACTGTACATGTACCGGTATGATGTATAGTGACTGTACAATGTATAACAAACAAGGCTTTCACGAACCATACCGTATGTATGTAGCCAGTCACCAGTCACTGAGTCAGGCAGACAGTCCCTTGTTGTATTACTATTAGGACTCCCCCGGGCCGGAGGCATACCGATATGGCTCAGCGTGTACAATGTAGATCCACGGCTTGCCGAAGGCAACCACCAAACCGCCATCGGACAGACCATGAACAAAAATCTACTACTACAAGTAACTAGTTGTAGTGCTAGTACTCCCTGATTTCTGGGGCAAATAATTCCATAGATCCATTCGACAGTCACTTTCGCTGATATATGCAGAAGGCCTAAAAAGGGTAGGCGCACCTCCCAAATAGCAACCAGCCTGCTGACATGCGTCATGTAACGTTAGTAACTGGTAACCACCAAGAACGTCTGTCTCCGGGGTAGTCACAACTGCGACATAAGTACTATATCCAACGAAGAGAAGTATGGCACTTTACAAATGAAGGATCATTGACATTGACTTTGTGAATGGCCATATTCGACAAAAATCAGTCAAAATCAGCAAAAAGCAGAGTCCCTGATCTGAGCTGAGTGAGTGATCGTGAGTGTATCTTCGTGAGAAATCATGTGATTTCTTGCGTTGAAAATACGTCATTTTTGCATCGTTTGAAGAAGGAATCCGATAATGCGATACAGTTTATCAGTTATTCCGGGAACAGAGTGCTGGAATAGTGAATGTCTGATTTGAAGTTGCCTTGATTTGCGTTTTGGCTTGGGGGTCGATGGGTCGTCACGCCGTAGGAGGTGGCAATGGCCAGACTCATCTTCCTCTTGCTGGTGATAGTATTTTCAGTACCCAACATCAGTGCCTTGACATGTAAGTGTGCGAATCAAACCACACCCGGACGTGCCTACTCCTTCTGTAATATTGCCAAACCATCGGGCTGCTTGGAATGCCAGGGAGATGTGGAGGCGGAGCGGGCTTACCGACAGTTGGAAGCACTTCTGTCGCGAGTGCTGAACGTGGTCATGCAAGGTCGTGACAAGCACTGCTGCTTGGTGAGTAGTAAATCGTGTGACTATGCGATGTATGTACTCCATAGACAGAAGAGGAACAGAAGAGAAACTTCCCAATTATGTACACGTGTACATGTACGTGTACTGGAACTCAGTGCATGAACAAATTACTGACTCAGCCGCCATGCATTATCCATCTCCACTTCGGAGAACATACACACTAGAAACCACAATGCAGTTACAGAGCTCACACCGAAGTTCATCAAAGTTACTTGATGCCATGTCCTTGTCAATATTGCAAGCCCACTGGTGTAAAATAGCCATGTCGATGTACTACAGGCTGAATCCTGCCAACGCAGGACCTGGGCCATGCTAGATGTTAATCCTATAGGTCTAGGCATTGTGCACAGGCACATGCGACAGGACTGAAGATCTGCTTTATCAAACAGCATCATGTACTATCGGGACTCTACCCGTACAAAGAAACCAAGACTCGGGCTTGCAAGTACTCTGGATCATGTACAGTGTACCTTTCGAACTGCACCAGTGGAATTATTTAGTGCTGTGTCTGTACGGACAATTCGCGCACATCCGCATCCGATCATTGCCATTTATGGCATTCACGTCAGTGTGTGCTAAAGGCTAAAGCAGAGCCTGCATCTAGTACTCAGTAGTAGCCAGCACTGGTGTGCTTGTACAGTGTGCAGTAAGCTACCGGGAAGTGTGCTCTGGTGTGCGTGTACGGCGTGTACAGTGTAGTAAGCCACCAGGAAAGCTCTATAGGAGTCGTAATGTTATCAGATTTTCATCTGGCCAGAAGGTTCCTGTTAGTTTTACGGACTGTGTTTTCTTTCTTTGTTCGCAGAGAACGTACCAGGAATGGGCTTGCGCAGTACGTGTCAAAGCACAGGACAGTGAGAGTACGGATTGTCGGCCGTGCGTGTCACTGTGTCAGCACGTCATCCAGTGTTGCCCGTTCTTCCTTCCTGGTGTCATCCAGGGCTCGAAATATGCTGTGAGTCTTCTGACGACTGTGTCTCTCCTGCCTGCTATTATCGGTCTGCTTAGATACAGTTGTGTCAGCATTCTGTAGTTAACTTAGTGCACACATTTGCACTCCGCACAACTGACTCTGGGTTGCAGGCTTGTCGGGCCGGTAGCTGATGTGGTGTCACGGCTAGTCTGCATACCGGTAATAGGAGCGTCATTGACTGTATAATGACGATACCCCATATACATGTGGATGCTACATGTACTGCATTCAGACATGAAGCATGGTCAGAAAAACGTGAGATTCGTTTACCCCCCCCCCTGCCACTCATCACTGTGTATGATTGTTGTTTTAACCCTGTGTTTACGGGTGTACCTTGCTGTGCACAGGGGTACGATGGCCCACCTGTGCAGCTGGACTTTCGCTATGCTGGCCTGGCAGCATTCAATTGCCCGCGAGAAAGGGAGCTGGCGTTCGCCGGCTCGTCGTATGGTCGGCCGGACGCGTGCTACCTTTACAACAATGCCACAACGTGCTCTAGTGCTGGACAGAGCAGGGGTGTTATCTGTCGGCGTGGTGAGACATGCACTGTAAACACGTGTACATAGCACGTAGCGCACTGTATATCACCACCCGCTCCACTCTGCACTCCCTGCATCGCTGCCTGCACACCCGAAAAAAATGAAAAAGTTTTCGACAACGTGACTGCACCTTGCCTGTGCCCGGGCCGGGGTTTTAGATGTCGGTCGCCATTGCGTTGTTCGCCTTGGATGATCCTCATCCCGGGACTGCACCTGCTCATGTCTTGCCTTTTTATGCTGCTAACCTGCTGTGTTTCATTGCGTCACGCCATTGTTTTTTACTTTGACTCCTGTTGAGGCTTCTTCTTTGTACCCAACACCGTATGGACTATTCTCGTGTTCTTCCCCTCCCGGATCCCCCCCCCCCTGTTTTTATTATTATTTCGTTTTGTTTTGTTTTGAAGTATTTCATGTTTAACCCGAATCTGACATGACAACCCCGTGGCAAATTGACGATGAAGTGTTGTGTATGTGCTATAGTGCGTCTACATGGTACATGCATGTGTTTGTGGGCTTGATGTGCATCTTCGCTCTGCTGGTGTTGAAGAATGTGTTCATTTATTCCATACTGCGGTGTCATCCGCAATGAGGAAGAAGAGGCCACGACGGTGCGAACTCCTTGTGCATGGTGCCTGTAGTACCTTTGTCACGTATGGATAGTGTTCGGTATAATGGGTATTCCACAATCATGATTGTGAAGAGTGCATATGTGGGGGGGGGGGGGGGGGAACCGGAGGGTGCATTGTTCTTCAATATCCAGCCAGCGTCAACATCATGTCACACTGCACTCTCATGCACTACATGCAGTGCTGCTTCCTCTTTTCAATCAGGTAATGGACCGACTTGCCCATCTATCTATTTCTATAATCATGGCCTTCAGGGGCTCAGAACATCAAGATATTACTGCTACCAAGAGTACATAACCCCCCGTACTCTTGCTGCTACTGGTCTGCTGCAACAAGAAACACAATTTGGGTTTTCAATGTACTACAAAAATGTAGTATGTCATGATGTTTAGTGACGATACACGCGCACGCGTGTAGTTTACCGGGTGAAGTGCTGCGAGTCACCGTGTGACATCACAGTGTAGGTTGTACCGCGTTGTTGTGACATGATCCAGCGCCGCAGCAGCGGGTCCAGTACACAGCAGATCTACGTACAAAATGTGTAGATCTACCGCGGGTGTGATCAGTTCAGTTGGGATGATGATGACCCCGTACACCAGGTACACCATGCACCTGTGCCCGTGAAAAGCCAGTGCATGCAGTGATGAAGGCTACATGTACAGCTATGTCAGTATGTGGCTACAGTACTTCGAAATCAAAAGGCAACACACAGATACCGCGCCACTTTTCTTGACAGTTTTTAGTGGTGTGGATAATTTCAAAATGGCGCTACACATTTCTTCTGTCTTCAACGACCAGAGGTGAATTTTGTGATCATTGTGACCCGTTCGTAGCTGTGTTCTGGAGGAGACAGTGAAGTAGTGTATGGTTTAGGGAGTTGTTTGCTCTGTTGAACATGTGGAGTCGAGCATGGAGTTCGACTCGTCCATGAGCGATTTGGACAAACTCAAACAAGTTCAGCAGATTATTCGTATGTACTTAGAGACAAAGGAGAGATTGGAGCAGGAGTTTACTGACACATCCTCAGGAAGCACATATGACGAGGAGTACTCGGATATATTGCGAACAATCAGTGAACATCAGGCACAGGAACGGCTTCTGCTACGAATTCTTCCCAGCAGATGTGGCGCTGCAGCCGTTACTGCATGTGTAGCACCAGTAGATAGGTCAGCAATCTGTGTTCAGACCAATAAGAGGAAGAGTAAAAAGGTCTCAACGCAGCCCAGAGGGCCTCGAGGTCCCGGACCCGGTGCTCAGAGAAAGCGAGCGAAGAGTGTGCCCAGTGCACATAGTGTCCTATCTAGTGATGTGTCTGTAGACTCAGAGAGTGCCAGTCCAGAATCACGTCGTACTGGATGGAAGGACTGGGAAGTTGTTCGTGATGACGTCCACTGGGGACAGCGTATTGGTGCTGGAGCATTTGGAACAGTGTTCAAAGGTTATTGGCATGGAGATGTAGCCATAAAGGTGCTGAACGTGGCAAAACCATCACCATCGCAGATTCTTGCATTCCGTAACGAAATATCCGTGCTCCGCAAGACACGCCACACCAATGTTCTATTTTTCGTCGGCTGCATTGTGGAACCGTCATTGGCAATAATTACACAGTGGTGCGAAGGTTCCTCTTTGTACCAGCACTTGCATGTCAATGAGCTGCAGGACTCTATGCAAGATTTAACGGAAATTGCTAGACAGACGGCGTTAGCGATGGAATACTTGCATGCGCGTCGTATCTTGCACAGAGACCTCAAGTCCAACAATATCTTCCTTTTAGAGGACAAGACCGTTAAAGTAAGTTATTAAAGCCTGCCCGTAGGTGTGCCTATGTGGTTGTGCGAGCCACAGTGTGTTTGTGTGTGTGTCTGCGTGCCCGTGTGTGTGTGTGTGTGTGTGTATTGACATTGGGGAGGGGTGCAACAGCCTGGATTCGAATCTGCTGCTTTGTGTGTGTTTTTAGTTCCTGACACAATGAGTAGGTATGCGGCCTTCTCTGGCGGCTACCGTTTAGCCAAACCTCATTTGTTTCAACATTCGAAATACCTGACGGATAATACGTAGTGCAGTGTTTTGTGTTGTGTTGCAATCCCGTGGAGCAGAGTCATATTGCTGTCTAGCAGCACAGTGTTACACAGTGCTAGGTTTGACTGCATTGTATGCTGGCTGTGTGGCACAGTGGTATACAGTGCTAAACTCGACTGCACTGTATGCTGGCTGTGCGGCAGTCCGCTTTCTGTTCCCACCGCCGGGGCTATCTGGTGCGCAGTTTATCATGTACCGTACTACTATTACTGTACACGTTGCGATTGAGCATCTCTTACATTAGCAGGTGTGTGGAACAAGACCAGGCCAGTCTCGCTAGTACCGGTGTGCCTCATAATCCTCCTTCTTCTGCAGTGTGTGTGTGTGCACGTACATACATTGTTCTGCGTGGCATGCAGCACTACATCTTCTTACAATCTGTACATTTCGATTGTTTTTCTCTGCATTCGTTCAGGTTGGTGACTTTGGACTGGCCACTATTCAAATGTCTTTTGGCGGCGATGGCAAGGGTAAAATCAGCCCAGCCGGCTCCATACTATGGATGGCACCGGAGATCATTCGCATGAAGCCAGCTAATCCCTACTCGTACGCATCTGACGTGTACGCTTTCGGCATTGTCATGTACGAGCTGATGTCGTCCGAGCTGCCCTACACGCAAGTGGGTAGCCGTGATCAGCTGCTGTTCATGATCGGCAATGGCTTGTTGCGTCCGAGCGACGACAAGGCACGCAAGGACACACCGCGAGCATTCAAGCAGCTGTTCCGAGAGTGCGCCTGCTACGACCGCGAGAAGCGACCTCTCTTTCCCTACATTCACGAAACCCTGAAAGCTCTCGGGTCAAACATTCCCAAATTCGAGCGAAGTCGTTCGCTCCCCAACCTAACGGATAACTCCTAGCAACGGATATCTCTTTCAATTTTTTCTTGACTGTCTCATTTTTCATTTGAATAATATCCTTCTGTGGATTCTTTTTTCTCTTGACATATTTTTAACACCCAAGTTGATCACATTTCGAAACTTTGCCTGAGAAAACGACATGGGTTCATTGTATGAAAATTTTATATTTTAGCTGATTTATGATCATACCACACACAAAAAAATATTTTCTGTGTTATAACAGTACCATCGTTTCTCTTCCATATATGGCTGATATCCCCAGACCATGTCATCTTGACAAGTTTTCTATATGTCCATTCTCATAATGATATTCCGAATTTGTTTGTCCTTGACCAGTACAGAATTCTGGCTGATGTTCACATCATTATCTTTGTGCTCAACTCTGTCCCCCGTGTTGTTGAAGTGGCCAATGCTCTGGTATGGTATTCTGGGTGTGCCGTGGTGTCTACTGGTGCGTCTAGCATGTGCATTCTCGATCTCTAAACAGATCTAGCTGTTCCGATAGTGTTAGGTCTCATCATCAGTGGTGCTCAGAGTGACTGGACAAACCCATTGCGATGAAGTATACAACTGAACGACAAAGCATCAACGCAAGGGGACATAACCCCAAGAGGGTGCAACTCTGAGCTATGGATGCCCTGTGCAGCGCGCTGCCTTCAATTATGAAATGAAATGACGATCCGAACTTGAGCTTTCCTACAGTTGAAAACGGTCCGAAGTCTCCGAGGAAAGCGGGTTTTGAAGCAGGAAACCGTAGCATAGTCTTGGGGTTATGCTGTCCCCGGGGAAAATTGCGATTCCGCGGCCGCGTTTTTTGCGATTTTTTAAAAGACCGCGTTTTTTGAACTTTTTTGTTGCACTACATGTACACACAGTGCACTGTTCGGTCAGCAACGTCTCATCGTGGCGGCTTTTTACTCAAATATGACGAGTGCTTACACCAGAGACTTGTAACTGATTGATTTCACTACATACTCACTGAAAATTGCCGCACATCAATATTATTCACCGCATATTTACCGCAAATTCACCGCAAATTATGCCATATTATGCCGCGTTTTTCCCCGCGTTTTTTGCGATTTTTTTCCGCAATTTTCCCTGGGGACAGGTTATGATCAAAGCAAGAGTACATAACCCCCCAGAGTGTGCAACTCCCACATACCCTGTTGTCCCGACAGAATTTCAAGTTGACGTCATTATTTATGACGCAATGCTCCTTGCAGCAGTGATTTACAACATGTGTACGGGTGTCAACGCACCACACGTTTTTCTTTGCAATAATTTGTACAGGATCGATCGGCTTCGGTCAACCACAGGTTCCGGATTCGTCTGATAATCCGTGTACAGTGCGCATTGCATCATCAAAATGACGTCAACTTGAAATTCTGTCGGGACAGCACCCATAGTGGAGTTGCACACTCTGGGGGGTTATGTACTCTTGATCAAAGTCATAGTGCTCTCTGATTCCGAGAAACAAACCGCTAACGAGAAACAGTCCTCAGCCAAGCGGAGGTGTGGGAGCGTAATACTCAACCTATAACATGCGCATTTTTGTAGCAAGCACTTTTGACGGTGATTGACCTGTGCTGTACCAGCATTGAACGCGGTGCTTCTTTTGTTGTTTGGCGTCAAGAGTACATGACCCCCCCCCCCCTTCTCTCTCTCGAAAGATCGTGGCGAGCAATCAAATCCACTGAATTCTACAAAAAGGCTACATTTGTACATTTCAAAACTACCTACAACTAGTACAAGGCAATGCTGTGTGTGCAGATCTACACGTGTGATGGCAAGCGATAAGTAGTGAGTAGCAAACCAGTGCCAACACCTGACTAAAACCAGCCAGCTAAACTGGATTAACAAGCAATTGAATTAAAAATAACATGTGTGTGAGTGCTGAGCTCCAGGCCCTACGGGTAGTGTGTGAGTGCTGAGCTCCAGGCCCTACGGGTACAAGATTGCAAATAAGAAGGTACATGAAGCGGAAACCGGCAGACTTTTTAAAAACAAACCAATTGAAATCAGGTGTTGGTGCAAGTGTGTCAAGGTAGTAATTTAAAAAAGGGTAAAAATCATGAAGAAGCATGGGCAGAGAGAATCGCCTCATCAATTGCATGTACTGGTCAGCCAGTCCTTGATATAGAGTGGCAAAAACTCTCATTCTTTGATGGAAGCGATATCAAAGTTCGTCGGTTCCCAATGGATCCTGCAGGCTAAACGCATCGTATCGTGTGGCAGTATCTCCTCAATATCAAAGTACACGACAATCGGAAATAGCAACCAGCTGCAACGGCTATTGGTATCTGACTGACTGTGGCAGGGCCTTATAGGCAAGGAAGTGGTCACAACGATTCCTACTAAAGAGTTTCCATTTCAAGGCCAAAGCATTTGGTGGCTGAGCGGTGATGTACATCGAGTCAAGGTGACTGTCAGCAGGACACTGTAGAAAGCAAGTATCATGTGAATTTCATGATGTCGGGCAAGATCTTGCGTAGAATGTATCATGTGAATTTCATGATGTCGGGCAAGATCTTGCGTAGAATGTATTATGCGAATTTCATGATGTCGGGCAAGACCTTGCGTAGAATGGATCATGTGTATTTGATTATGTCCTGAAGCATGGTAGTACCCTGGCAGAGATTGGTGGTGGCGACGAGGATTTGCTTACCTGAACAGCGAAATAAGAAGAATGAAGAGGATGGGAAAGGCGTGTTAAAAAGTGTACACCGTGGTGGAAAGTGCCAACTGAATACGAGTCAAATCTACCCGCATAATTTGCTCCGATGATCCAAGCAGTGAGTCCAAGCAGTGGGTGCAAATGGTAGTGCAAGCAGTCTGGAGCATCCAAGCACATCTGACATGAGATCGAGCCAGAGCTTGTGCTCAAGGCTACCATGCTTTAAAAGAGCATAGATGTAGCAATGAGTGTTTGTGAGTAGTTATTCAGACTTGTAGGGAGTACAAGAAAAACGTTTTTTAGTACTCCCTGGTTCAGACAACGACAGAAGGAAACGACAAGCAGAGTAAGTCTCAGCAACATAACCATTGATTCATTGTACCCACCTGTCTGCTGTGCAATGAAGCGAAGTGCATTCACCTCAGAGAAGGTGCAGCCGCCGATGAAGTAGACAACGGTGATACTTCTTCCTACACCTGCTTCTGTAGTACGTACGGACATGCAAGTATGTACACATACCACACATACACATGCCCCACACAGGGCCCACACACCAACGCAGGTACACACACCACATACACATGCCCCACACAGGGCCCACACACCAACGCAGGTACACACACCACATACACATGCCCCACACACCAACGCAGGTGCACACACCACACATACACATGCCCCACACAGGGCCCACACACCAAAGCAGGCACACACACCACATACACATGCCCCACACAGGGCCCACACACCAACGCAGGTGCACACACCACATACACATGCCCCACACAGGGCCCACACACCAACGCAGGTGCACACACCACATACACATGCCCCACACAGGGCCCACACACCAACGCAGGTACACACACCACATACACATGCCCCACACAGGGCCCACACACCAACGCAGGTGCACACACCACATACACATGCCCCACACAGGGCCCACACACCAATGCAGGTGCACACACCACATACACATGCCCCACACAGGGCCCACACACCAACGCAGGTACACACACCACATACACATGCCCCACACAGGGCCCACACACCAACGCAGGTGCACACACCACATACACATGCCCCACACAGGGCCCACACACCAATGCAGGTACACACACACATATGGACATACACACACATACACACACACACACACACACACACACACACACACACACACACACACACACACACACACACACACACACACACACACACACACACACACACACACACACACACACACATGCAAGCACGTGCGCACACAAAACATACACATACGCAAACACACACACACATGCACGCGCGCACACAAAACACACATATACGCAAACACACACACACACATACACACACACACACACACACACACACACATACAATAACGTGCAAGCAGTTAGAATTGCATCACTCGAAACATTTTGTGCTTTGCATCAACTCTCTATTATCCCTTGTCATTGCGCAAGTGAGTCATCACACTTTAGTCATGAGACTTGTGGCCCTGCACAGTGTTGGCCCTGCACAGTGTTGGCCCTGCACAGTGTTGGCCCTGCACAGTGTTGGCCCTGCACAGTGTTGGCCCTGCACAGTGTTGGCCCTGCACAGTGTTGGCCCTGCACAGTGTTGGCCCTGCACAGTGTTGGCCCTGCACAGTGTTGGCCCTGCACAGTGTTGGCCCTGCACAGTGTTGGCCCTGCACAGTGTTGGCCCTGCACAGTGTTGGCCCTGCACAGTGTTGGCCCTGCATAGTGTTGGCCCTGCATAGTGTTGGCCCTGCATAGTGTTGGCCCTGCATAGTGTTGGCCCTGCATAGTGTTGGCCCTGCATAGTGTTGGCCCTGCATAGTGTTGGCCCTGCATAGTGTTGGCCCTGCATAGTGTTGGCCCTGCATAGTGTTGGCCCTGCATAGTGTTGGCCCTGCATAGTGTTGGCCCTGCATAGTGTTGGCCCTGCATAGTGTTGGCCCTGCATAGTGTTGGCCCTGCATAGTGTTGGCCCTGCATAGTGTTGGTCCTGCATAGTGTTGGCCCTGCATAGTGTTGGCCCTGCATAGTGCTAGTGTTGGCTTGCAGTGTTCGTCAATCTACAGTAAAACCTGGTGTAAGCGACCTCTGGGTTTAGCGACCACCTGCTCTTAACGACCAATTTTCCATGCACCGACAGTTCTACACAGATACTGTGGGACCTGGTTCTAAAGACCAACTGGCTTTAACAACCGCTTTTGCTTGCACCGTGGGGTGGTGCTTGCTGTTCCTTGTTGTTCTTCTTTTTACTTCACTCGAGTGTGGTTTGGGTTTGGGGATGTGCCTGTCCCAGAAACAATGATGACAGTGCTGTGGTGGCTTGGAAACTAACTTGTACATTGGGAGAATGTTACCATGGTTACAGGATGGGTCAGTGGATCACAGTAAAGCGGAAGATGAAGAACACGGGCTCACGGGCTCAGCCGTAAGTTTGACCTAGCTATCGTAACCCAGGATGGGCTTGTAAACAATTGCAAAATCCTGTGGAGTCCACGAGAAAGGGCTCGGGAGAGTTGAACTTGTAGCCGCTCTTCGTAAAGCGGGGGATTCGACAAGCACCATGGTACTACTAGTATACCAACTCCAGCTCTTATGGCAGCCTGTCCAGAGGCAGAAGCATCGGACGACATTGCAGCCCTCAAGATTGCGGTTGCCGATCTGCAGAATACCGTCCGAGAGGGTGTCGCATTTGTTTGTGTAGGTGTCACCTCAATAAGAATCTTGATCAATATGACCTCCCTCAAACGTTTCCTTTAGTATGGACAAAAAGACCCACGTTGGCCTACCTAGGCCCGATGCCGGCTGTCAGTGTGGTACCGCCGCCCTCTAAACGCCAGCGTGAAGACACTGCTTTCAATAATGATGATGACGATGATGATGTCGCCCTAATCGACGCCCCAATCAACGCTAAGTCTTCTGCAGCTGCAACCGTCGACTCTGCCGATACTGCCAATCCCTCACCCGATACCTGCCCTGGCGCCCGTCCTCTACCAGATGGTGAGCTAGAGAGGTACGTTACCTGGTCCGTTAATCGTAGATTTACCAGTAGGAAGGTTATATCAGAGCAGTCGGCAAAGAAAGAGAAGTTGCAAAGTCAAATCGATGGAAACTCTTTTCAGGGTCATATCGTTAAGAAGTTTTCCAAGCTATCAGATAAGGCCAGTTGGATTGAGTGCACAGAATATGTGAGTAAGCAAATAGCCGCCTGCACTACCAAGTTGAGTAAAGCGGAAGCTACACTAACTGAAGCTCACACTGATTTCAACACTCTTGCAGAAAGACTTGCATCTGAGAAAGCAACCAGCGTTTTTTTGCCAGTCAACTCATTTACCGTTTCGAATATCTTTCTGGGCTAAGACAAGCTTGCATCATCGCTAAACAATGTCGGACTGATTTAACCTCAGCCAGAAAAGACAAGCCAAAAGAAAAGATGGATGTACAAGCACTGCCTCCAACCTCAGAAGAGATCGGCGCTCTTATTAAAAAAGAAGTCACTAGGCAAGTCACTTCCCAGCAGCAGCAGCAGCGACAGCAACCGAAAAAACAGCAACAGCAGCAGCAGCAGTCTAAGATTATTCGAAAAAACAGCTCTGCAAAGCCCGCTCAGCAAAAGAAGAAGAAGAAGACGGCGAAAAACGTTAGAGTGAAATTGTCCCATGGCAGAAGAAAAGTCAGAAATCATTCTTAGACTTACGTTTGAAATATATTTGGAATCTCAATCTGAATAGACATTCTACGTACGTTCTAAACTCTGGTTTTCATAATTTTTCTAGTTTCAATTTCACACCCACTGAAAAGCAAGTTCTTGGTTATGGCTCTAACTTTAGACCCTCTACTCACTTGCCAACACAGCAGCAATTATCAAACGATATTTCTGCACTTCAACATAAAGTCAGATGGAATGACCTGTTTAATCGTATTAGGACTACAGTGCCTAGTGCCTACCAAACTATGTATTCCACATTTTCACCTCCCTTCAGAGAAGGTTCCTCCTACCGCTTTACCTCATGCTGAATTTGCTCTACTTGATTTCCGGTCAAGATTAGAATCTAGCATCCATGCAGCTCAGATTACAACTTATACAAGCAAACGAAAACATTCTCCAGTATCTTCAGATAACCAAGCACTGCATGATTCTCTACACCGTGACCTCTCAGACATTTGTAAAGTACACTCTGCCTTACTTTCCGAACGTGATGTCACTGCATTATTTAGCTCTTTTCCTTTTAGACCAGCTAAATTCTATATGCTTCCGAAAATTCACAAAAAAAACTTGTTGATGGCTTAGTACCGGGTAGACCAATTGTCTCCTGCATTGGATACTGCACCTCCCCGTCTTCTAGATTTGTAGATGTTCACCTTAAAAACATCATTTATGAAACTGCCAACACTGTACTTGCAGACACAGATAGTCTAACTTCTAAACTTGCTGTACATGTAATGTATAATGAGACTTCGGATAAGGACACTTGGCGAATAAGGACACTTTTCTGATGCCCCACCGAGTGTCGTTATACGCAAAGTCGACTGTAGTAGTCCAGCACTGCTGGGACAACAACGTCACAGTCACAGTCACCGACGGCACTCTATTCCAATCTCAGAAAGCTTTCGGCACTTGCTGCGCGCGCCTCACAATTGGAGACAACTGCATTGTCACTGGCTTGGTTTTTGGCCATCACTATTCAGGAATAGTGTTGTAGTGACGAGTCTACAAGCTGGCGATGACGAGTCTACAAGCTGGTGATGATGAGCCAACAAGCTGGTGATGACGAAGGAATTATTAAATGGCCAAGTCAGTGCTGCTGAATTCGTTGTGCAAAACAGAAACCGATGTCGATATGGCGGACGGCATGGTAGACGGCTTGAGGAGTTTCGTTGGCGAGAGGGTATGTGTGTTGTTGTGAACGTGATGAGTATATGAGTTTTGTATTTTCTGTTCTCCCAACATTTTGTTCTTTATTATTTACTCTCCTCAATGGTAAAGAGGAGCCCGCACAGCGCGTGTGTTCAGTTCGTTTTTTTAATTTGCTCTTCTACGAGGATATCTATAGGCCCCACAGAGCCAGTGGATGTTGTTCTTTTTGTTATTCCTATGATTTGTGCTATCACATTTTAGAATTTTTTGCGTGATCATGAAGTGGTGTGTTGTGTGATTTGAGTTATTTTTTAGAGGTTATCATCTCCCACATGTGTGACAGCGATCGTGGCTGGTGTTCTGGGTGGGTGGACAGAGTTGTTTTATAATCTGCAGTGCAGACAGACGTATTCTATTTCTGGGTGGGACTGGTGTGGTATGATTGAGTGATTGGTGTGATTTTTTCCTCTTTTTCCTCTGTTTTTATTGCTAAGAATCGGGGATGATTCTACTACGGAGAGGGAGTTATGTTGTAGTACGTTATTTTGTGTACGTTGTGTGTATGTGGTGTTGGTGCATGCGCGTGTTGCTGTGGTGTGAAAAGCAGTCTTCGTCTTGAGTTCGTCATGTCTAGTTGTGTTTCTTTGACGTGCCAATAAACAGTCTTCTAAATGTAGATATCTCGTCGTCCATTGTATAAGTGCGTAGATGGCATGGGGCTGGGAGCAGGCGGAGAAAGTACAGATACAGCAATGGTTCTTCAAAGAGACCACGGCTGAAAGGGACCGGGACCACCAATCAAAACACCAGTAACGGCCCTAAACCCTCACGCAGCATCCTTCACCGTCAATGCCCAAGCATTTATAAGATGTCAGAGCACCGCAATGGGAGTTCTGCAACCCACCCATTTCAAAGCAATCCTAATACAGTGCAGAAATCACTAGAGCTAGATGGGTCCCCGCCACCACCCTCCAGTACAATTCACCCACGTGCCGTGGCTGGAGAAAATTACAGTAAAACGACTAATTTTAGCGCTGGTGATATTTTAGCGATTTTAGCGAAAGGAGTGTTTCGCTAAAGTTTTGCAGCGCCAATCGAAATTTTGCATGTACAGTACAGTACTAGTCACCTTTTTGAAACTCTGAAACTCGGATCGCTAAAATATTTATCGCGAATTGATCCGGATTCAGAAAACGCTAAAAAAATTTGCCTGCTCAAACGAGCAGCCGTTCTACAGTATTTGGTTTTTGGTCAACAACAAGAAAACGAAACAAAAACACGTGCCAACAGCAAGCAAGGAGTACAAGCCGGTCAAGCAAACACAGGCATAGGCACAGTCCCAGTACCAAACAGAATCTTGCGTATACAGCCGTCAACGTACGATAACTATGTCAATAAGACTTAGTCAGATAGGATGCTAGTAACTTTAAATAAGTAAACCGAGACACCGAGATAGTCATCGCTCTACGCCATTCATACAGAGTTGCTTACTTCGTTGTGAAGCGACCTGTGATATTGTGAACACGTCTTTTGTCAACAACTGACAGAAGTCTTCAATGCCTTGCCACCCACCGTTCTGCATTGCCTAAGAACAAGAAGAAAAGGCAGCCGGAAACAGGGAACTCGTACACCATTTCAAGAGACTGGGTTGGGCAGAGCTGCCGTAGTCAAACGGAGCAATACGCAAGTGAGGTTTGATGAGCTGTTGCACCAGCTATGTTGGCTTCACTTAAAGGGGAAGTTAAGGCAAAAATTAAAATTTCACCAGTTGTAGTCTTCGGGGTGCTGAGTCGAATGGTCGTGGTCCGAGGAAGCTGAGACGCTCCCTTCTTACTTGAATCCCAATCGAACTCGCGCACTTCCACCGAAACTGGGTGACTGCGCCCTACTAGATGGGGATTTGTATGCAAAATGTCACTAAAAGCGCCGTTTCGTTCTTATAAAAGCACGGATGACCGCGATTGGCCCATATGTTGTAGTCTTTTGGACGCTGAGTCGACTGGTTTTGGTCCGAAAAGGCTGCGATGCAGCGTTCCTCCTTTATTCCCAATCGAACATGGTTGAAGAAGCGGTCACGTGCTCCTGGGTGCCCAAATCACCTGGTCACCACGCCAGCAGGCGACAACTTTCACACCAAGGTTCAACTCGAGTTCAACTCGAGTGACAGGACTGCACCCAAAAAAGGTCAAACAGGCTAGTAAGTTGTACCCTGCAGGCACGGTGACCAGGTGACTGGCGTACGCAGGAGCACGTGACCGCTTGTTCAACCATGTTCGATTGGGAATAAAGGAGGAACGCTGCATCACAGCCTTTTCGGACCAAAACCAGTCGACTCAGCGTCCAAAAGACTACAACATATGGGCCAATCGCGGTCATCCGTGCTTTTATAAGAACGAAACGGCGCTTTTAGTGACATTTTGCATACAAATCCCCATCTAGTAGGGCGCAGTCACCCAGTTTCGGTGGAAGTACGCGAGTTCGATTGGGATTCAAGTAGGAAGGGAGCGTCTCAGCTTCCTCGGACCACGACCATTCGACTCAGCACCCCGAAGACTACAACTGGTGAAATTTTAATTTTTGCCTTAACTTCCCCTTTAAGTTTACTACCCACTAAATACCAGTGAAGTACAGCGCTGCTGAGTGAAATCCGATCGCAAGATACAAGTATGCCCGGGGGGGGGGGGGGGGGCAGCCTTAGACCTAAGAACACTTGGATGTGAAGTGGTGCAGGGGCGCCCACTTGACTAGCATTTCATTGCGTAGGACTGTACTTCTGCAATACTGTGCACCAGCACTGACTGGAAGTTGAACCTTAGTTCACTCACTAACTGTGTATGTGACAAACCTACAGTGCAGAGTAGCCAAAATTCCAGTCGAAATCTCAAGTCCTCCGTACTGGTTAAACAGTATTCAAACTGTACTGTAGCTTATGAAGACTTAGTGGACACGGTGGTCACCGGAGTGCGCATGCTATAAGAAGCCCTGTATCAAGCGGCGTCATAGAAAGAGACCATCTGCATGCAGCGACTGACCGTCTCAGGAAAAGATGACGCGTCGCCACACAATCAGGACCGGACGGAACACTATCTTTGCTAAGCCCCGGTTGTCCGTGCACCCACTGACTTAGCGGTCACCGGAGCAAAGGTTTGACTGTGTATTAGTAAGCACATGCAGTAGACCTCACTTACACGTTTTACAAAATTGGGACAGGTATGCCATAGCAAAATGTATGGAGAAGCAGATCCCAAACCCAGATTTTTGAGATTTAATGTGGATTTTTGATCCTCAATTCGGCCCAAATCGGACTTTCAAAAGCCAGCGGGACTGTTTCGATGAATGGACTGTAGTACTAGTAAACACATACAGTGGAGAGTGGACCTCACCTAGTATGTACTTTGATAAGACATAGTCTCTTGATTAGTACTTGCTTAGGCCTCCAGCCGAGTCTCACGCCAACCGGGATTTCGTTGCTTAGTACAGACATTGTCCGGAGCGCAGGCATATGGATCCAAACTCAATCCCCCAGCACCGTCTCACCCCATGCTAGCCCATGCTAGCCCATGCTAGCCCATGCTAGCCCATGTGCCTGCGGCGAGTTGTGTATCTTGTAAAATTAAAAAAAATTAAAAAAAAGTATGTTGGAATAAGAAGTGCTTCGAACACTTTCCTGCTTCCCATTTGGGTAAGTGTGTGTTCTTGGGTAAGTGTGTGTTCTTGGGTAAGTGTGTGTTCTTGGGTAAGTGTGTGTTCTTGGGTAAGTGTGTGTTCTTGGGTAAGTGTGTGTTCTTGGGTAAGTGTGTGTTCTTGGGTAAGTGTGTGTTCTTGGGTAAGTGTGTGTTCTTGGGTAAGTGTGTGTTCTTGGGTAAGTGTGTGTTCTTGGGTAAGTGTGTGTTCTTGGGTAAGTGTGTGTTCTTGGGTAAGTGTGTGTTCTTGGGTAAGTGTGTGATCTTGGGTAAGTGTGTGTTCTTGGGTAAGTGTGTGTTCTTGGGTAAGTGTGTGTTCTTGGGTAAGTGTGTGTTCTTGGGTAAGTGTGTGTTCTTGGGTAAGTGTGTGTTCTTGATGTTCTACAGTACATGTACTTACATGCTGTGCTAGATGACAGGACAGTGGGCAGTACGCACCACCAAACACGTACGCAGTGTCCGGCGGCTTGCTCAAGTCGTAGCCCTCGCTGTCGCGGGGTATCTGTATGATTCGGTGTTGCGCCCAGGAGCATGTACACCACCATCACAAACCAACAAACAAACACACACACACATATGTCCACACATGTATACACACACACACCCATGCGACAACGTACGGTAAGATCACGGCAATGGACCAAACGAGCACAATGTCGTGAACTGAAGTTCGTAGCACGAGTCGTCGCGGCAGTCACACCGGCCCAGGGTCGGATATCACTTGCCTCAGCTGTATGAGCTGAAAGGGTAAGATTTTGGTAAGTTAAGCGCCTTGCGAGACGACCACTGTATACAACACACAACCAAGCTGAAGATCAACTGCACCATGGGACAGCATCACACAAAACTTAACAGCACAGTTAACGGCCCGAGGCTGCTCACCAGCTTGAGACGTTTGGTTGCCGTTCGGAACACCGGTACTTGTTTCTGGAACAGCAAAAAACAGGCAAAGAACAACAACAGCAACAACAGCAACAACAGGTAACACATGTATTACTATTACGGTGAAAGTAACTACGGGTTAAAGGTGGGCTACAGTACTGCGGGGCGGCGAAGAATGACCAGGGTAGAATTTCATCAAGCACAGCATACCAATGTATACACAATGACTCGACTGTGCATGGACTGTAAGTCCGTAATGCATGAAAATATGAACAGGCAGCATGCAGCACGAGCAGGGCAAGCAGCCGTAGACTATAGTACTGTGGGGCGGCGAAGAACGACCAGGCTAGAATTTCATCAAGCACAGCATACCAATGTATACACGAGGACTCAGCTGTGCATAGACTGTAATGCATGAAAAATAAGAACGGTCTAGGCTAGGAGGCTGACCCCCCCCCCAGTTCTTCGGCGACCGACAGTACTGTACACAAACATGAACACAACATGATCGGTTGAAGGAATAGAAATGCACTTCAAACCATCGACGTCACAACCTCGGAAACTTACTTTAAAAACCATAACCAAGCACACCTCGCTACTGAGCAGATCTAGTTCTCACTGGCTGATTGTAATGAATAGAAAGTGTCTTGCACGAGGTGCAGACGTACGAGGGTCATGCGGGGGTCGTTGGGGTGCAAAGAGTAGGGGCTGTCCAACTGTCCAGCAGGCCTGCGTGGGTGCGTGACTGTCAAAAAACAGTTCTGCGGACTGAGGAGTCGAAATTCAATCCCAGGCACTCTGATGGTGCAGCTTACGTCAGGAGGACTGTGGCCGACGAATGCACCCGCAAAACCGTGAAGGATGGCGGTGGTAATATCATGGGGGTGTGGGATGCCATGGCCAGCGGCAGTGCAGGACGTATTTAGCAGGCGGCGGGTACAAGGAATGCCGACCAGAGCCACGGCATCCTCCAGAGCATGATGCTGCCGAGCATGACACAGCTTGCGGGTGGGGTCTTCACTCTCCATGCACGGTAACGACTCAAGCACACTGCCAAGAGAGCGAAGGAGTGGCTGACGGTGAATGGCAGTCACCATCCTGACATAGTCCGAGTAGTTGCCTTAGCTCAATCTCATTGAGAACCTCTGGAGAATTCTGGGTGATGCGGCCCGATGTACAAATCACCCCCGAGAAACCAGGACGAGCTGTGTAGAGGGTGCCAAGAGGCGTGGAAGTTACAAAAAAAAGCAAAACACAGCACTGGCACACGTGACTCACATCCGACTGTTCCTTCAGCCAGCCCATCTCCTCCAGTCGACTGAGTGTGACGATATGGTCGTAGCCATAGGCCTGTGCAAGGAAGCAAACAAAACCAATGCGCATATCACTTCTTCTATACAGGGTGAATGGCAAGAAAGAAACAGGCAATACTGGAAAGTTGGAAACCATTCGAAGATGGGCCGGGCGGGAGATAGTGGTTCGACACGAGACATTCTCTGAACATTCTTTTCACATGTCCTCAAATGTGAGCTATCATTTCTCTCCTCTCTCTCACCCAAGATACTTTGCAAATGCGGAGCTGTGGACTCAGTGGTATTCCTGCTGGTTCACTTCAACGCGAACATTCAATACACTGGTAATAGCAGGGAACACGCCCAAACTGCGCTCACAGGAGTCCTTATTTCGGAGAATGAGATGTGCGAATTGTACTACCAGAGGACTTTCAAAGGTGCGCTCGATTGCTATGCGTCCTTTAGGACAGGTTGCATTGCAATAGTGTGCAATAGAAGTAGTTTTGAGAAGCGAATTGAGACGTGACCGCAAAACGTCACTACAGCCATACACACGTGCCCAACATGCCAAAACGGGTCACATACCTGGAGAAACTGTGTCTTCAACAACTGATAGGTTTTAGGCTTCAGTCCTACAGATTTCAGCAGCCAGAACACAGGATAAAGTGAGAAGTTGCTGCAGCCAAACATTTAAAACACATCACTCTGCTGGTATGCACCAGCTGTTGTTCAGAGAGACAGTTGTGCATGCTCCGCTGCTGTTCAGAGAGACAGTTGTGCATGCTCAGCTGCTGTTGGGAGAGGCGACTGTGCATACTCTGCGTGCGACAGCAGGAGACAGCAACCTATCCACCAGAGGACGATCAAGCGGCAGTCCAACCTACACTGGACAAGATGCCAGTGCAAAAACAATGCATTGCACCAAGAGTGTGCAAATCTGACTGGTTTGGCCCACAGTGGTATTTCTGTCGATGTCAACTTTTCTGGAGATCATTAGTTATACTGTACTTGGAATGCACTACGAGCCTATGGCCGTGTGAACTTGGCCAGTTTCTCATCTGCTAAATTGCACTACGATGACATTTTTTTAAGCTACAGCAGCGGAAGAAAAAGTTCAATTTTTCGCTTTTGAAAATGGCAAAAACACAAACTCGCAGTGAAAGTCGGTGCCCAGCGCATGCCTTGTGCACGCTTTGTCCGGTACGCGTCATGCGCTCTGAAAGAGTTGACGACAACAAAAACTCTGCCGTAGACCAGACCAGACCCAACTGGGGAGGAGTTGAACACTCCAGTCTGCGTACTCTCGACTGTACAAATGCAAGCAAGCAGAGCACAATTTGTACTCAGATGTTGAGCCAATGTACTCAAGAATAAAATAAAAAAAGACAAAAAAGTTACCTGTTGTCGCACTTGCTGACTGTATATTACCTAGTTACATTGGTGGACAGTTGGTCATAACTCGCAACTTTTTTGTCCGTTGTATTTTATAAAAATGAACAGAGCAAACTACGCAATTCCACTCACCACCGGACGTTAGCGACTGCAAGCACAACAGCCGAAGTGGCGTGGTCACAGACACTTGCCGATTGATCAGCTCCTCTATCAGCTCCAAGCATTCCCTCTCGTCGAGACCCTCCAGTGTGGCTGTGAAAGCAAATTGGCATTCACGGAAATGGAAATACAAAAAAAACACTGCACAGTATACATTTGTCTTTCAAAAGAACTCCATTGTCGCCTTGCCATCGTCGCCTTGCCATCGTCGCCTTGCCATCGTCGCCTTGCCATTGTCGCCTTGCCATCGTCGCCTTGCCATTGTCGCCTTGCCATCGTCGCCTTGCCATTGTCGCAGACCTACTCTGTTCGGTCATGCATAGTTGCGCTCGGTGAAATCCATCCCAAAGTGAAAAACTGACGCCCTAGACTAGTTCCGATTACATCACTGCACTTGTACACGTGTACTTCCAGCCCCGCATTGGTACCCCAGCCAACGAGTTAACGGCAATGCAAGTTAGTTGAGGGCGCCAGATATGCACTTCGGGCCGGATTTCACCGAGCCCTACTCCAGTGGCAGGGGCGTCGGAAGGTAATTTAGTGTGGTACGATCAGCCATCTGAAGTACAATTTACTCGTGGGTGAGGGGTGGCTGAGCCAACATTTTTGGAAAATTAGAGCCCAAATCAGTGCATTTTATTGATTCGCAGGGTACTTGGGTCAAATAGTGGTACGGTCAATACCGTAGTGACCGTACTGTGTGCGACACCCCTGAGCGGGGTGTATACATGCATATTACTCAGCAAGCATATCAGCATATCAGCATACATTTATACATGTACTAGTAGTGCAAGTACAACACGAAGCCGCTAAGCAACAACGTGAAGGGAGGACACAACGGGGGGCACTGAGGATTGGACATTGCCATTGGGACGCTCACCGTGCTCAATCTGCAGCTGCTTTTGCAAGAAGCTGGCGCGCTTCTTCTTGTTGATCACCTCACACGCACCGACATCTGCAGTCATTGACACATGCAGCACACACACACATTACTCAATCCTGATATGGCCACATAACACACTAGCACCAACAATCTCACACTAACACCGGCAGTTGTCTGATGATTGCCTAACGGCATGAAACTCAGAGTTACAACCAGCCTGAACGTCCTCCGCTGAGCTAACGATGGGATTCTTCCTGGTTAAAACTAACGACTTTGTGCCCCATTAGGCCATCATTTTGTATAACTATGTTTCGCGTCAGTTCAACTTCCAGAATCATACGCGAGAGGTGGAAAAAAATAAAAAGTTGCAAAATAATAAAAAAAGGCTCATCAGAAGTGCATAGCACTGTACATAGCACAATACATACATGTAGCACAATACCTTGTGCATGGTGTACATAATCATTCGAAAGAAAAATCCTACATCCAAGCACAAAATCTGGGTTATCAGCATGAGTAAATATTCACTTTGGACAGAGAAGGCAACCGTTGGTGCCCATGCTTCGCTGGATTATTGTACTCAGACTTCAGCAGCGGTGCAAAGAGCTCCGGAACAACGCATCCTCTCAGCTTGAGGCGATCGATGCGGTCTAGTATAAGCTCATAGAATACTGCTTGCAGATGCCGAACAAACGATTTACCAACGCTGGCCCCGAAGCCATTTCTGAATCCAGCTTCGCCGGGCCGTATGCAACCAGTCCACACTGATGACTCGCACTATCGTACACTCACTGTGCGTGTTTGATTTTTTTGATTTTTTCCGAAAAAAAGTCAAAACGTATGCGTGCGGACGACGCGAAACATAGATATAAAAAATGATGGCCTTAGAGATCCAACAGCAACTCGTACAGTACTGAGCCCGTCTACGTGTACTCACGGGTAGCAAGAGAGCGATGCTGTTGCTTCATGCCACTCAGGTCCGTCACAAACGCCTTCATTTCTTGCACCGTCGTCATATCGTGCCGTCGCTGCACACATTGCCACATCAGACGACAAGGCAGCAAGTAAAGTTACCAGCTCGATACAGATAAATAGATGGCAGCTCAGACCCTGTGGGAATGTGAGAGCACTATTCCAATCTAATAGTGTACTGATACGCACTGTACATCCATGCACACACAGATACACACACATTCTTAGTCTAGCCCCAACCAATCATGCTTGTTGAAGCACTGCAGTAGTCAAACCTGTGTGAATTGACCAGTCCATGGTGAAGTCTTCCAACAACACAGGTGGTCTTCAGAGACAGGTAGTCTTTACAGACAGGTGGTTTTCAGAGACAGGTGGTTTTCAGAGACAGGTGGTCTTCAGAGACAGGTGGTCTTTACAGACAGGTCACCTTAAAGTAAAGTTAGGTGGTACTACATAGCTATAGGGTATGGGAATGATGTCATGGCGATGAGTCTGCGGAACCGCTTATGGGCACTATGTATACAGTGCTTTCGATGGCGGACCTCCAGCTCTCTCTAGACCGCCTGCACGAGCGGGGAACCAGGTGGAAGGTGCGGTTCGAGCCCAATAAGTCTCAGCTCATACACTTTACCAGACGAACTGAACCATGGCCAGTTCCTCAAGTTTCCTTTGGTGGCCATCTGCTGGAACCTGATCAAGATGGCAAACTACTCGGCATCACTTTTGATTCCAAGATGCCTTTCCGAACCCACCTACGAAATGTTGCCCTCCAGGCGACCTCGCAACTCGGGTTCATGAAGCGGGCCTCCAGGTACCTGAATACCCGAGGCAGGTTGGCAACATACCGTGGAATTGTGCGGCCTATCATGGAGTTCGGATTTAGCACCGAGCACTTCACATACTTGGCCCAAACGTCCTTCTCGGCGGCGTTGCTGCCACAGCTAGCGCAAACGATTGTGCGCAGCAAGACCTGATGGCGAACATGCGGATGCTCTTTGTGGATTTCAAACAAGAAATTCGCCAAGACCTCAAGACGATCGCAGGAGAACTGGTTCTAGCTCTGGATAAACACCCCACAGCGGCCGAGAAGATCCTCGCGGAGCACGCTATCGACCTCAATCGTCTCAATGCAGAGACACGCAAGCTGATAAGCACTGTAGAGAGACAGCTCCAGAATGTATCGAAAATTGAAGATGGAGCTTGTTCCGCCATTACAGATCTAGAGAAGAAGCTGCATGACGTGACGTCTAGACAACCAGACGCCACCACAAATGCACAACAGGAACAAATGTCAGGTAAAACCGACACCACGAACGTCTCGATCATACGGGATCTGGTTGAAGAGGCAACCGAACAGCGAAGACGTGCTGCTAATATAATCCTAAGCGGGATCAGGGAGAACGCAGGCGAAGACCTGAAACGTACTGTTTCTCACCTGGTGCCGGATTGGGACACCAGAGAGGTCCTCGTGGCAGAGCGCATCACTCCCAGACACCAAACGGAGCAGTCACGCCTGGTGCCCGCCACCCTCACCAGCCAGGGCAAAACCAAACTGATGCGCAACAAGACGAAGGCTAAGCACAATGATGTAAATGTGTACGTGTCACACGACCTGACCAGGGGTGAGCAGGAACGCCGACGTGCTCTGGTACCCCAGTACAAGGCCTTGCATGCTAAAGGTATTATATGCCATCTGCCAAAAGACACAATAACCCAGAAAAAAAAGAGCCTCACCCCCAATGAAACCGAAGGTCTCCTAAAAGACCAAAAGGACATTACCAGAGTACCCCAGTCTCCTACCTCATGCATTGTAAATTTGTAATTGCTCACATTAACATTCTAGCCTTTTAACGAGAGGGCTTGAAAGCCCAGAAGCCCTCACTATGATTGTTTTGTTTTTTACCTAGGTCATCATGTGTGTTATTCAAACTGATAGAAATGTCTTCGCAAGACAAAAACATGTGCCCGATAATCGTATTGCAAAGACGTTCCTAGCAGTTTGAATAAAACACATGATTACCTAGGTAAAAACAAGCATAGCGAGGGCTCCTGGGCTTTCAAGCCCTCTCGTTCCTAATTTTTTAGTTTAAAAAAAGAACTGTAGCTCATAAACACACATAGATACATAACTCAAAACTCTCACTCCCAGACATTTTACCAAGTAGTTATGTTTTATTCCCGTAGCTATGCAGAAGACGTTACTTCAGTAACGTCTGGCGCTAGCCAGGGTCCACACAGCTTTAAATTTGGTGTTTGTTTGTGTGTTTGTTTGTGTGTTTGTGTCACGCCTGGCGCTATCCCGTATCTGTCCCGTACCGTACCGTGCCATCAAACACAGCTGGCCACATACAGCTGGCCGCACTATTCAAACAGGGCTTTCAAACGCAAGATCATAACGTAAAGCAACTTGGAAGAATGAGTATAAATGCGAAGTGTATGGGGGAATGCATGTAGGGCGATAGTGCGGGTTCGAATCCCAGGTAATGCCTGAAAAAAAATAGGAGAATTGAACAATTTATAACATCCCTATTCTTTTTTTGCCGTCATCAAGGCGGTAGATGGTGTCGTATTACCCTCGACCGTACCTGTCCTGTACCTGTCCCGTACCGTACCGTACAATCAAAGACGGCTGGCCACAAAGCATATTCAAATAGGGCTTTCAAATACAAGATCATAACGTGAAGCAACTTGGAAGAATTAGTATGTATGCGAAGTGTACCGGGGGATGCATGCAGGGCGATAGTGCGGGTTCGAATCCCACGTTATGTCTAAAAACAAAAAGTAGAAATTTGTAAGAATTTATAACATCCCTATGCTTTTTTGTCTAGGTCATCAAGGCAAAAAAGCATAGCGTAGGGCCCTGAGCTTCCAAGCTCTCTCGTTACGCTATGGTGCTAGCTTATTACTTTTTCATTTTTCTAATTTTGCAACACATAACATTGGATTCAAACCCGCACTATCGCCCTGCATGCATTCCTCGATACACTTTGCATACATACACATTCTACCAAATTGCTTTGCGTTATGATCTTGCAGTTGAAAGCCCTATTTGAACATGTGGCCAGCTGTCTTTGACGGCACGGTACGGGATATGTACGGGATAGCCAGCCAGGCCTGGCGCGTCACATCATGACGCCCTACGCCTCCCCCCCCCCCCCCCCCCTCCCCTCCACACACACACACAGTGACACAGATATACGAAATAAAGGGCCGTGGACCCTGGCTAGCGCCAGACACTACTAAAGTAACGTCTTTTGCATAGCTTAGGATTACATTGCATTATGTCTGCTCCCTATTAACTTGAGTCGCTAGTGAGTCATGCATTGCTGTGCCACGACTTTGCCAAAGCATCTCACCCAAAGACGTAATCGCATCACCTCTATAGCAGAGGCTGCTCATGAGTCATGACAGATCCGGCTGTACACTTGTTACCAACAGCAAAGAAACTGCATTGTGAGGGAATCAACAAATCTCCACTGTACTTACATCATATCCCGTCTGCAGTTGCTTAGCAAGACCGCTGAGGTGAGAATGTACGGCTGTAAAGTGACGACTGCGAATCTCCGCATACACCTAATCGCAGAAGCAGTAGCGGACGACACACACGCACACACATACGCGCACGTGCACACACGCATGTGCACACATGCATGTGCACACACACACACACACACACATACACACACACACACGCATTTCAACAACACAGATGAACTTCCTGGAATTTTGAATGCAAAACCACGGCCAAACTTCGAAATAACTCTCGCAGTGTAGCATGCGTATGCACTTTGCACAGCAAACGGAAAAATGCAAGGGTTGTGGTTTATCAGTTACAAACTGTGAAACCCTTGACAGAATCCTGGAACCACGCTGGCCAAATTGTCTTTTCGAGTGAACAAAACGCACAGCATCTGAGCAGAATTATCACTTTATGAGGCACAAAAAATCCCAATGCTGTCGAGAAAGTCCCCTGGAAACTTGAAAACACATGTACATGAACTTGTGCTGAAATGCAGTAGAACATACCGAATCTGAAGAGTTGAGCAGGAGCTTGATTTTTTGGTCCTTGCCAGTCACAAGCTTGTCAAATTCAACAAACCCTTTAACGCACACACACACATACACACATAAACACACACACACACATACACACACAAACATAAACACACACACACATGCACACACACACACACACACACACACACCAGACGCATGTGCGCGTGCCAGCATGCACACAAACGAACCCAAGTTCACAACAGAAAAGGTTTTGCAAACATCACTAAAGCGGACACCTCAAAGTAGCACCAGTGGCCACTCCTAGCAAGTGACTACCAGTGTTGTATCATGATGTACTATTGTTTTCCTGTGTGATGACATTCCCCAAACTGTCTTCGTCTAGTCGTGTGCATGTGTGATACGAGCATGCGCGACTTTGTAGTCGAGAGTCCTTTTGTCAGTCTTCTTGTTGGTCTCTTTAAGAGTAGTCTGTTTTTCCGTGATGTCATAGTCCCTGCTTTCCTTCATGTCAGTATAATAATGTAAACAAACTAGTCTTGTCCTTTGTGTCCTGCGTCCCGGGGAACGGAACGGCTGTGATTCCGTTACAACGTGGTGCCGAAACCCGGGACGCAGAGGATGAGTGTGTTTTTTTGTCGTCGTCGTCAACCGGTACTGTAAGCGATCGTGAGAATAAAGATTTGAAAGCGTGAGATCGGAGAAGGAGATCAAGAGAGGAGCTCGTGGGAGCGCAAGACGGAGGAAAGGGAGGCAGAGGAGGTGATGGACCGACAGAAGCTGTGAACTGGGACCGGAGACGGCATGGTACCACGTGGAGCGTGTGGCCGTGTTTCGCCAGAGGAAGTGGATGTGTCTGGCATCGCCGACTGTGTGTCGTCAGTGCTGCTGCAGCCTTCTCGGCCATGTGTCTTCGATGGGGTGCTTCCGAGGTCGTGCGGATGGACAACGGTGTGGAGTTCCGCAACGCTATCGTGGAGTCTCTGTTTCACTTGATGGGTGTCCATGTACGAACCGGACCAGTTCGTCACCCTCAGTCTCAAAGGACAGCAGAGCGGTTCAACCGAATGCTCCTCACCCTCATTCGCAAGACCCTCGAAGAGTCATCGAACCGGCGTGCTGACCTCAACATGCTACTGTTCTATTACCGCAATCATCCGCACGGCTCAACCCACTTGTCACTCATGGTGGCAATGAGCGGATGGCAGCCTCGTTATAATTATCATTTTTGATGACGTCAAGGAGGCGTGCGACATGACCCAGTGGGCATCAGAGTTGTCTTCACGTGTAGCTCGTGTGCGAGACATCGAGACGGAGCTCTCAGCCCAGGATTTCATCGATTCACCGGACGAGCCCAGTGTGTACTCTGTGTGTGATCGTTGACCAGTGAAGTCAAGATCAAGGTCAAGCTTGCTGTCAAGTAACGTTAGTTATAAAGTGATGTCATGGTGATGTCATGGAATTGGCTCAGCTTGTGACAAAGCTGACTAAGAGCCAGCTGTTAGCAACAGCAGCAACAACAGCATCTACGCAGATCATGTTCCAGGAGGACAAGGCCAGCAAGACCAGAGCCATGAAAACCAGGCAGGCTGTCCCCAAAACAGCCCCGGCTGACTCCATGGTTCAGAAAATTGCAATGGCCGGTTATGTAAAAAGAGGCTGTTTGGAATTCAATAAAGTCATTCTATCCTTCCCTCAACAAGTGTTATAGTGCGTTTCAAATGTATAGACCTCTGTAGACTTTTTCGAATAATTCAAATTTGGTTTGAGCTTTTGAGAAATTTCTTCGGTATATTGCTTGGGCAGCTCGCGCAATTTTTCTCACATAAATGTCTACGTGTTTTTGTAAGTGTTTGGATAACAGACGCCCAATTTCGAAAATTCTATGCACAAAGTGATCACAGATTTTAAGTGGGACAGATGCTGGCCTAACAGTTTTTTGAAACCAGAGGTCTGGACTTTTGAAACCTACTATAGTGTTCTTTCAAGTTGTTTGGGAGAGGTCAGTTCAGTGCCAGTGGCCTACAACACATACACCTGCTAAGCTTGGTCAATGGGAGCCACATCACTTTCGTGCATTAAAAATTAGACTGAAGAATAAATACTAGCTTCGAGTTTCAGCTAGTTTCTGTTCTTCAGTCTGGTTACAGTGTTGTCTGGAGAAGTAATAGAAGGCGGCTGCTCCCAGCGCTGAGGCCCGTGCTTCCTGGCCAATGCCTGACACTTGACTGGCTCACGGCTGTCAGTCATTTGGCACAAAGCACAAAGCTCCAGCACTGGGAGCAGCCGCCTTCTTCCATTATCGTCGCCGCCCCGGAATCACAACAGAACAATTCAACATCAAACTAATTTACGAAGGTCTTGCTCCGGGCCATTTCGATATCCATTTTCACTGTTGATATGCGTTACGTTCATGAGCCTCGGTAGTATACTATTCAGTCATCAGAGTAAAGAAGAAGGAAAAGAAGATGGCCTTACCGTTTTTAATTCCGAAGACATCGTCAAGCAGACCTTCGTAGGTTGTAGGTGAGCAGAGAGGTGTCACGCTATCACAACCTACAGCACAGTGTACATTGGCAAACACCACCAAACACAGTCATGTACATGTCACCACAGTACAGTGTACATTGGCAAACACCACCAAACACATGTACATTGGCAAACACCACCAAACACATGTACATGTTACTACAGTGCTACGGTACTCCTACGTACAATGGAAGTACATGTGATACACACAACACTAGTTCACAATGGTGGGAGACGTTGCTTTGTTGTAACTCTGAGTTACATGGCAATTAGAACCAATCATCAGACAACTTCGTGGGTTGAGCACTTTTGCAAGTCAACGGCAACTCAGCTTTGTGTGATGCCTACATAGGTCTTAAGATCTGTGACGACAGTCACAAGACTACACGCAGTGGGTGCTGTAGAATAAACCAAACAGTACAATGCTCAGGGTTTCAACTTTGCCAAACTGTTCTGAAATAGACATACGCAGATAAAATGGATGGAGGAGTAAATGAGTGGAAGGATAGATGGATGAGTGAATGGATGGGTTGATGGATGTGTGGATGGGTGGATGGATGGATGGGTGGATGGATTGGTGGATGGAAGGATGGATGGGCAGATGGTTGGCTGGATGGATGGATGGATGTGTGGATGGGTGGATGGATGGGTGGGCGGATGGATGGATGCATGGGTGCATGGATGGATTGATGAATATCCTTAGCACTCACTTCTGTCAAAGAGGATTAGTTGCTCAATGCGCGGTTCTCCTTCTATGGCAACTGTAGCTCCAGTTTCCTGATCAGCTGACAGCAATTGGAACAAATCTCTCACCATCTGAGGCACATAATAACAATATCCACATCTACAGAATGAAAAACTAATAATATGATAAGGACGGTGGCATAGCTCGGCTATACGTACCGTATACACCAGGGCTGGCCTAATTGCCAAAATCCCATGCACCAGAGCCACAGAACATGGCTGGAGATCTATACACTTTTAGGCAAGTGGGATGGGGGAATGCCGCAAGCTTACCGGTACTTGCCATTTCACTGCTACAAGTCAACCCAACAGTGCAACACAACACTACAGAAGCACCTTCGCACTGAATAAATACTAGTTTCCAACAAAACGAACTTAGTAGCCCGAAGACCCAAGGCGACTGACTGCCTAGCAAGCCTAGCAAGCAACACTCTGACTCACTTACAGCAGAGTATCGTCCGAGACCGTGGATGGTGGGAATGGTGCCGTACAAGGACTGCAGAGTTATCAGAGACTGTGCAACAATGCGTATGCCATGCTGATCACCAGCCTGCAACACACCCACACGGCAAACAACACACAGGCAGGGTAGTTACACACATGCATACAGCTGCAGGCATTCACGGTAGCAGGTTTTACAAGTTCTTGGACCTGCCGCTCATGATCTGAGTACAAGATTACTTGTGCATGAAAGTCTCTATCACTCACAATACAGTGGGTTTCTCCAACTTTCTTGCCAGTCTGATGTGTCGCCAGTTTTCAAGGTCAAATTCCAAGTAAGAGAGAAATAACTTTGGACCCTATCATTTCGCATTCTGTGTGATACACAGTGAGTGAGATGTGGGTGCATAAAAACATACTTCGTTTGAAATAGCTTTCACAGCAGGCCCGGATCAAGCTCGTGAGAGTGGTACGGCCATGGCGTATCCGCCAGAAGAGTGGTGCCGGCCCTGCACGGGCATTCCCGACATGTGTGTGTGTGTGTGTGTGTGTGTGTGTGTGTGTGCGTGTGCGTGTGTGTGTACCCCAACTCCCGGACGCTCCCCGCAACATTGTCTCAGACTCCGTGCCGGGCGGCGGTGTCTACCATTGCTGCTCAGGCGACTCCTCCGCCGCCGCGTGTGCGGCTCGCCCTCTCATGCTGCAAGGCCCACTGTGGGGCCTGTGGTCGGTGCTGCCGCTCTACTCGTGGATTCCAAATCCATAGCTGCCAAAGATGGCTCTCTTGTCGTGCCGATTGAACATGGTCCCTGATCTCTCGGCAGACTGCCGACTTTCTGCCGTCGCTCGTCGTTTCCATGTTGTCGGCCCCGCAAGGGGACACGTGACCGTAATGGCATTGTTTACCAGAACCAGGACCAGGTGTGTGTATGCACTCGCGTACTTGCATGTGTGTATGTGTGCATGTGTGTGTGTGTGTGTGTGTGTGTGTGTGTGTGTGTGTGTGTGTGTGTACGTGTGTGTGTGTGAGAGAGAGCTAGCTCGGTCGGTACGTGCAACTATGCCAGATAGTGGCCGTGTGTATGGCGTACCAGATAGAGGTCAGTAAAGATGGATGGCAGCTCTAGAGATAGCAGATCCTTGTCAAGAGGTAACAGATCCAGTGGCCAGCCCGAGATCTGCACATCTGCAAGCACGGATACATGTGCACACATGTGCACACATGTACACACACACACACACACACACACACGCACACACACACACACACATGTGTACGCTCGCACTCACACACACGTGCACACACACACACACACCATACACATACGTGTGCACACACACACACACACACCCACACACACGCACGCACACATGCATGCACGCACGCGCACGCACACGCACACACACACACACATGTGACACCAATAGACACACATCAAAGCATGAACTTCTAACTCGTACTTCTATAATGTACCTACCAAAAAAAAACAGAATAGTTTTCCCGTTTGTCTCTTTCCCTCAAAACCAGTTAAAGTTTTCTAGGAGATAAAAATACAATCAGACTAGGGATACATAATGGATAGAAGAAGCCTCTGACTCTTTACAAGCAACATTCTAAGTTTCCACAAGTACTTTCATTGCCTTTTCTTCATGTGGACAACAGACAGACGAAGAAAGTAACCGGCACAATAACTTTTAAACAGGGTATAGGTGATATAAGCAGCAGTAGAAGATTAGCGAGAACGAACACAGAAAAAGGAGCAAATTATTGATTTTCATGCACCTACTATAGTAGAATCATGTTAATTTTAAAATGCTACAGCAATGCACTAGTAGTGGACGTGTGAAAAGGTGTGATCAGCGTGGTATGGACTGTGATAACGATAGGTGACAAATGAACTGAACGTATGGCGCGCAGATGTCCTACCTAACAGCCTGAGCGTGAATGAGTTCTGTGCCTGCTTGCATAGGTCTGGTTTTCTGGTGTGAATATAAACCGCCTCCAAACCATTCAGCAACTTAGCACTACACGAGACAGAATTGAAAAGAAACCATCTGAATTAGGAATACCAGTACATTGTACTAGTATAGCAATGGATGGCTCGTACTTTGAGCGTGTGCTTGACACTTCCAATGCTAACTCTGTCGATGGTGGTGATGTTGTTGCAGCTGCTGGTCTTGTCCCTCGTTTATACATATCCAGTGCCAACTCTGCCAATGACTGCAATGCTATTGTCATCGCCGATATAGTCACTCGCTTGAACTAGTTGTTTTTCTGGGACGCCTCCGTTGCTGTTGACAGCAAACCAGAGTGTGCCATTGTCGAATCCGACGGTTTCTTTGCCCACGCTTTCACTTGATGGACAATGCCGATGATGCTCACTCAGCCGATGCCTCAGGCCCTGTGATGCTGCTGGCGACGTTACTTGCCCACTCTTGTTCCGCTGGGTCACATTCAGTGTTGTCCTTGCCTTCGGCAGCTTCTTTGGCGGTCGTCCATGACTCCACTTGACAGACACGCCAATGATGCTTTTTCAGACTTGACTGTTGCCGTTTGCATGCGTGCCAAAGTGTTGCGTTTGTCAGCGCGTTTGATGTGCCCGGTCGATTATTGGGTGGGGTCTGCCTTGTGGTCGGGTCCAGCACGCATGTTCAGGAATGAGGTGAAGTGGTGTGTGTTGTCGGAGGAGTTCATCTAGATATTGATGGATCCTACCTTCATATCCGCTCTCGCATTGTCAACACTCAGAATGTTCAATCACTTGAGATAGGAAGGCTTGTAGGTCGGACCTGCATGTATCTACCTGAAGAGAAGGCCATGACAGTACTCACGGAAAGCTCAGAATGTTGCTTGCAAAGAGCCTGACATTTGCTCTATTCCTTAGTCTGAAAAACAGAAGGAAGGAAATGATTGTCTTACCTCCGAATAGACCGTGTTGCTCCAGCAAAGCACTGCAAGCGTGTGTCTGAGAAATAGTAGAAAATAAAGTGGACCAGTTTGCAGGGGGAAAGCAAGCAAAGCAGGATTCAATACACTGCAACATAAATACAGCATCAACTGGAAAGAACCAACATCCACTATTATTCATAAACACAGCAGCCAAATCCTGCAAACAGCAAATGGACTGTGAACTTGACAATGTGTGAGTGCTTGGCTTTGCCTTGGCATTCATGAGCACTGCACAGCTACTTGGGTGAGTCCATCAGTCTGGTCTAGTTCCAATCTAAAGGACGTTGATTGACACAACGTCAATTCCTCCTTCGCCAAACATCAGCAAACAGCAACCTTACATAGTCCTAGAAGCACACCAGAAACGGAGCTCACCATTTGCGGAACAGCCACCAGGTGGTAATTGCATCTGACCCTCCGTTTACGGTCCTCAAGGATTTGATCTTGTAAGTTGTAGCACAGGCAATCAAGACAAGACAAACAACAAGCATCACTGACTATACACCGGTGGTGAACGGCAACGCTCGCTGTGCACAGGGTATACATCGTACAAGTCAGGCTGGAGAATGAAGTTGAAGGCACCACTGCAGCTGTACTTATGGTTGATAAATATGGTGGTAAAGACACACCTGGCAGGCTGGGTTTACACAAAAGTCAACTACACTGTATACAGCTCCTTATGGAATGGCTCTATCAACACGAAGAGAAGAAAAAAGAACCTATCAAGCGGCACGGCCCGATTCCAGGATAATGTTGTCAGTAGCTGCCTTTTTTCCCCAGCAACATATCCATAATAGATTGCAGTAACTGGACACATGTACACCAGGGTGTGTGCATGCACATCGGAGAGTAGTGGTAGCAAGTCCGCAGACAATCTCACTGATACGCACTGCAGTGAATTTCAGCTGGTGCACATACTTACAGATCATCGACGATATCAACGATGGATACGCTCGCATCAGATACACACGACTGTAAGCCAACACACAACACACAACAGACAACAGACAGCAGGAGAATTTAAAGATGGAAGAGGACGTTCGGAAAAGGCTGCATCATCCAAGCTCAACGAAATACAACTTCAACCTGATCTCACCTTTTCGCAGAGGAGTCCAAGTGTGTGTTCTCCAGCCGATACATCTTACCAATTCCATTTTTCTGCAAGTGGAGTAGGAGCAGCAGTAGCACCAGCAGCGATAGGACACAGAGCAAGATAGGACACAGAGCAAGGTAGGACACAGAGCAAGGTAGGACACAGAGCAAGGTAGGACACAGAGCAAGATAGGACACAGAGCAAGATAGGACACAGAGCAAGATAGGACACAGAGCAAGGTAGGGCACAGAGCAAGATAGGACACAGAGCAAGATAGAGCACAGTCAGAAATCAAGTCGGCCAAAGGCAAGGAGGACAGGTGCTTTGCACTGCAGCGATCGGACGCACCTCAATACTAGTACTTCGAAGTAAAGTAAAACGTGTAACTAAAGAGTAAAGACCGGCACCGTGATTAGCAACCAGACTGCTACTAAAGACCACCGTGATTAGCAACCAGACTGCTACTAAAGACCACCGTGATTAGCAACCAGACTGCTACTAAAGACCACCGTGATTAGCAACCAGACTGCTACTAAAGACCACCGTGATTAGCAACCAGACTGCTACTAAAGACCACCGTGATTAGCAACCAGACTGCTACTAAAGACCACCGTGATTAGTAACCAGACTGCTACTAAAGACCACCGTGATTAGCAACCAGACTGCTACTAAAGACCACCGTGATTAGCAACCAGACTGCTACTAAAGACCACCGTGATTAGCAACCAGACTGCTACTAAAGACCACCGTGATTAGCAACCAGACTGCTACTAAAGACCACCGTGATTAGCAACCAGACTGCTACTAAAGACCACCGTGATTAGCAACCAGACTGCTACTAAAGACCACCGTGATTAGCAACCAGACTGCTACTAAAGACCACCGTGATTAGCAACCAGACTGCCACTAAAGACCACCGTGATTAGCAACCAGACTGCTACTAAAGACCACTTCGCCAGGCACGGACGGTCGCAGATTCATATATTATGGTTGTGCCGTGCAGACCTCTAACTAAGGACCACCTGCCACTAAAGACCGCTTTCTCTGGACCCCAAGGGGTGGTGTCCTTAGTTACAGGTGTTACTGTAGCTCTTGCAATATCACATGCCGCCGTATCAATCACATACTACACATGCCGCCGTATCAATCACATACTACACATGCCGCCGTATCAATCACATACTACACATGCCGCCGTATCAATCACATACTACACATGCCGCCGTATCAATCACATACTACACATGCCGCCGTATCAATCACATACTACACATGCCGCCGTATCAATCACATACTACACATGCCGCCGTATCAATCACATACTACACATGCCGCCGTATCAATCACATACTACACATGCCGCCGTATCAATCACATACTACACATGCCGCCGTATCAATCACATACTACACATGCCGCCGTATCAATCACATACTACACATGCCGCCGTATCAATCACATACTACACATGCCGCCGTATCAATCACATACTACACATGCCGCCGTATCAATCACATACTACACATGCCGCCGTATCAATCACATACTACACATGCCGCCGTATCAATCACATACTACACATGCCGCCGTATCAATCACATACTACACATGCCGCCGTATCAATCACATACTACACATGCCGCCGTATCAATCACATACTACACATGCCGCCGTATCAATCACATACTACACATGCCGCCGTATCAATCACATACTACACATGCCGCCGTATCAATCACATACTACACATGCCGCCGTATCAATCACATACTACACATGCCGCCGTATCAATCACATACTACACATGCCGCCGTATCAATCACATACTACACATGCCGCCGTATCAATCACATACTACACATGCCGCCGTATCAATCACATACTAGTACACATGGTTAGATTGGTGATGAACACAGAAAAGATGTCGAGTAGCAGGCGAGTAACAATACAGTAAAACCTGGTTTAAGCGACCACCCCACGGCGCAAGCAAAAGCGGTCGTTAAAGCCAGGTGGTCTTTAGAACCAGGTCCCACAGTGTCTGTGTAGAACTGTCGGCGCATGGAAAAACGGTCGTTAAGAGCAGGTGGTCGCTAGACCCAGAGGTCGCTTACACCAGGTTTTACTGTACAACAAGTCACTGATCTCACTATCACAAACCTGGAAACACAGTCAGTACATGTATGTATTGCCATCATACTGAGTGACAAGAAAAGCATTACTTTCGTTTCTATCCAGGCTAATCAAGCGCTATCCTCCCTCAACTCTTAGTGGCACAACACTATCATGCACAATGTACGCACAACATGGCCATGGGTGCTGCTAACCTTGAGAAACTGTGCAGTGGTGAAATGATTGAGGATTGTCATCAGATTCGGATCAATGACCAGATCTTTCTCCCCTCGGACCTGAACACATACATACACATCGACACAGACACACACATACACAGACACAGACACACATGCACAGACACACATGCGCACACACACACACACACACACACACACACACACACACACACACACACACACATGTACACACACACACGCTACTGGAAGCTGAAACCGACATGCATGTGCATGCGGGCGGTGTCTCAAAAAAAATTGAACAGCAACAGTGGAACTCGGATAAGATGTACCCCTCCCCCCCCCGGAATGGGAAAACTACTTAGTATCAGAGGTGCTTCTTATCCAAAGCTAGCTGGCTCCTGCGGCCCTGTCAATACGATACATGTGCAGTATGCTGGAATATAATATAATGATATGCTAGAAATTATTTATGGAACTCAGAAAAATACGTGGTTAGTGCCGCCAAACCAGGTTTCCTGAGCTGCAAACAGCCCCCTCCCCACTGGCAGCATACTACAAAGATGTTAAGTACCCGTCAAGCGAACTTGTCATGTGGACAAGTGTAGAAGTATGAAAAACACCAAAATAGTATGTAGTACGCGAGGTTAGTGCTGTTGGGACGGGACCTGCTGAAAAATCCGTCATACACGAGTTGTACGTCTTATCAGAGTATGTCCTATCCGTCCGCATTTGTATATGCGCTAATGGGAGGAAAATCCGTGTCACAGAACAGGACCGTACAAAGCAGATGTAAATCATATCCGGGTACGTACTGAGTGAGTTCCACTGTGCTTTGTCCTATGATGTAACTGTTTTACAATATTGGTCTGGGAATGAGCCATATGCGATTCGTCCGTGGTCTGGTTGTCTTGGTCATGCGTTCTGTACGTATTGGTCCCTGATTGGTCGTCGCGATTTGTCCGGACGTTATTACTGCTTGTTCTTTGTTGTGTCTTCGTGTCTTTTCCCCGTCGTCGTTTTGGTTCATGGCTTGTCTTTCTCCTCCTGCGCCCCTACAAGTTTATTATTGTCAGAACTACTTGTGAGAAGCTAACAGATCTGTGCTTTGTCATGTGGCGGGGCCAGGGGGAGAAGGCAATAACACAAACCTTTCTTGGTTCCACTTGTTTGCAAGATCTGCAATTGTTGCATTGGCAGTTTAATCTTTCGTTCACGGATACCCGTTTCCGTTTGCAAAGATATGGAAGAATGTCTAGTTTTGTCAAGCAGAAAAGCCTTTTGTTGTCAAATTTATAAGGGCTCTTAGGGCCTGGTCAGACTGCGGCAAATTTCTGGTGCCTGACGAAAAAAGGAAATCGTTCAGGATTAAAATCGCAATCACACTACACGTATGGGGAGAATGAAAGTTCAAAATTCATTTCGAGCGTCAAAGTGGAAATCTACCATGGACCCCGGGAGATTCCCTCATCTTAGCATTGCCAGCACCTTCAGTGCAATCCTTGCAATCATTCTTTTGGGTTTTGTTGTTGTCCGTGGCCAATCAGCTCTTCGGTGTCGAGAAGAAAAATGAGTGAATATCAGCGTCAATGGCGTACCAGCATCAAACTCCTGTTCGGAGCGGAAAAGCATGGCCCATTCTTGGGTTTTTTTTTGGAGCATCAAACCTCGATTTTGCCGCTCTGGTGTCCACTTTCTATGGAGACTCAGGTTATAATCACAGGATTATTTCGTTTTTGCCGCAGTCGGACCAGGCCCTAACCAAATAAGCAGGTTCACCATAGCAAGTGTTGAAGGTGGACAAATTCTTATTGGCAAAAATCCTTTCGGGTGTACTGTGCACTCTAAAGCCGCCTCAACCACAAGTCAACACAGGTTTAGGAGCACAAGTAAAAACTGACTTCGAACACCACGATGCTGAATTACCGTAAAATTCCGTTAATAAGCCCCGGGCGTATACGTTGCAGACCGCCAAAAACCGGGCGCATATTTGGGCATGGGCTTATTTTCGGGCATGGGCGTTATTTCGGATGCAATCTGCAGAAGATCAATCTATCAGCAAACCATTAGTTTCAGTGAACCACCATTCACACTGAGCGCGGTACAGGTACATCAAACCACAGCTGGAAATTTGGTCATAACCAAGAATGTAGCAACAAATTACAGATTTGATAGGTAAACCACTTGCTATGGTAAGTACAAGGCACAACACTTTACGCCCTGGGCTTATTTCGGGCATGGGCGCTAAAACGGACTTGAAGTGCACACCGCCTAAAACTGGGCTTATCGGACATGGGCGTTATTTAGGGTGGGCTTATTTACGGAATTTTACGGTATTCACCTTTTACAAAATAAGTCTGCACCAAGCATTTCTTCTGCAGTAAGTATTTCTGCTGATTGTTTAGTAACTGGGGGTGGTAGTGGACATTATTATAGCGTAACTTGTAGTTTCTTGGTCCTATTTATTTTCTATAAATCTGTTGTCTTTGTGCTGTGGTGGCCCCCACTGGCAATGTTCACGTGTTCAATAGTGGTGTACACGTATGAGTGAGTGTGCGGATGTGTGCGCGACGAGTGAGTGCAGGGTGGACAGAGAACGTAACAAATCTTGTAGTTTCTTGGTCCTGTTTTTTTATTTTTTATAAATAAGTACAGTCGTCCCTCTCTAATCCGGCACCTTTTGCTACGGCGTTTTCTGCTGGATTAACGAGGGTGCTGGATTAAGAAATCCTGCCCTCTGACCCGGCCCTACCCAGTTGCATGCATGTATCATATGTACGTCAAAACGCAGGGTTTTTCCGTGTCGATCCAAGTCTTTGGTGCACGGCTTTATATTCTCAATTGTTCTCCGGGAATATACACAGTGATGAAGTGATAAAGTAAAACAGAGAACATGTTCACATGTACTCTTGCACACACACGCACACACACACACACACACACACACACCTGAAAATTGGCAGGACACTACTCCTTGCTAAAATAAGAAAGTATGGTTGACTGCCGTTGTCTCCTGGACAAGCCTAGCCTGGCTTGGCAAGGAGTGCACCTGTACGGTACGCGATTTACGACTGCCGGATTATGAAATTTCGCCGGATTATGAAATCAAACTACGTGCAGTTTGAGCGATTCGTTTCAAAACGTCACTGCCGGAGGCGGAATTCAAGTGCCGGATTAAGATGTAGGAATTGAACGAAAAAAATCGGTTTCGTCAGAAAGTGCGCCGGTTGGCAAGGGTTCCGGATAAACAAGTGCCGGATTAGAGAGGGACGACTGTATTTCATTGAACATTAATTAATAATGCTCTCATTGCTGCTGAGTGCTGTTGGGGCAAGTACCACCTGATCTGAATGGAATGATCTACATCACTGATAATAACAGCAGGGGAATATCAACGCTAAGAGTGGTCACCATCAGGGAAAAGGAAACTACATCCCATACAGCACATGTACACCTGCACCGCGTGCAATGAACTGTGCATTTCCCCACAATTACCTGGTCAAGAATCATGAGCAACTCGCTCCTGTTCACTTCTTTCAGCTGTCCTACGTCGTCCATGATAATAACTCTAATACAAGTAATAGGCTAGGATATTCGTTCTCAGGCGTCCACCCTTTCCTCTCGCAACTCAGCAAAATGGAGACATGACGAGCATAGACACCTCACCAAAGTCGTAAAGAAGGAAAACCTTTATTACTTTACTGTTGCCACTGTACTTTGGGAAGTGAAATAGTCTGGGATTTTGAAAAGACTTCAAAATCAAAAGTAACTAACTTAGTTGACGGTGACATGACGACGATGATGACGTCGACGACAGGGACCTTAATTACGTCACAGGCACAAGCAAGAATCTTTCAAAAAAAGTCTCTTGCTCGGTTGGGGTACGTGTACGTGTACGAGTCGAACTGTTGTAGATTCACGACATCGACACCGACCCGTGGCGTGGGACCAAGCAGCTAATGTTACTTCATGTATTTGTTATAACAAAGAGCACAATCAATGTCATGAACTCTTGTTACTACAAGAACCCATAATAATTAACACTTGCTAGCCTAGTATCAGGCCTTCCTACGCCCAGGATGTAATAATAATTATTATGGACATACGGACACAGAGAGTCCATGGACGTCCGGACATGGTCAAGGATTCTTGAGCATGCCGGAGTACAACACAGTCACACGATTACGGTATGTTCCATTCGAGCGAGCTCATCATTTCAGGATGGTGGAATGGATGTTGATCCAGAGAACCGGAGTGCAATACCATATGAACGGCTTGTGTGCTGGCTGCACAGTCAGGTGACCTCCCAAACACCAATTGTCCAACACGGACAAGAAAGCACCAGCCAAGCAGCAAGTGTGTAGCCATAAAGTGAGTGTAGCAGCAACATGCATACACCACTTCTTCCACACCCTCGACAGCTCCAGTCCCACAAACACCAAAGTTCACATGCACACAGACGTACACGCTCTCAAAAGCAAGCAAAGCACTCTTTTCTCCAATGTTCGTGTCCGAGCAATAAAAACCGTTCTCTATGATGCAATCAGTGTTCAAAATCAAAATCAAAGTAGGATGAGTCAAATGAGTGGATGCGAACGTAACCATCTTCTCCACCACTGCAGTAGCTGTGGGCACAAACACAGACAAGACCAGAACAGAAGAGCGTAGTTAGGAAACTACAAACAGCACAAGGAAAGGAGACATAGCCGGAGTCTCTTCAATCTCTTGGCCGAGCGAAGTGCAGCAGTCTCCCGAAGAGCTACAACCCTGCCCACACCGATCCCCAGACCACGTAAGACCAGCGTGTATGTATGTTACTCAAGGGTAAGAGTCCTTGCACCTGCACAGCGGAACCTAACAAGTACAAAATACTTCAGAGACCAGACATATCTGACATCTGTTGAGAGGTGCTTTGAACTGGGAAATGGCATCCTGCAAGTGCACATGTGGTTAGTTAACCAAGTACCCAAGTACACGTCTCTTTACATAATTCCTGAACTACATCACACACATAGTTGATGCAGATCAGTGAGGGAAATGCGGTAGTTCTTACAAGTGACAAGCGACTTGCTTGGATACTGCTTATATAAAATGGTCGGGACTCTGCCAACCGGGTTATGGTTGTAGTCAGGAGCACTATGCGTCCTCGCCTTGTATTTAAACATGCTGTCAAAATCGAATAACATGTTGGATACTGCTTGTACGTCCTATATCACTAAAATGATGTAATCCAAGAATTAGTGTGTGGCAGCAAGCCATTCGAGGAGCTGCATACTCTTACATCGAGTGTTTTCATGTACTCTTTGATGTAACACAGGTGTGACCAGAAAGCCAGCACCAGGAGCTCCAAGCAATACTCTGATCGCTAATGACATGCATAGCATTCTCCCTGGAAGGTGCACCTACATGCAGAATGCAAATGGTCCATTCTCTAAGGGCACGTTATATGCATCTGATGTACAGTGATCATAGAGAGGAAGATGGAAAGAAGCACTGGAACATACCTCTTGCCGCTGGGATGAAACGCAACAGAGTTGATGGGACCGAAATGTCCCTTGACTCGACCAATCTCCTCTTCGAAGACCATGTGGAAGAACCTGGCATCAAACTTTCCAATGCGAGTACTTGTGGTTGTGACATCCATAGCTTCCTGACCACCACCAAGTACAACCTGCCAGAATAAAAAAGCAAAAAATGAAGAAAAATATAACCGGAGCCAGAAACAGTAGATGGAGATAGGAGAGAGAGAGAGAGAGAGAGAGAGAGAGAGAGAGAGAGAGAGAGAGAGAGAGAGAGAGAGAGAGAGAGAAGAGAGATAGAAAGGGAGAAAGGGAGAAAGAGAGAGAGAGAACAAACTAGACAAACACCCCTGACCGCACCCGCGGATGCTCATGGTCAAAAGCAATGGCAGCGATGCTGCAGAAGAAGCCATTGCAATTACGTGTAGTGTACAGTTGGGATTGCATGTGACGGGAATGGTCTTAGAGACTGCTTCTCCCATTCCCGTTGGCCTTCCAATCACATAATGACTTACACTCTTTCTGCATGCTCTGTATGGTGATCCCCGAATTACTTATTATTATTCATGCATAATGGACAACTATTTCTCTACACACATCCTTATTCTACCTCCCACACCGTACTCTGAACACAGCAGGGAGTCGAATATGACTCCCTGCATTTATTCTGAAATATGAAGCTGGCCACGACGAGGGTTTCCCCTCAGTTCTTGGTTAGTCCAGAAGGAGTGAGTTCGATGTGTTGTGTCGACTGGAGCTGCTAGTAAATTAGTATGCTTACTGTTACATGGTGTCAGAAGTGGGATTCGAACCCACGCCCACATACGTGGACCAGACAGCCGTTTACAATACTGAATAATGGACCGTCACTATCTAGCCGAGTTTACACCACACAGCATTTTTGAAGTGGTTTTCTGCCTAGTGAATCCCTAGTTTTGGTCTTTTCCTCTCTTTTTTTCACCCACCCACGCCACAACACATAATCTGGTATGCACTTGATGTTGGTAACAACCCAGGAGAATGATAGCAAAGTCAGGAGCGGCAACAAAAACAATTGGAAATCGACGGAACGTACCACTGCATCTATGGGACAAACACACACGCGCGCGCGTGCAAGCGTACGGGACAATGGGACTTACATGATGCTTCAAAGACGACAAGGCAGCACTATTGACAGGTCGCTCGGTCTTATATGTTTTCCGGTGCTCCAGTGTGCTGGAATCGAACAACTGCGGAGGCCGAAACACAACCAAGCAAAAGTGAGTAGACAAGTTCAGATCAGTGGCAAAAACAACATGTACAGTCTAAACATCAATGTAAGGGGTTTTAATTCAATTTCACTTTCCCGGCGGATTTTGGAGAAATAGCTCTTGAAATAGGAAGAGTTCGCAGAGAGAATGGGAAGAGAGCGGGTCTGCTCCGAAACCTTTTTTCCCTATGAATGAAGCTGCAGGAAGCCTCACCACTGCTACTATCTCTTGAAAGTCGAAGAAAAGCAAATAACTAAAAAATCTCGAGAATCTATCAAGTGCAAGGTGCCAAACAAACTGTGGCCTTGTCAGACGTGAGTAAGTGCATGACAATGCACATATTTCGTGTAGCCCGCATATTTACACCCACGAACACGGGAATCTTTGAGTGTCGAGCCCCTCCGAAGTTTAAAGAGCTTCAGAAAATGAAGATGATAACAGCTTCCGGGGGCTGTATCCGATGGTACAGAACATGTGCAGGACACCAGCATCGTGATAGAGCTGTCACACTGGTCACCATTTGAAAATCTCTACAGAATGTGTTCGATGATAAGGGAAAGGACTTGTACAGGACACCGAGGCCATGTTTCTGGTCACTACATACACGCATGATGCCAGCCTACAGTGCAAACGTCCTGTGTATGTCACTATGTAGTGAGCGCCTCGCAGAGCAGGCTACATCACCGGCTGCCACCATATGGTTATTCAATTATGTGGTATACTAGTACAGTCAGACCTCGCTTATCCAGTCCTCGTTTATCCGGATCCCTCGTCATCCAGTAGAAAATCGTTGGTTACCGATTTACAGCATATGCCATGCACACATACAGTATGTGTGTTCGATTATCCGGTTCCCTCGCCTATCCAGATATTTTCTGGAAAACGGATGTGTGCGGTTATGCGAGGTCTGACTGTATGCGCATGAACAATGCAAACCCACTCACACCCCATAAAGTGCATTGGACACTGACTAAGCTAGACTTACTACATCACATCTTTGGCATAGCTTCAGGAATCATACTAAGAACACTTACCTTGGCAGTGTTGTCTTTCGATGCTGTGATGATCATCGTCGAGTCCAGAGAATTCTGGATACTGTTGATGGCTTTGGTGTGTGGCCGTGTCTGGTGCAATAGTTTACCATCCTGGCCACAAAAAAAAGATACAAAGTGGCAAGCGAAAAGGCATGTGTGCACAAACCCACACCCACATGTGAGTGCAATGTCACGGCACATACCATTGCTGATACTAGTAACTAGATATGCATGGCATCTTCCACGTAAAACATACCTCAGCAACCTGCCATTACTAAACGCACATAGGGGGATACGGAGATTTTAATAGGCAGGCGTGTGGTTTCCCAGCTCAACTTACGATGCTGTAGTGACGAATGGATCCATCTTCATGACCGGTGATTACAAACTGGTCAAGTGGTCCCCAAAGGGCGGCTGTGATTTTCTGACCACTGGGCATAGTGACTGTTGAGATGGCCTTGTCTACAGGACCGACAAGAAAGCAATCATCAAATAGTACACAATGCACCATGAGCGGATCACCATGGCAGAAGGCTGTCATTATTACGATAGCACAGACACCTACATGTATATCAAAGTACACCATCCATTACAAAATAGATATCATGACGACTAGTAGGTGAAACTCAGAGTTGCAACACTGCTTCCCCTCTCTCCCTTGTATCATGCAATATAGCATAAGGGACAAGGCGGAGGCCACATCGCCAAGGATAGTGTTTCCTGACAGCAAGCATCAGCCAGTGAAGACTCAGTCAGTACTGTACAGCCACGTGAGCCGATTCGGAATCTTTTACACTTGGCGATTTATAAACAAACAACTGACATGGGGACGGGAGGAAAGCCCTGTGACCAAGAGAGTAGATTGGATCAGTCAGCTCACGGTTAAGAATCACTGAGTCTGGAGTTCCCATACAAACCTGGTAAAAACGGTTCCTAATCGCTTTACATTAAAGGTCATAAAGAAGAGGCCCTGCTGGCCGAAATAAGCGTTGCAATGTGTGCCCTATAAGTGTGTGTGATACGTATCGAACAAGCAAGGCGCCTTATATCTAATATTACATCAAGTACAGTCGTCGCCAAAAAAATCCGGCCAATGCCATGGGTACAGTGGTATGGTACGCGTTCACCGGCGGTATTTCATCGTTCATGGCGGCATGCATGCATTTACAGTACCAGCACTGCACTGAGCAGGCTGCGCGCTGCGCTCTGCCTGCTGCAGTCGGGTCGAGCACTGCACTGAGTGTATGCAGGCCTGGCACTAGTGGCAGCAAGCAGGGCATGTGCCGTGCACTAGGCTACAACATAGTACTAGCAGTGCAGTGCATGCGGCCCATGCACCGTACAGCTACCGGTAGCTAGCACAGCATTGGCCGGATTTTTTGGCGACGACCGTAAGCAAATACACATGGGCACACAACGTACCAGTCCTGTTGATATCGAAGATTGAGAGCTCGCACGGCTTTCCCATCTGCGAGTCAGTGGAAATGAGGACCTGCGAGCCGGAATAGGAGAAGCCGCAGGCTCTGACAGCAGAGAACGTCTTGAGTTCATGGAGCTGAGTACCTGTTTCGCAATTCCATATCCTGGCAGTACTGTCTGCAGCTCCAGTCAACACAAGACGACTGTCCCCTGGTTCATAATATCGTTAAGGACTAAGACATTACAAATAGAACTATCATTAATATTTCAACATGAGCATGCTTTATTAGGACTACCAGAGGCACTAATATACCACGAACGTGGGATATGATAACTTGTCAAAGTTGAAAACTGTGCATTGCAATGGACGAGACTCAGTATGGAATCGAGACGTCAAATTTGAGTGAACACACTTCCTTGAACAACACAGAAACATTCACACTGGCTTCAAGTACTGTTGCAAGGATAAACATAAGTACACCATTTCCCCGCTACTGACATTGCCACCCTGATTTACTTGATGAATATGAACGACAGCAAGAAATTGCTGCGACAGTCCCATCATTTACTCCGGCGTTGAGAATTAATGGAATGTGCAAATTTAGAGACATTTGAAATATTCCAGCGAATGAGCAGGATACAACTGACATCGACGCACCAAACGGCACCATTGTGTCCCTCAAACGTTCCGAGACGCTCTCCATTCTGAGAAAACCATACGGTTGGGCGGGGGTCCTTCGCCGTGGAGAACAACAGGTCTCCATCCCTATTGTATTTGATCTGGGTTATGGAACGCTCATGCCCGTGCAGCATAAGCGGCTTCTGCTCAGCACAAACAACACACAACGAAAATCTATCACGCCACTTACACCTCCCTTGCACAGCTGACATGGACGGCTCACCATCTTCGAAGGAGGAGGGCGCCGACTGACGACACCAAATCAACAGCAAGTCTTTGACTTTGTCTTTCTCACTTCAGAACACAAACATTGCACAGTTTTGGTAAGTAATAGTTCGTACTTGTACACGGACAAAGCTGGCATGCGAAATAACGGGACCTGCAAAATTTTGTCGCCAAACTTTTTTCTGGCCAGTTTTTCCCATTTTGGGAGCATTTGCGCATGTCATGGTCATCATGACGTCAGTCCAAGTCCAGTGACCCAGGATGACGTGTCCAGCAAGCTTGGGTGGAAAAATAGACCCTTTGCACAATAAGCGAGAGGGGTCGAGACGGGGCATGCTGTGCACGCGCTGCACACTTGGCATGCAACCAGCATGCATGGTTTGCTGCAGGACGTGATCAAGTTTCCTGTGACAGGCTGTGTTTTCACGGTCCCGACGCCATGTTCATGTATGTACTCCTCAGCCTTTTTTCATTTGAAGTTTTTTAGTTTTGAAGGAAGAAGTTTCGAAATGCTTTCCCGGGCAAGGACCACTGCTGGGTTCTTGTTTGCACCAACCGTCATCCCTAACGTTAGTCTAAGGAACCCACTTGTCTTTCCATGCGTTTCCTGGTGATGCTGGCATTCCACACTCTGGAATCCTGGCTATCTGGCGAGAAGAGGGCCGCAGTGCATGCGATATCGTTCACAGTGTTGTGCTCGGAACACTTTGTCCATGACGACTTTCATCCTTGCTTTTGCTAAGATAATGAACGCCCTGCCAAGAGACTCTGGAGCTTGAGAAAAAGGCATGACGCATCCCTGTCTTCGCTATTGGAAGATCGACTGCTTGCTGGCGCTGCTCGAGTTGCTGATGTTGAAGTGGAGAGAGACGCAGCCTCATCGCTCAGGTGTGAAAGTCATCTGAGTTCGAGCTGTGGCTGCGTGCACGATATGACCGACTTTCACATTATGCACATAGCCACCAAAGTAAAACTCATGGACACTATCCATGGGCTTGTTCACTGGTACTACTCCATCAGCGCTCCCTCTTCACTGTCGTCGGCGACTTGCCCCTGCGTTGGAGACGAGCACGCATGGTGTGGCACTCACTCTGGGAAACAGAGGTTCATCACTCATCCACTGGGAGTCGGACGCATGAAATGTTGGGCATGATTAAGGTACACTCGAGGAAGACTGGTGCCCTTCTTAGTTCTAGGAGCATCAGGGTTCTGCATACAGAAGTGTTCTCTACATCGACAGAGGAGAGAAGGTAGAGAAACGAAAATTATTTCAATCTACAGTAATCCGAAATATCCACTGAATGCGGAAAACTTACCGCTCCAACGACTCCTTCTTTTTCCAGACAGATACGCACCCTCATTCAGCAGAAAACTGTTCAGTTCCTTCACAGACCATTCTTCATTTGACAGTTCGTCCACGGGTTCCACAGCCACCGATGGCAAACCACTCGACACTCTCTCCTCCATCTCCAAAATGGAAAAATACAGTGTTTCACCATGCTCAACAACTGATACTCTGCACAAAAATCGAAGAGGATGCCCCGTCTCGGATCACGTGACCGTTATTGTGCAAAGGGTCTATAAAACCAAGGCAAACTCGGTGTTATCGCCGGAATCGGAACCTGTCAAGACCGAAATCTAAAACCCGAAATTGAGGATCATGCGAAATCCTTTGCCCTCAACCTTGGTTGCTTTTCCGAGCTATCAGTGACCCCTTCGAGTGAAATCGGAAGTCGAGGAGACAGCGTTAGAGTTGGAAGTTGCGGTTTGCTGCCGCCCGTGAAGGTCTCTGCACGGCCTTGGGTTTGCAGCTGAACATGGCAGACAGCAAATATTTTACCACCACAAAGAAGGGAGAGATTGCGGAGCTGCGGACTGACCTGGCGTCAGAGAAGAAGGACAAAAAGAAGGATGCCGTAAAGAAAGTCATTGCCAACATGACAGTTGGCAAGGATGTGTCCTGTCTGTTTCCAGACGTAATAAACTGTATGCAAACGGAGAACGCTGAGTTGAAGAAGCTAGTTTATTTGTACTTGACTAACTATGCCAAGGCGCAACCAGACCATGCCATCATGGCTGTGAACACATTTGTCAAGGACTGTGACGATCCCAATCCGCTGATTCGAGCACTGGCTGTGAGAACCATGGGCTGCATACGCGTGGACAAGATCACCGAGTACCTTTGTGAGCCGCTGCGGAAATGCCTGAAGGACGAGGACCCGTATGTCCGTAAAACAGCAGCAGTGTGTGTGGCAAAGTTACATGATATCAACGCAGATCTGGTTGAAGATCAAGGTTTTCTGGATTCTCTGCGTGATTTGGTAGCTGATGACAATCCCATGGTAGTGTCCAACACGATTGCTGCACTGACAGAAATTTCTGAAACGCATCCCACGTCTGCCGGTGATCTGCAGCTAACTCCTGCCACGGTGAACAAGCTGCTGACGGCGGTGAACGAGTGTTCCGAATGGGGTCAGATCTTCATCCTGGACTGCCTGGCGCGCTATGTGCCCAGGGACACACGCGAAGCACGCAGCACAGCCGACCGCGTGACTGCTCGCCTCTCCCATGCTAACTCGGGTGTCGTTCTCTCCTCGATGCGCCTGCTGCTGCGTCTGGTGGGCTTCCTGGACGGCGAGGAAGACTACATCAAGACCCTGCTGCAGAAGATGGCACCTCCGCTGGTCACCATGCTCTCTAGCGAGCCTGAAATCCAGTATGTCGGCCTGCGTAACATAAACCTTATTGTGCAGAAGTACGGCGACATTCTGGAGAACGACATCAAGGTGTTCTTCGTCAAGTACAATGACCCGATCTACGTCAAGCTGGAGAAGCTGGACATCATGATTCGCTTGACAACTGAGAAGAACATTACTCACGTCCTGCCTGAGCTGAAGGAGTATGCAGCTGAGGTCGATGTCGACTTTGTGCGTAAAGCCGTGCGCGCCATCGGCCGCTGTGCCATCAAAGTAGTGTCGCAGGCAGAACGCTGTGTCCAGACCCTCGTGGAGCTCATCTCCACCAAGGTCAACTACGTCGTCCAGGAAGCCATTGTTGTCATCAAAGACATCTTCCGGAAGTATCCGAATCGCTACGAGAACATCATTTCAGTCCTATGCGAGAACCTGGACTCCTTGGATGAGCCTGAAGCCCGAGCCTCGATGATCTGGATTCTTGGAGAGTATGCAGAGAGAATTGACAATGCGCACGAGCTGCTACGAGTGTTCATTGACAATTTCAACGACGAGATCCCGCAGGTACAGCTGCAGCTGCTCACATCTGCCGTCAAGCTGTTCCTGTTACGGCCGGCTGACGGGCAGGATATCGTACAGAGCCTTCTGAGCACGGCGACGCAGGACAGTGACAATCCTGACTTGCGAGACCGAGCGTACATCTACTGGCGCTTGCTGTCCACCGATCCCGTTGCAGCCAAGGAAGTCGTTCTCTCTGAAAAGCCACTGATTAGCGAAGAAACCGACTTGCTGGAGCCCAGCCTGCTGGAGGAGTTGCTCTCGCAGATACCCAGCCTGGCATCGGTCTATCACAAGCCTCCGAGCACGTTTGTCGAGGGTAGAGTGCCACTTCAGTTCTTCCCGCACTCCATGACCACGGCCACAGCGGACACCGTCTCTGAGCCAGACCCTACGGTAGAGTCAGCTGCACCGGCCACTTCTGCTGGTGAGTCGGCTGTTGCTGACACCGGAAATGTCGGAACCGTCCTGGATCTCGGCACTCCAGCTCCCACCAACACCGGACATGCTGAGCCATCAGGAGCTCCCATCGTTGACCTGCTTGGTGATCTTACTGATCTCTCCCTCACACACCTCGCATACGAAGCACCCAAGGCTGTCTGGCTACAAGGAGCAAAGAGCCAGGGCATGGAAATCTCAGGCACGTTTGCTCGCCGCCACGGCCAGCTCTTCATGGATTTGACAATCACGAATCAGGCAATGTCGGCTTTCGGCAACCTGGCCATCCAATACAACCGCAACTCGTTTGGTATCGCCCCGGCATCACTGCTGGAGGTCAATATTGTCCCACCGTGTCAGTCAGTCGCTACCTCTCTGCCTCTCAACTTCAGCGGCCAAGTTGGCAGAATGGATCCACTCAATCTGCTTCATGTAGCTGTGAAGAACAACATTGGCATCTACTACTTCACCTGTCTCGTTCCTTTCCACGTCCTTTTCGTGGAAGGTGGCAACATGGAGCGCAAGGCCTTCCTATCTACGTGGAAGGAGATCCCTGGCTCATCCGAGGTGCAAAGTGTTATTACTGGTGTCAATGCTGATGCCGTGCGCTGTGAAGCACACCTGCAGCGCAGTAACGTATTCGCTGTAGCCAAGCGGAGTGTGGAGAACTACCAGCTGCTCTACCTCTCTGCTCAGCTCACCAATGGCATTTGGATCTTGGCCGAGCTCAAGTTTAGCCCGGGCTCCTCCACTGTCAACCTGGCCTTGAAAACACGGACTTTAGATATCGTACCTGGTGTGCAGGAAGCGTTCGCTGGTATCATGCGCTCAGTTTAACCCCGAGCCTTTTGTATATCTCCTCAAACCCTTGTTGAATTGTTCCTAACTTTTATGCTGTGGCTTTTTTGGTTTTCTTGGCCTGGCCTTGTCAACACTTAATTTTTTCAAGTCCTCATCAAAATGTTTATTCATTTTTACTCCAGTGCAAACTTTCATGAAAATATTCAGACGAAAATATTACAATACAATGGGGTTGAATTTTGCTTTCTTCGTGTGTTGGACAGGAACTTTCCTGACCCATCGTGCAGTGCATAGCTTTGGCTGGTGTTGTGGGAAACTGGATTTTGGCCGCCCTTGATATGGGCGCCAGCAGAACTGTCACTATCTGTTGTTTGTGTGCTTGCTTGCAGAGCTCAGTCTTTGAAGTCTCCCTTCATACGCGCACTTGCCAAAGTCACGTCGGTCATTACATGCAGCTACTACCCGTGAAAGGGAAAAGGTTCAGTGCCTCCCAGCCTTACTAATCTTGATGCTTACACAACTAACGTCGGTCACATTGACATTAATTTTGTGGAAGCTCACCGTTGAAACTGCGTGATGGATGTGTGTTGACTGCATGTGCAATCTGGCAGATCTACAGTACCTCAGGTCCTGTACTGCATTGTGCCTGACAAACATTATCATTCTAGCTTTACAAGTCTTTGTGAAAATTCAACAGTCCGCTTCTCAGGCTCAATTTCTTTGTAGTCAACCTCATGGAAACAGAAGTATCATCTATCTGCATCAACATCAGTACAATAGTTCTCTTCTACAACGTACAATGATGTGAATTATTTCAACTGATATTATGTACATGACTGTATTCATGATAGGCCTTCAATCATTGATTGATTGATTTTATTTAAGGATTGTCCAAAGGCCGTAGAGGCCTATCGAGGGGCTCTCCTGTGTACTGTTTAAGGAAAGGGAGGAAGAGAGAGAGGAAAGGAGATGAGTGCAGTGTATGGCTTGTTAATCAATACTGTCATTTCAATGGCCACAACCAGTTCAGTACACTGTATTGTCATGATGATGTATAAGTATGTATCACAGTCAGTATGTTATGAGCGCACAACCTCCTCTTGTTCACATGTTCTGACTGACCTCTCTGAAACTGAAACTTCAATGTACTTGTGAAAGTGTGAAACTGTATGACGTTCAAAACTGGCAAAAGGCAAAGATAGTTTTTGGTTTCGGGGATTCCCCCTGCTGATCGCCTCCGGTTTTCAAATTTCCTGAAGAAACATGTGCTTCCTTCATCCTCGAGGCCACGTCCACGTCCACTGCGCAATAGTGCGCATACGTCGATCTCGAGATTCTGCTTGGCGTTTTATTTGTCTCCAGTGTGTGGACGACGCGGATTCACCGTCCCCAGCTGTCAGTTTACTTGGTCTTGTCATGTTTTCTGATGCACCTAGCATACAGTGAAGACTGAAATCTATGGAAAGTCTTGTCTCTTGCCAGTCTAGTAATAACACGTCCAGGTCTTGGCTCAATTATTTTCTTTTCCAGCTAAAGTCCATGTAAAACGCATTTTCTGCAGGAATCTTGAATGGTCGGAACAATCGGACTTTTCAAAGCCAATAGCAGTAGAGTTCATAGTATTCTCAACAAACTTGGAATCCCTGTAGATAGCTCGTCGTCTGGTATCATGTCCAGCTCAATTCTAGCATCAGCGATATCTTATGGCGCCTCTGCGTTCATGATCGTGGGCGGTGTACTGCCATACGTTCCGCAGTATATGACGATCAGCAAATCCGGATCAGTCGGTGGATTCTCAACCAAAGTCTGCCTGGTACTTCTGCTGGCCAACATGTTACGAATTGCCTTCTGGTGAGTGCAGATTTACCACGTGTAATTTGTAATTTTACAGCATTATCTTTTATTTATTTTTTTGCTGAATATAATCCTCCCATACATATACATACATGGAGATGGGATCTATGGAGGAAATTATTGAGCTATGCCTAGCACCTATTAAAAGAGAGACCAAAAAATAATCGAGATACAGTACCTGGGCAGCACGCGTATGAAATTGATGCGGGCGGACGGGCGGATTTTTTTATTATTCAAGTTCTTACTGGCATGTATGGATTGCATGCTGAATGTACGGTTGCGATCGGTGAAATCCGACCCAGAGTGCATACTGTAAAACGGTTAATTTTAGCGACGTAAAAACCCTAGCGAATTTAGCGATCGACTCATTTTCGCTAAAGTTTCAAGTCGCTAATCCGTTGAGACATTAGTAGTGCACTGGTGATCCGTGAGTAAAATCGCTGCAAATCTCTAAGATAAAACGTCGCTAACCGGTTGACAATGGGAAAACGCTAAAATTAATAGTCGCTAAAATTACCCGTTCTACAGTATGTGGCACCCTCAAGTTACACAGCCCTTGACGCCCTAGCAAAAGTACGAATGCGCCCGGACGTACACATGCACAAATGCAATGATGTAATCAGAACTGGCATGGGGCGCCAGTTTTGCATTTCAGGTCGGATTTCACCGAGCGCAACTGTACATTTGCGTATATTTTACAGTACATTGTACACCAGTAATTCATTTTACTTGAAGTACTCTATACAGGCCGCGGTTCACTTGTACAATCTATGTATTATGCCTAACAACGGCCCAGACCCAGGCCCTGTGTTGCAAATCTGGCACAACACACCAGTTGCTAGCGACTTCGAGTCGCAACATGTTGCACTTTGCTTTGTACAGCGTAGGTCTCCCACATGTATGCATGTGAACAGCACTCATACATAGTACATGCCTAGCCTCATATCAAGGAACATGGCGAAGCTGAGCCGATATGTTGCACTCAATTGACACTATAGATAGTCCTGACCAGCCATGACGGGGGATCAACACCCTAAAATCCCAATGCACACATCTGTGTTGCCCTCATGGCAGGCCACGAGTCTCCGATTGCCCATGGACCGCAGTAGCCGTTAATCACATGTTTGCATTACCACCTGCTATGCAGTGATTGTGTTGAGAAACACAACCAGCTTAGGAAGTTTCGCTTGTGTCACCATGCCCAAGATATCCGTTAGGTGTATGTCAATCACTGATTGTCTGCTGCCGCGTCCTTGGTGTATGCTCTGTCCAGGTTTGGCCATCCTTTTGAACTTCCTTTACTGCTGCAGAGTATCATAATGGTGATTGCCATGTTGGTGCTGCTGCGCCTCTGCGTGAAAGTAACGCCCAACACCAAAGGGAAACGCCGTTTTTTAGGTGGGTGTGCCCACCGTGTACAGAATGCCTGTCTCACTGCTTGAAGTAGCTTTGTGTCTTGTGCAATTCATGTACAGCCAAGCTTGTGAGTAACGACTCTCGATCAGACAAGAGATGGGTGTTCTTTTCCGTGTGCTGTTGCTACTTTACTTGTGTGCCTGTGAGGTTGATAGTATGCAGTGAAATGGCCACTAGCTCTGAAGGTTGTGTCGTTATTCGCAAGTTGTTCTTATACCCGAGGTTGTTATTCACGAGGTTGATTGTAGTTACTTCTAGGATTTGTTTGTACAGGCATGTGGCACCGTATACAGGTGTTAGCCTTAGGGCGCTTTGATGACTACTTAGTTCTTACTCAATAGCTATTGGGGTTCTTCTTCGCATGCCAATGGACACAATCTGCTTCTTTTCACGCTGTTCTCTCACATCAACAGGGTACAAATCCTACCCCTTTCTTCTCTTGCTGTTCTCCTCTGCAGACTTTGATTTCGACTATTTCTGGAAATGGACCAGCTTTGAGGACTACGTCCAGTTCCTTGCAGCGATGGCCTGTGCCATCGGCATCTCCATGGCAGCACTGCGGCACAGCTATATATTTGTAGAGGGCATCGGATTGGCGGCGCTGATGACGGAAGCTTGCCTTGCGCTACCTCAGTTTCTGCACAACTATGAAACCAAGTCGACGCAAGGCATGAGGTATAGCAGGGTTGCGTGTTCTTCATACATCCGCGCTGGCATGAATACTGCAGTAGTGGCCAATCAAAGTGTGGAATCGCTCTCGGGCACAGCTCAACTGCGCCTGGCGCACTGCAGCCTACTAGTCCGTGTGTGCCACTGGTTGCGCAGAGACATTGTGAGGCTGTAAACGGGGATGATCTGTATATCACAGGCGGCTGCTGTAGTCTGGATTGTTTAGGCATGCTCCTCGAAGTGAAATCAGGACTCTGTGTGACGGCGTTTTTGGTCTCGCCTGTCTGTCGTCCACCCAGGTGCATAACCAGGGGTACATGTATATCTAAAGGGATTCTCAGCTATCTAGACGATACATGCCTGATTTGAGTCCACAGTAAGCCCGCAATAGTAATTACATGAAACGCGGGCGTGCTATCAAGCACTCTACCTACATGTACGCCCCTGACACGTATGATGTATGTGTATCATCTATTCTCTGCACTTAACATCTCCACCTTATGCACCCTGTTTGAAATATGCAATCTCTCTCTCTCTCTCTCTCTCTCTCTCTCTCTCTCTCTCTCTCTCTCTGTCTCTCTCTGTCTCTCTCTCTCTCTCTCTCTCTCTCTCTCTCTCTCTCTCTCTCTCTCTCCTGCATTATGTTCTCTAGTGTGGCCATGGTGACGCTGTGGCTTGCTGGCGACATCTTCAAGACGATCTACTTCATTGCTAAGCAAACCCCACTACAGTTCTGGCTGTGCGGCTTCCTGCAGATCAGCTTGGACCTAGCCATATTCTACCAGGTGGGCACGTACGTATGAGACTGACAAACCATGCAACATGCACACTAGTGCTTGTGCTGCTACCAAGGACGGTAGTAACACTGATGCTCTTTCCTGTGTGCTCTTGATTGTTGTGTATGTTCAAAGGCTATTTATGTGCTATTGATGTCCTCAGATGACTGGATAATGTAGTATATAATTATAATTACGATATGCTTCTGTCTACCTTTTTTTCCTCATTTTTAAGGCAAGTATACAGCTTTAGTCTTTATGAGGAGTACACAGCGTATGTGCTCAGGTGTTTTTACAAACTGGGCTGAGCTGGACTCGGCCTGGCTTTGCACAGCTAATCAAATCCCTGCTAGCCGCTTTTGCAGTGTTGTCACCAGTCAGATTAGAGCTGCTGCGACACGACGCGAATCAGCAAAGCGCTTTGCACACGTTACTTTTTCTTACTCTTTTTTACTGTTGTGGTGTTTTAGTGGGATAGGAGAACCAACCATCAGAACATGTGCACATATGACAACTTTTAACTATTCTTTTTCTTTGTAGAAATATCGTGGGAATGATTTTTTTTAAATTGAACAATTCTGCAGTTACACAAGCTCCCTTGCCCTATTTTGTACTTAGTAGTTTGGAACGCTTCCCCCTCAACCCAGCAGATTTCTTCTAGCTAGCTATCATGCACAATGCGGAGTCGGTGGTTTTTCGCAACGACTCTATTACCAGTATGCTCAGTACATTGCCTTTCAGTGGACGATGATTGTGAGAAATGTAAGCACTAATTTCCACCAGTGGGCTGTAGATTGGTGTTCCTTCACATGCCCTGCACTGGCTGCAGTGGCTGAACACACGCAATGATTGGGTGACCTATAGAGTAACATCTCTTCTCTCATGGAGTTTGGAAGAAGGGAAAACATCTAGAGGTTTCTGACAATGCACAAACAAAACTTGCGGCAGCCCCCCGGGGGGCCCCCAGGCCCAGCCCTGCATCTCCAAGGAGTACAGTTGCGCTTGGTGAAATCCGACCCAGCGTGCATATTTGGCGCCCTCAGCTTGCACGCTCTCGACACCCTGGAAGTGGCAAGAATGCGGCTGGACGTACACATGTACAAATACTATGACGTAGTAGGAACTAGTCCAAGGCGCCAGCTTTGCACTTCTGGTCGGATTTCACCGAGCGCAACTGTACCAGCATGGAAGATACTGAACTTTCTTGCCGTGTGTTCCAGAAATTTGATTCCACATGCAAAACTACAACCATTATGTAAATGTAAACTGGAAGTAGGCATGTCAGGTTTTTAGGTGTCGGTCCCACACTCAAAACGATGAAGACACCCATGGACAAATTTAAATACTTCTACAGTCAACTTCGCCAATAACGACATTCGGCGGGGCATCAGAAAAGTGTCCTTATTCGCGAAGTGTCCTTATAACCGAAGTCCCATTTGAATGTATGTGAACCCATATTTTATAGTATGACATGCATATCAAAATCAAGCTCTTTTCTTGCTCTATGTCAATGTGTACTTTATTTTCATATCGAGTCATCTACAGGGCCAGAGACATGTACATGTATGATAATTACTGTACAATCATGTACAACTACATGTACATTGTATACAATCATATAGGTGTGCTGGTAAATCCAACAATTTTGAAGCCAACATAAGAAAAGGAAGAAAAAGCCCCCCCCCCCATTGGCTGCATTTTCTTGCATGTGTGCCTTTATAATAATATCCATCACCATAGGTTCTGGTACTTCTGCATGACAGGTACATGTACTTGACTGACAGGTATTATGTACTTGAAATAGCTGTCAAAAGCCCAGAAAGTCGTTATTCAAGCAGTGAATATCACCTCGGGGCACTAAAAGCATGTCGCTATACGCGAATTGTCGTTATTCAGATAGTCGTTATATCCGAAGTTAAATGTATACAGTTAGATGGGACTTTGCTCTGGGCATGGAAATTCGGTCGTTATTCGCGAATTGTCGTTATATCCGCAGTCGTTATTAGCGAAGTTGACTGTACATTATTGTATGCTAATGTAGATCCGCCTCACTGTTTGCGTAGATTGCGCAACTATAAAATATGCGGCATGACGATTTTTGCTCGGTCGCCTGTAGCTTGCATCTTTGTCACGAGTACTGAGCTGACTATATACAATCCTTGCAGCTGTTTCCTCAATCGCCTAGAGAGCACGGCATACAGTGCAGGCCGGGCGCTTGTCAGCAACTTGCATAGCACAAGGCAATCACCCACATTTCGTTTTTCATGTCCACGTCCACGCAAAATAGCTGTGCGCATCGGTTGCTAGGCTCACGGTCAGGTGCGAAAACGTCTTAGCTATAGCACAGGTGGCGGTGGTGTACTTCTGGCCACAAGCCCAACAGGTTACTGGGCATGATCCTGGCATGATCCTCGCCACGTCACTTGCTTTCAGCCACATTATTATGAGCATACATCGAGAGGTTCATCCACAGAGTCCACGCACAACAACAACAACAGCACAACACTCACGCCCTCAACAAGACAGTCTCATCATGGTGGGTATACTCTTTATTCCTTTCCTTTCTCTAGAATGTTATAAAATTGCCAAGCTGTAGAAAAGATTCAAGAGAAGGAATGCAACAAGCCATGTTCACTGCAGCCTCGAAGATGGAGTTGGTCTGCCGGTTGTCGGTGCTTCTCGTTGTACCTATGAGGCTTCAGCATCAGCAGAAGCCACGGAGTCGAAATCACCAGTCAGCTCTGCAGAAGAAACACAACAGACAGAGGGCACAGTGACTTGTACATCGTACACAGACATCAACTTAGAAAAATATATGCAACATGACGTCTAAGCGGCACAGGTGCATGACTGTACGCTAAGCACGCGTGCCTGAAACGTCTTTGCTGTTCAGAGTCCAGGACAGCAAACATAGCAATGGCATTTCGCCACTCCCTGCTGCTACCTTCATACTGCCTGTAACCTACATACTGCCTGTAACCTATTCAAGCCAATTAACGCTTGAGAAGCTATCTAGTTAGCTCTATTTGTGTCAAGGGTGAAGTTTCTAAAATTCGATTCTTGTCATTACTGTTGCCCTTTCCACCAAGTCTCGAAGACATAAGCTAAACGAAAAGCGATCAAAAAAAATCAAACTAGCTAAAATAGTTTGACGAGAGCTACATGTAAAGTGACCATGAATAGCATTAGCAACAAGAGCACAATAAGTCAGGCACAAGCATGTAGAAGGGCCAATCCAAAAGAGGTCCGCATGTTTTGATTGATTGATTTGTGAATCACAGCAATCCCCCTCCCCTAATCATATTCCTGGGTATGGCCGTGGATGATACTCAGCAAGCCTACCTGGTACGTCATCCTCGTCATCCTCTGTTATCTCGGATATGGTGCTCTTTGCAGCTGCAATGTGACAACACCACATACACACACACACACACGTGCATGCACAGACAAGAAGAGGGCTAATAGTACAGTGGTCCCCTGGACAAATGGTTGCCTTATCAGAGTGGCGCTGGGAGAGGTCTAGCACTTTCCCAGAATATAATTCCACAAATTGTGCTAGTCTACACAAGCCGAGTAAAAACAATTGAAGTCTTGCCGAATAATCAAAACTGTTGTTATTTCAAATCTTTATTCTCACGATGGCCAGTGGCCAATAAGAGATAAAAATGTTACTACTGCTGCTGTTGTTGTTGTTGTTGTTGTTGTTGTTGTAGTCGTCGATGTTGTGTTTTCAGTTCTTTTCACTGAGCAGCAGTTCAATCATGTAAGAAGCGTAACCCCTACATGTGGCGTCCGTGTTTATGCACTCCCACTAACCCGCTGGGTCGAACATCTTCTTTAGTCCGGACAAACTCTGCGAGTCCTGCAACACAAAGCAGCAAAACCATATCCGGAATTAATCATTAATTATAGGTTCAAACTTCAAAGGCATATTGAAACACATACCGTATTATCTCTAATATAAGAACGGTCCTTTATTTTTTCAATGTACTTCCGCCCCGTGCTATTAATGGAGACGTTCCTTTATTGGAGACTGTTCCATTATTATTTCAACCTCATTTCAGAGGCATGTTGCCATGCCAAATTCATGTCAGACACACACATTTCAGGGTTTTTTTCGCCGGTACAGATAATGAATTTAAATATAATTTACACAGTGTGCTTATAATGGAGACTGAGCACTTTATTTTTTGAATGCCACCCCAAGGTGTTCTATTATTGGAGACGTGCTATTATCGGAGACTGTGCTTATATTAGAGATAATACGGTAATGCACCACCGGGGTGGCCTTTGCATACGGTTACATATTCCGATCTCCCACGTCACAACATAGAAGAGTGCATGCACTGGTAATAGCAATCAAGTGCATGCTACTAAAGCCGGTTTGTCTACCACACACTGGACCCGCAGAACAGCAATATCTCTACCACGCACTGGACCAGTACAGCAATAATATCACACTCACCATCTGCTGCAGAATAGTAGGCAGGAGTTCACCAAGAGCTGCAGGTACAAAACATTTTAAAACACCAGCAAACCAGGTGAATGATAAGGCTAAGCGCTGCAAAAGGTTGACAAACAGGTTGACAAACAATTCAACATGTGATTCAACGTCATTCCGTGAATGATAACAAGTATAGATGTATGGACTGTACATATCAAACATGATCCACAGCAAGAAGGCAGCAATGCCTGTACCTATGGTGAAGTAAAATATAGATAACATAACTGTCCCCCATGTGAAGTTCATCCACCGTCCGTAGAGGGCTCAATTCGCCGAAAGCAAAGAGCGGAATACACAGACAGAAGAACGAGCAGTTTTTTTTGTAACTCTGAGTTTCACGAACTGAATCGATCACCAGATGAAAATATTCGAGCTCGTTCTTCTGTCTGTGTAACATAACTGTCCCGCGCTATTGTATTGTAAACAAGGTCGATTATTGGAGGTGCAGACATACACTTTTGTTCGCATGGTCCGGTGACGGAAAACGTATTGGCTGGGATGAGAGCCGACACTGCATGGACAAGGACAAAGTCAAAACAAAATGTAGCACTCCGGCAATCAATCTGTATGCGGTACTAGTATGTGGACACAGTTTTACAAAAATCGTTGGCATGCTCAATAGTTTTAATGATATCAACGAGCTATCCTGCCAGCCTAGTGCACAGATGTCACTGAGCCGTCACCAGGCTACTATTAGTACTTCCATGATGTTCAGCTAAAGTAATGTCACTTGACCCAATTTGACAAACACAGTAAATAAACCTCTACCTGCATCCGCTCGATAGGGATCCGACAACTCAAACAACTGCTTCTCCTCTGATGAGTTCCCCGTCATCTTTATGGAACGAAACAGGACTTGTCAGGAGTAATACTACTTGCTTTCGTGGAGTGTGGCTGATGAACTGTTCGTGCTGTTGTCTGCAAGCGTCGTGTGGTCTCGTCGGGTCAAGTGAAAAACCTATTAATACTACTATTTGACGGACCTATGGAAGATGGCAACAAAGAATTATTTTAACTCAAACACCCCGGGAACAACAATGCATGAAAGCTCGAAATGTTTCCCTCTTCACACACACTGCCAATACACTGAACACACGTTCCACAAACCCTAGCTGCCGCTGGATGCGGGGACGGCACTATCACTCCGCTGTCCTAGTCAGAACAGAATGTACCGGGTACCCTGCACGTGCCTCACCTTTGGGGTTTGAGAAATGCAATACGTTGCCGTCCTGCTGAAACATGTTGACCTCCTCAATTCCGGGGATGTTGTTCATACCCATTTTCTTCAGGTTGTTCTGCAGTTATACACACCACATCAAACAGTCGAGGAACAACAGTGATGAACACAATAGAAGTTACTTCAAAAGAAAAAGGAAGAAAAAGCAGTAGCCAATACGAAGAGGACATTTCCCGGAGTGCGAGACTTTGTCCGGATTGGCGCATGGAGGAGTTTTCATCTTACCGGTACGTCTTAATGACTCAGCCACGCTTCACCGTATACGCGCTCACAAACCCATTCACACTTCACCATACCTACCAACAAGGAACGTTCTGTTGTAATGTCGACGATACGAACCTCTTCGATATGCGGTACTTTTTAAGGTATTGCACCGAGACCAGCGCTTTGGCCGAGTGGCTGTGGGTTTGCCTGCGAATCACACGGTCCTGAGTTCGAGACCCGCGCTGGGAGCAGGGAGCGTGTACTGTGCTAACAAATGCGGTGGTGCATGCGCGAACCACATGCATGCAAGGAACTGCGCCGACACCCACGGTCAACTGCGGGCTCACAACTCGGAGTGAGGGTGACATGGACGCAGCTAACGAGGTTCGCCCCCTTGCCGGGCATTGGTTGTGAGAGTTACCCTCACCCTCGCCGTTAGGCGCTGCATCTGCCACCCTGGTATCACAGACATGGTGGTGGCCTGGCACGAGCGAAACTTCCTAAGCTGGTTGTGTTTCTCAAAGCAATTGTATAGCCGGTTGTAACGCGGACGTGCAAACTTTACTTTTTTTCACACCACGCGTGGCTCTCCAAGCAAGGGCCAGTTCCGATCACACATGGGCATGGATCATGTGGATGGTGTGCTATACTTAGTACATGCCGAGATTCAGGCAAAGCCAACCCGCAACAAGCACAATATAGTTGCATCTTCTGCAAGACAGTAGCGTGGGCCAGGGATGATGCTGATCGTTACCATACCTTCGCGTTGGCCTTCGAATATTTGATATTCATTGAATTTGTATCTATGATTATAGAAAGGTTTGTAACATGGAAATTGCGGGCACATGTTATGCGATCGAGTCCACCAACTAAACCAGCTTTTAAACAGTCAGATGTGCACAATCTAGCACAAAACTGACAAGGAGTACTGAGACATTCCACGACATGAAAGTCAGCTTGAGCACTGCTCGATAGCGCTAACCAATGGCCTTCCAACTTGGAAGGTTCATGGATATTAGTGCTAATTTCAAAGAGGGGAAGGCGAGCGCCATCGAGCCAAGCACAAGCTACATTCCAAGACTTCATGGAATGCTGGCCTGGTACGATGATGAGACGGCAAGACCAGACAGAACGGTCAAACCACAATTTGACTACGCAAAGCAACAACCACCCAACTTGGGAGGCTCAATATTACCAGAGATGAAATTATGAAGGGGAAACTTCGCCAGGACGAATTGTAACAAACCGAACGCCAGTATCCTACAGTACTGTACTTAGTTGATGACAATGATGGGCTAACTAATTGCAATAACATGTATAGCATCACACGACGATCGCTTCGCCGTATTGTTCATGACGGCTCTTCAGGTGTGCATTAAGAACTCAGGTGGTGAGCCAAGGAAAAAAGTTTTGTAACATGGAAACTAGCACTAATATCCATGAACCTTCCAAGCTGGAAGGCCGTTGGTTAGCGCTATCGAGCAGTGCTCAAGCTGACTTTCATGTCGTGGAATGTCTCAGTACTCCTTGTCAGTTTTGTGCTAGATTGTGCACATCTGACTGTTTAAAAGCTGGTTTAGTTGGTGGACTCGATCGCATAACATGTGCCCGCAATTTCCATGTTACAAAACTTATTTCCTTGGCTCACCACCTGAATTCATTATAGAAACATAAGCTTACAAAGCTTATGGTAGGTATTTTATACCATTTTTAAAATAGATTATTAATACTCAGGCTGAATTACCCATGCATAGCAGGAAACCATTCAATAATCATGCTGCCATCCATTTTCACACACGAAACGTACCCATCACGAATGGCCACCACCGCCATAGCTTCGATGGCGGCATGGATGTAGGGTGGTGCGTTAGAGCAGTACAACAGAAATCACTATGGTATAGACAGACAGGCTGGTGGAATTCCCAACAGCCAGTACAGCCAGTATTCCTGCACAGAATGTCTGAGTGACTGGAGCAGCAACCGTCACCGGTATCCGTGGTCCGTGGAAGCATGCGCCTTCCGTAGGTTTTACTCATTCAACTCTACCCCAGCAAGGAGCACGATGTTCACATTTCTATGTACGAGTAAATCTACATTGCATGCAGCAAGAGGTTTTTTTTTGCATTAGCGATTATTGCATAAAACTTTCCGATGCTGGCGGTCAAACAGATGGCAATGCAGGCATTTCTAGCCAGTCGTAACTAACCTGTAGCTTGATATCATCTGACTTGGACGTCTTGTGCACGACCTTCTTCTTTCTGCGAGCAGAGCCCTTCAAAGGAGATCGCACAAGGCGGGTAGACAAAAAGTGTTCGGCCAGAAAAACGGACGAGGTCAGTTACGAAAGAACCTTCGCAGCAGCAGCAGCTAGCGAATTTACCTTGCCACCGATGCGGACTTGCTCCTGCATTGCCTTCAGCTTTTCTGGATTCATTTTCGAGGTAAGCTACTCTTCCCTACAATTAGTTACTTGTCGACGAATCAGCTGCTCGGCCCGCGACTAGTTTGGTTAGCAGAGCGACTTTTTCAACTCTAGTTCGCCATTCCTGTGAAAAGGTTGCACTGAAAGTGACCATGTGCGCCTGCTAAAGGCTGTAAAGCCGACTACGTAGCTGCGTAGATCTTGAGTACGAAAACGGAGCTCGTATACGCGTAGTCGCAGATCTACGAGTGTATAATTATAAGTGCACTGACTGTTGAGTCTAGCTAGTGGTAACGGGTGGTCGACAAAACAGCTGTGATCGCGTTGAAAAACCTCCCTACCCGTACTAGACCCTAGCGATGGACGCAGCCTAGCCTAGCCTGGCTCAAACGGCCTCAGCTCAGGCCACCATGTTTGATCTCGTGCCCAAACCAACCAGGATGCTAGCGCTAGCCATTACTGAGACAGTACTCAGTAGGTCTACATGCAGTACTGAGTGTAGGATCCGTAAAAACGACTCTGTGTACTAAACCGTAAGTAAACGTTTTTTTAAGGTGGCAGGCTACCTTCGGCGCCAGCCGATAACATACATGCATTCCAATGTCTGTAACATTGGCATCCCTCATTATTTTTGCACCAAATTTTCTACACATGCTGGTCAGATTATAAAGAACACTTGAACAACCACCACACATGCATTTCGACTTGGAGAACAGGATGCTGGACACACCAAACAAGAATATCGCAAAAATGCGGTCAACAAATTTTTGGTACAAGTTTTCTGCAAGGATTTTAGCAATAGCCAGATACTTATGTTACATAATGAGTGTTCTTGCTCAATACTAGATGCTCACGAAGAGATTTATGCTTCTAGATGTAAAGAATCTGGCTGACACACACATAAAGAAATCACGTAAAGAACGCGCCGTTGGTCCAATTATCTTTCTGTGCCCATACGTCAGTAGATGTGACAAAATCTTCAAAAGTAGAGACGTGAGCACCTTGCAAATTTGACGTAGATATGAATACATATATAGTTTACTGGATTTGGACATACCAAACTGGAGATATGGTGTACCAAAGGTCACACGGTACCCCCCAAAAAGGGCAACTTTTAGCACTCAAAAACCACCAGGACAGTACGTAACGCCTTCCGTCTCTTTGGCCTTGTCTGCATAACCCTTTTTGAAATCCCTTCGAATCACCATCGCCAATGTAGGATGTGTAGCGAAGGCCATTGAGAGCCTCAGATCGATTCCAAATCTTCACTACTGCTGCAGTCTCCATGGCTGGCGATGAGACATTGGTGTTGATGTCGCAGCTGTCAGCATGTGCAGCCTTCCAGGTGGCAAACTCCGCTGCCGTGACTGTCTTCGTGTCGCGTTTGTTGTCCCAAACCTTGCAATGGTTGCAATGCTTCGATAACACCTCCACATCCACCACCTTGAGTGTGTCGTACGCAATTACTGTTTGGACACCAAACACAGAAGAGTACCCACGCCGCATACATGTGCCGTCAGTGCTTACGGCCACGTGTGACGGATGGTCAGATCCACTCGCTTGCCGCATAGCCAGTAACTCTGCAGCATGGTGCCGCATGCCATTTGTCCCAACTTCAACTGCTGCATCATGCAATGCTGAACAGTGAGACTGGAACGACCGTCCGTACATGGGCTCAGGCATATCCATGATGGCACAGAACATCCTCAGTGCTTCTCTTCCCTTGCCAATCATCCGCATGGCCATTGCTGAACGTCTGTTCACATCATAAAATCGCATTGGTGTATGTTTTTCAGCAAGGCGGCCCTCAAATACATGCCCACAATGATCGCAGGTAAGCTCAAGAATTGGGGCTAGGCCATATCGAGTCGACTCCTGGACGAGCAATGACCCAGTCTTGCAGTTGGCACAGACACATGATGAGCCAAGAAGACGTGTCAGGGATGGCAAGTGGACGATTCTGCTACCACTGTTGTGCTCGTCCGAACTGTCATCATCATCATCATCAGACTCGTCGCTGGACATAACCTCATCGCTTGAATCACCAGTACAAGAATCAGATGCCACGGAAGATTGATTTGCAACATCCTCAGATGCTGCGACGAATACGTCCAAATCACCATCTTCAGTTGTGGGCTCTTCACGAGCCAAGACAGTTCTTTTCCGCGGGGGAAGGCACTTCTTTGGCCTGCTGAGAACCCTGCTCTTGCGTTTGTTACCCATGGCAGATGATCCACCACGGCTTACGTCTCCAGCGATGTCAAAACAAAACTGACAAGGCTTGATGAAACAAAGCTACAACAATTATTTGCTTTGCATGCTGACACTTCGCTGACAAAATTTATTTTGATGTCAGCTGACTGTCTACCCCGCGTACGTCATGAAGGGCAGCCATTTTGGAAATGATAGCCACGGCAACGGATCACAGAGGAGGCCCGCTAGCTCGCGTCAAAAAATTAGAGCGCTACGATCGAAATTGATGAAAATAGCGCAAAAATGACTTTGGTGAAAATTTTAATTGTTTTTGCAATTTCATGCAATTTATTTCATATTCAATTTTGTAATTGTCGCACTTACAATCCACTATAACTCCGGAGCCACTGGACCGATTGACCCAAAATTTTAAATTCTAATGCTTTGTGGCTACCCCAATCAGAAAAGTATCACAGTTAACCTCAAATCAAAAATTCGATTTTTCCCAATTCTGAAGGTAGCCTGCCACCTTAAGTAGCCTGTCAAAACCTGCAGGCTGTGACATTATTGCAAGCCACAAGGCCTTTAAAAAGGCAAGCACTTGTCCTCTTGTTGAAGCCAAAGCCAAACACGATGAACGCTGCAAAGGGCAAAGATTCGATAACTTCTTTTTGAGTTTTAGAAAGATTCTCGCGCTATGCCATGTATACTGAGACGGCTACTATTATTTACATGTAGATCGGATGACGTGACGGCAACCGTGTCTAGAGGCACCCCGCCAGAAAGTAACACAGCGCTGCCTGCGGGCCATCCAAGGTTTCCAATTGTCCCGGGGTGGGTGGATTTGGGGCCGGAGTTCCTATTGAATATGCATAGAAAATGCCAAGCCCAAGGTGACTAACGTTACCCGATATATGTGACTATTTAGGGCGTGTGGAAGATCACACTGGAGGCAACAGCACGGAAGTCACTGACAGCAAAGTTTTAGGAAGTAAACAGGTGGAATTTACGAGGAAGTGAAGGAGTAGTCGGGAATGAAGAAATGGCCGGAAAATGAGCTAGTTTTATAGGATAGAGAGTGGAATGGAAGAGTATGCTAGGTAATTTATTGTTCCATTAGTTATCTGGCAAGTGCTGTTTGACATGAGTGTTAGGATGCAAACGGAACTTAGGACTACGAGGTGAGCGAATATGACCTTTCTACATTAGATATGTATGCGATAAATGCCTAACATCAAAAAACTTGTGTTCTAATGTGTATTGGAACAAGTACCTAAGACTAAGTCAAACACTACATCATCAAACACTACATCATCAAACACTACATCATCAAACACTACATCATCAAGGTCAGTCGAAAACACAAAGGTGAGGCACATGAGAGTCAGGTGAAACAGTGATGAAGAGAAAGGCATAATTATGCAGAATGTGAAAGTATGACGTAGGTGTGCAAACATGCAGTGCGTGGTACCTAAAAGGTCATGTGTACATGTAGTGTGCTACACGTTACGTATAATGTAGGTAGTGATGTCAGAGAAACGCTACAACTACGTGCCATGCCAAAGGTTGAAATCAATGATTTGTTAAATTTTCATTTAATAGTTGAGGGAATGGATTAAATATTCATAGGTTGAGAGAAGGGAAAAGTTTAAAGAAAAAATTGACTGTCACCACCCGGACTCAATCGAATCAGGGACCTTTGCTTGAGGCCAACATTGCTCTAACTGAGCTACGGTGTCACAGTAGGAATGGATTAATTTCACGGTTCGCTCGAAACTGTTAGACTGAGTTTTCAACATCCGTAGGAACGCCCCACCACCCTGCATGGCATTCATACGGATGCTGAAAACTCAGTCTTACTGAGTCTCGAGCGAACCGTGAAATACACCATAGCTCAGTGGTTAGAGAGCATCGCTGGCGTCAAGCAAAGGTCCCTGGTTCGATTGAGACCGGGTGGTGACAGTCAATTTTTCTTAAAACTTGTCCCTTTTCCATTCTCTCCATCTTTGAATATTTAATCCAAGAGTTGAATGGATTAAATTATTTAATTTTCATTTCAGCAATTAATGATTTGCAGAAACCGGTAGGCGGCGAGGAAAGAACAAAAGCTTATCGGTTTCGACTTTGAAAAGAAAATTGACAAACGGTGACCCTGGACAACCAAAACCAAGTTTGCTGCTGCTACGCTGTTCCAGTTACATAAACATAAAGGCAAGAGTGTGCAGTTCGAATAGATTTCTATCACTGCGAAATTCCTAGATTACAGACTTTACATCATTTTAGTGGTGTAATACGTTCAAGCAGGATTCTCAGTAGCAGATATCCTGCTGCACAACTGCAGCTCAGGCGTACATGCACGTACCATGCCACTTTCCGCCGCATAAAAGTCTTGTATAAAAGCCCCGGCTTCTATGACTTTCTTGGTGAAATTTTGCAGGCTTCTATGAGACAGGCTTCTATACAAGACAGGTATTTCTATGTATGTCAACACTAAAACCAGGCTTATGTGTGATTTGATGGGCCCAAAATTGCGGCTTCTATTCAAGTGCGGCTTTTATACAAGACTTTACGGTATCTGCACAAACTGAAGTGCTGAAATCCAGGTATTTCGCCGTGATAGACACCCATGCACGCAGAAAAAGTCAGAAGGTGCACACTCTGGGTTTCATGTACTCTTGATATGACTGGCAAGTGAGATTCGACCTCATATCATGAAAAAAGTACTCCCTGGTTCCCATGCATTACACCTTGAGATGTTGCAATAAGACATGCATGTACAATGTATATACCGTACTATCAAATTGATGTACAGTCAACTTCGCTAATAGTAGTAACGACTGCGGATATAACAACAATTCGCGATAACGACAGAATTTCCATGCCTAGAGCAAAGTCCCATCTGACTGTAATACGGCTTGAAAGTGCTACGTCACAGCATAGCAACAATTTCAAAAATTCAAAAACTGGATCCACTTGGATCCAGTTTTTGTATGGATCCAAGCACATTTCAAGCCGTCTTACTCACAGCAAGGTGATGTAGCCAATGAAACTGACTGATTTGGCTACTGGGGGGGGGGGGGGGGGCGGGGTTACAACTGGTGGCGAAGTAAAAGTCACCCCTGCATACGACATGGGTGGGTTGCTATGCACCCACATTCTGAGGCAATAGGAAAGTCACACCTTAGTGGATCCAAAATAGAAATCTGATGTCAACTTACTACTCCCTGGCCGTTTTTGACGTCATCACTTTCAAGCCCTATACACAACCATTATTATAATGAGACTTCGGGTATAAGGACACGTTTCTGATGCCCGCCGAGTGTCGTTATACGCAAAGTTGACTGTACTGCGATGCCAGGAGCTCAAGGCAGCCTAAAGTTAGCCTTACATACACTATTCTGTACACTGGAATACGATGCTTCTCTATAGACTACAAGTATTTCACAAGGTCGAGCTTTACTGGCCCACGTGCATTCTACAGTCAGGAGGTACTGAACTCGCAGACAATGGAAAGCTACGGATACCTAACCCTGGCCAATGGTGTTTGTGATCAATGCGTAACTTGGTCTACTTTTCACGAAAATAAATTGCCATAGCATTTTCAATTTTTCATTGTTGCGGATTGCTTACAGTACAGTAACATGTTTGGCCTCAGATCGGAATGTGCGTTCGTAAACTGAAAAAACCGAATTTCTGGTCATACTCCTAAAAATACACAGGTATAGTATGCTTAGTGTTGACGCTGCCCCCCCCCCCCCCCTCTCAGCTCAGAAGAAAGGTAGTTCCTCTGGTCCCGAATTTCGACCTTGGATCATAAAAAAGCACTGAAAAGCAGTACTGTACAAATCAACTTTAGTCCGGCATTGCCGGCATATGACTTAGTGCTCAGCAGGGAGCCCACACGTCGTTTCCAGGAGATCAGCCAGGGACGTTTCTATCTTTGAGCAACTAATTACAGGTCTACTCTCCATATAACGTTATCTCTGGGACCATGCACAAATTATGTTATATCGAGAGTTATGTTATGTAGAAAACCATGTGTAAAATACAAGATGTACCTCAAAATGAAGGGTATTACAAGGCGGGTTTAACCGTGCAAACATATACACACTGTACCACCATCGACATCAGATACCATCAATGCCGCAGAATATATGCACAAAAGGACTAAACTGGCTAGCTACGGCTACAGCTTGATCGTACCGCGCACGTGAATCTACGTTGTATCGAGAGTGCGCACGTCGGGGACCGCGCCGTAGGGTGCGTTATGCCGAGGTTTACGTTATGTAGGACTAAACTGCCTAGCTACAGCTACCGCTTGATCGTACCGTGCACGTGAATTTATGTTGTATCGAGAGTGCGCACGTCGGGGGCCGCGCCGTAGCGTGTGTTATGTCGAGGTTTATGTTATGTAGGATTATGTTGTGTAGAACAAAATTTGCGTGGGAGTGATGCTGTTTCGGCGCGGGATCTGATTTTTTTTACTTACTAGCGAGGTTTATGTACAAGTGAGAGTTGTTATATCGAGAGCAGACCTGTACTTGGCTGAGTTCTCAGCACGTTCGCAGAAACGTATACTGGATCGCAGTGTTTCAGGTTGGGTGTTCTTGGGACCCACGTTCTTCGGCACATGACTCTAAGGGTGCGTTCTTAAATCCTCCCGGAAAAGTTGGAGAATCTCCAAACAGTTCGAGAGCTGTTCTTATATCCTCTCCGACTTTTAGGAGGCTCTCCAAAGGTGCGTTCTTATATTCTCTAGCTTCTAGGAGTAGAAGAAAAGAGAAGTCGAAGAACTGGTATAATTCAAGAACGGGTCTCGAGATATTTTGCACATGTCAAGCAATATGAAGCGCCAAAGCAAAGATCTTGAGTTATGAATTTAGTATACACATGTGCATATGCGCAATGGGAAATGTGTACACTCATGGTCAACGCGTGGTTTTAGCCGTAGTTCGCAAGCGCTGATCCCAAACCGCGGGAATCTCCAAGTTTCAACCACCTCTAAAGCTTGGAGAGCCTCCTAAAAGTCGGAGAGGATATAAGAACAGCTCTCGGACTTTTCGGAGAGTCTCCAACTTTTCCGAGAGGATTTAAGAACGCACCCCAAGCTTCAGAGGTGGTTGAAACTTGGAAGATTCCCGCGGTTTGGGATCAGCGCATGCAAACTACGGCTAAAAGCCACGTGTTGATCATGAGTGCACGCATTTCCCTTTTCGCATACGCACATGTGCATACTACATTCATAACTCAAGATCCTTTGGCGCTTCATATTGCTTGACGTGTGCAAAATATCTCCGAATTCTTCGACACCCGTTCTTGAATTATACCAGTTTCTTCGACTTTCTCTTTTCTTCTTCTCTTAGAAGCTAGAGAATACAAGAACGCACCATAAGAACGCCCAGCCTACAGTTAATTTCTCGCAACTTTTGGGATACATACGACGCAGTACATTATTTTGTTTCAAAGAATGAGCTATAAGAACATGATCACTGAAAAGAACGTCCCAGGCTAACCCCTTGGAAACCAGGGAGCCCTACACATATGAGTACAGCCGATAAGTTTATAAAGTCATCGGATATACCGGTAGCAAGAGTACATAACCAAGAGTGTGCAACTCAACGATCTCCCACGGCGGAATTTTTTTATGACAGTTTTTGGCGGCTGTTTGGCTCACTGATGCCATCATGCGTAGCCAGAGATCAAAGTACAAAGAATTTGTACATCGCAGCCACGGTAATCAAAGCAGAACAACGGACAATACTGAATATATCAATGTGTCCTGAACCTGATGATCGTATCCACAAAACGCGGGAAAGCACACGCACTTGATCATACTTCTGCCAAAGCACGACGCAAAAAAAATCCGCCGTGGGTGAACCCATCACAGCTCGAGATAAGAGTTGCACACTCCTGCTTATGTACTCTTGACGGCAGTGATAAACCGGCTACTGTATAAGTACAAAGTTTCGTTTGGAATTAACTTTCGGTATATTCGTTAGGAGCATGAATTAACAAAAGCTGCCAAATTGCCAGGCCACAACTTCTAATTATCCAAATGCAGCCCCATGCACCGATATGTACTGTAGAGGCAGAAAATTTCGTGGGTCAATAATTTCGTCCAACTCCAAAGAAAAGGAGTTCGTCCGGTTGAAAATTTCGTCCATGGATCATAAGAGTGTACAGAAAAGCTGGACAAATCGATATTCGGCCTACATTTAATTTAGTCCAAAAGCTCCTTGGACGAAAAAGACGAAATTAAATTCCAGACAAATATTTCTGCTTATACAGAATGTCAAAATGCTCGATCGTATCGCAGTGCATCACCACAATCACAGAGCACGTGTTTGGTCTTTTCAAGTCTCTTCATCACCACAAAAGATTTCAGAGGGAATTGGAGAAACGTAAGAAGAGAGGGGAGTTATCCATAAAACCTAATGTGATTCTCAACTCGGCATGGTGGTGTGCGGCAATTACGAAGATTCGGCGACAGTTTCAAAGTCTCCGGTCAACTCTGTACAAAGAAACAAAGAAGGGGAAAGATGGTAAGTAGGCAAATTAAGCGACCCAACGAAAAACGAAAGGTAGTCTTGTTTTTAGATTGAGAGTACATGTATTGTGGTCTGGCAATAAGTATTATCACCCTGGATCGATAGGAATGTGCAACAGAGTTCCCCGGTCGCTTTCACACAAATTTCAACGTTGATATGGCTCAGCTCAAGAACTCATGAGAGCCAGGAGCCAATGCAGAACATGAGAAAGCCTGCTACCCAGTCAACTGGTTCCACCAATGGCAGACATTGCTAGGAAGTGACATACTGTATATCACCTTATTTTCGGTGTTGTAAAATTTCGGTAAAAGCCAACCCCTGACCTTTCGGTGGAAGGATAAATTCGGTATGCATGGCACCAAAAAAAAAAAAAAAGGCTCTTGCACTAATATCTCCGGCTAGGCTCCACGTACACTGGTGTACGTGTGTACATGTACTATACCAGTACTGCAGTATACAATTAGTTGATTTTTTTATTAATTTTGACAGTGATTTTCATGATTTTTACATATTTTTGGTGTTTCGGAAAATTTAGGTGTAATGTTAAATTAGGTGATCCAGGACCAGTGCCGAAGTTACCGAAATTTAAATTACACCGAAATAAAGGTGTTATACAGTAGTACCAAGCTTGCCCCAAACATGAGGTCAGGAGGCACATCATTTATTCAATTCAAGCAAAGAAATAAAAAATAATTTTAAGAAAAGGTCAATAAGACTGGTACATTGTACCAGTCTTACCTGGGACATCTTCCTGCTCGTTGGCGGCTTCTGGGATGCTTCCGTTCTTGGCAGCTGTAAAGGACAGAATTGAAAAAAGAGAAAAGGAATGCCAACTTGCCGCACACCCACAGTGATATAAAATTAATGGTTGATACCTTTCCTTCATTACCGTAAAAGTCCGTAAATAAGTACGAATTTACTTTCGAATTTAGTGACCACACCCGTACTAACTTTCGGGCACGAACTAACTTTCGGACCTGACTTGTGTGTAGTGGAGAAGTCATTTACATGTAGATGTACATGCTACATGCTGCATGTGCGCATCGTACCGGTACTTATTTCGGGCAGTATGTTTATCGGGCTTGATTTGACTTCAACAGACAGAGCCAAAAGAATGAAGGGGTATTTCTTTCGGGCAGGTACTTATTTACGGACTTTTACGGTATCCAGCCGATGGGATGTCAAACACCATCGAAAATATATGTACAAAACACAAAACGTCAGGGCAGGTTCGATTGGTTGGATCCAGATCAATTGAATCCACTCGATATGTGCATGTTCGTTTCAACGAATCCGATCAACCCAACTCCAGGAGCAGGGTGGACTGGATACACCGGATTCTTTTTTTTGCCAAAATAACGTACTCTGTACGTGATACGTGTACAAATGGTGGGAATAAAAGTCACGATGCGGAAATCGTTGCTTTCCCTCATGGAAACCCTAAAAAAGCACTAAAATTCCAGATCCGATCAAGGGTAGCGTTTGATTGGACCTTGGTGGATCCAAAGGATCCACTCAATCGATCTGGATCCGGATCCAACCAATCGAACATGCCCTAAGTGATATGAACAGAATGTACTCATTTGCGTGCTCAGCCGGGTTAGGACTGTACTTTCTTCTCAACATGCATAAAACCTCTGAAATTATTCGGAACTCCTGCACATGGCCTGACAGTTAAACAGAATTGATTGCTTTCGATGTGGATCACCAAGATGAGTGTGTGCAGGAAAGAGCATGGAAGCAAGCAGATGCATACACGCTGTGCATACGGGCGTGGTTTCCAAGACCGGTGTCTAACTAGTCTCAGACCCGATAACCATTGCAGCAACAGATGAGTGTAAGCTGGTTACCATGATGTAACCAAATTCTGAATTAGAATTGAAATTTCTTGGCTATGTAAACATGGTCATCGATCGATCGAGAGAGGAACGTTGTACCACATCACCAACAGAGGAACACAAGAGGGGCGCACGGTGCACACTGAGCAACAGTACTAACAACCACACAAAGCACGCTACGATTAGAGGAAATCGGCAAGAACAGGAAGGAATTAAACGTACCTGGGCTGCTAAAGAGCTTCTTCAAACCAGATAGGCTCTGTGGGTCCTGCACAATCATAAGAACAGCCACAGAACAAGGTGATGCAATAGGTCAGCAAAATCACAGAAACCACAGCAACATTACAAACATTGAAACATCAGTACAACATACCTCCCACTGGACACACGTATGCATTTATTGATATGGAGCTTCAATAGTAGGGACAATGATATTTATTTACAAAACTTACGAGTTGTGAGAGGACGTTGGGGAGAAGCTCAGCCAAAGCTGTAGAACAAAAGGATAACAGCACATAACCACACAAAGATGATCAGCCAGTGGAAACAGTAACCAAACTCAAAGGACACATAAATCAGCGTACCATCCGAAAACAAAGTCGGCCAATATGGCGTGGCAATTAAAACTCAGGATTTGCCACAAAGATCTGCATCACATCAAGTGTTGCCCATGTATACAAAGCTCACCAGTCAAGTGCAGTTTGGCTTACAGCATGTTACTTAAAACAGATGAAAGACATTCGGGAGGTTGTTTCCATTTTGAAAGAATTTTGTACAATTAGTTTCTACTCAGGTTTGAGGTTTGAATTGGTGACTGGAGCTACTTTACTTTGAACTAAAAAAACAAAATGACCACTACTCGGACACGTTGTGGCATAGGAACATACAGGAAAGAAGTATGTGTACCTCAGCCGTGCTCTCAATGAGATATAGAAAGAGGGCTGGATATTGGTGTGGGCATATGCCAGTCTTACTTTTCCATTACTCGATAGCTCTCTACAATGCACATGTTTACCCAACTTCGTACGGTTTCATACACAAACTAAAGCATGATAAAACAAACAGCCTTGTGATTACTGAATAGCCCTTAAATTAATAGAATCTGCTAATGTGATATGGCATACAGATTTGGTCAACATGCGGTATCCAGTAGCTCCTCAACATATTGAGCAGGTCTCCCACGATGCCGCTAGCAACGTCATAAGTATTATCAAGAGTACATGAAAACCAGAGTGTGCAGCTTGGGGCCTTTTCTGCTATGGGTGTCTGTCACGGCGAAATTCCGTGATTACATCATATTTGGCCCAGATCTGAGGCGGGAAATGGCGTAGTGCGTACAACTGAGCTGCAGTTGTGCAGAAAGAGACCTGCTTGAATCCTGATTGTACGCACTACATCACTAAAATGATGTTATCACGGAATTTCGCCGTGACAGCAACCCATCCGAGCTGCACACTCTGGTTTTCATGTACTCTTGGTATTATGGCAAAACTCTCACATTTTGTCTCAGAAGGTCCACTGATGGAGAAAGTGTTTGCTGGGATGAGGGCGGACACTAAATGACAGACACACCAACAAATACAATAACTAGTTGAGAGATGATGTCGTTTCGGGATGAAGTTCATCACAGCAATATGAATTTCCTTCAAACAATGCTGAAGCAGTGCACAATCAAAATTTGCCGACAGGAATTCAGAATTTTGAGATGACCCTGTATACTCAGGAAATTTTCTAGAACCGCCCCAACCGGTTTTCGACCGGTTGGAATTGCTGGAGACCGGTTGAAAAGTTACAAATCAGTTCCAACCGCCCGTACTTTTCTGTGGGTGAATGGAGCTGTGAATGGTCAAACGCTTTTTTCTGGACGGATACTTCCAGCGAAGCCGCGTGGGCTGGTACTAGGGTCACGAGTTTGTACGGTTTGCTACACTCCATCAACAAGAAATCTGTTAAATTGCTGTCGAGTGCCATATTTGGGTTGTATTTTTAAAAAAATTTCCGGGGGACCGGGGGGACCCCCCCACCCCCCGAACCGGGGGGACCCCCCCCCCACCCCCCGACTCTTCATTGGACCGTAACCAGTTGGAAATTCGTCCTAGAATATACCCTGATACTGTACATGAAATAAATTCAGTGATATAATTATAGGCTAATAGCGGATAATTGAAAGGTACTGGTGCCTATGTCAAGGGGTGCCTCTGGACAAAACGTATACTATAGCAACCAGTGCAGCAATTTGCATACACATGAAATCCCTGACACAACGTCCAGGAGGGTGGGGTCTAAAGCAAACAGAACAAGGCTTGTGCACACGGACTGCTTTGCTTGCCTGAGTTCCAGTCTAACCGGCAACCACCATACTCGCACAGGCGATACACATTCTATGTCGACCACTGGCAGCAAAATAAAACGTACAACCATCAAGTATACCGAAGGAGCACAGAACAATGCAAACGGCATACAGTGCAGTATTGCTGGGAATTGACCGTCTAAATCTTACCCTTCGGGTTGTTGAAGTGGAGAACATTTCCGTCATCCTGGAACATGTTGACTTCCTCGATTCCGGGGATGCTGTTCATGCCCATCTTCTTCAGATGGTTCTAAACAATAACAATGACAAACAGAAAATTTGGAACAGAAAAGGTTAGTGGTGGTTGACTAAAATAAGGTGCATTCCAGCTAGAGAACCAGTACGTCACACAGAAAAGCACCCCTTGCCCTCCGGAAATGTGGCATGATACATCGGTCGAACAGCATGAGGTTACCCAGTATCGAGCTAACATAGATATCAGGTGCATGACTGTGTTGCAATGGTGGTGGCACAGTGAAGGTCACGACGGCGAGACGGACAGGAACGTGACAACCCGGTGGATGCAAGCCAGACACGTATTGCAAACTACATGTATGAGACTGTTAGGTGAGAATATGGATATTGTTTTTACACAATTACAAGAGTTACATTACACGTCTTCACTGATTGATGGGTGCATCAACAAACATGACACTGGGATTGATGGGTGCATCAAAAAACATGCCACTGGGATGTTCTCAGCTTTACGAACCGAAGAGTGTGTTGATAGCTACCCCAAGATTCGTGCGGCTCAACCTTATGTATGTACATCTATTGAAACTCGACACAGTCGCTCAGACAGTTGAAAAGCATGACACAAAATTATTATCATTGCCGCCATATATTTCAATGGTTTCATCATGACAAGGCAGCGAAATGATGGGAACGGAAACGGAAGTCTCGCACGACAATGACCAGCGTCAACGGTTGCATGAACCATCCCTACCTGGAGCTTCTTGTCATCAGAAGAGGAGGTTTTGTGGACAACCTTCTTCTTTCTGCGAGCTGTGCCCTACGAATTGTGAAACCCAAAATGTCGTCCAAAGTTCAAATCACGTCCGCGAGCCTCGCACCTCAAGCGTCTCAAACGTAACCCTACTAACCTTTCCACCAATTCTAACTTGGTCCTGAAGAGACTTAAGTTTTTCGGGATTCATGGTGATAGATGTTGAAGAGGCTGGAAAATGCCACCAGCAGTTCTTCCCTCTCTCCGTTGCACAAAAAAGGACGCACGAAAAGCGTGGAGAAGCAGATCAAGGGGTCGCGTGGGGAACACAAAATTTCGCGAAACGAAAAGATTTTTACGGATTAGGGATACGTACCTGCGCGCTACGCCTATGTCGAACATACACGCTAGCACAGCGTGCAATAATTATGGGCCAGCACTCTAGAGTGGGTTCTTCACATCACCGATCCGGCCCCTTTGCGGCCTTGACCTTTGGAGTTTGAGACACGGAAAGGCTTTCTGTAGCCTTCCACTTCCAGGCGAAAATAGCTTGTCTTGTACATGTGCGTGTATGGTTGCAGTGTCTGCTCTAGGATTGTAGGACAGCCGGGTACACGTGTACCTGGCGCAACCATTTCAACCGGGTCGGAGCCGGGTACACAATCATGTACCTGGCGCTGTCTCACCAGCCGAGTCACATGCTTTAACCCAATGATATAAAGGCGAATAATGGATAAGCCGCATTTAGAAAAGAGAGGACAGGAATTAGAAAATTACGAAAGAAGAAGTATCTGACACATACAAGCCTTGTAGTCAGTCCTTTCAAAGTCCTTTCAAAGTTCGAAAGTACCATAAAGTACCGCCAGAGCGCCCCACCTTGATTTTACAGCCAGAGAAAGGAAAATCGTATGGCAGAGTGCAACGAAGTTTGTACGATGTGAGAATCTTAGTGTACTAAGGTCACGCTTGGCAGGGTTTTGTGTGGAACTTGTAATTGTGCCCGCTCGAAGGTACGGATTGACTGCAAAACGTGCAATATGTGTACAAGGTTCATGTCGTATGACCTACAGACAGCAGACCACCTCCACAATACGACCACGAAAGGATGAGATGGTGGGGCGCTCTGGCGGTACTTTACGGTACATGTATAAAGTACCAACCGGGTCACAGGTGACCCGGTACTATATTTTTAACCGGGTCCAAGCGCCGCCCAACCGGGTGGATTACCCGCCTCACCCGGCGCTGGAGCAGACACTGGGTTGAAAGTAGATGGTGGGGCGCTCTAGTTGTACGACAATGAGTACAAAAATGATTTTTATCCGCCATATATGCACAAATGTCACATTTGGATCCGATGGATCCAGTCAACCCTACTCTCGGGGCATGGTTGCTTGGATCCAAATCTGAAGTATCTGGATCAGGGCTCGACCAATCGATCATTGCAGATCCAGTGGATCCGACGGATCTGGATCTGACCAAACGATCACGACCTTAGACAGCGAAACCGGTCAGTCCTTTAAAAAAAGATTAGTTAAATCAAAATATGTGTTCTGTGAAACTAGTTGTGTCGGGGATGTTTCCCTATTCAATTCTTAGTACGTCAAGTCTCCCTCAAGTTTTTAAAGTTTCCACTACTAGAATGACAGATTCTACCCGCCGAGGAGTTAAACTTGGCCTAGGACATCCTCTTCTTGCCGAAATGTCAGCTAAACGTAAGCGACACGATGATTCGGCAGCAGCTGCAGATGCAGATCTCCCCCACCACGCACATACGTGCATCTCGTCAGCAACACCTGGATCTAGCCCGCTCCCAGACGCCGAGCTTGAACGGTATGTGTGTTGGTCTGTTGATAGGCTCCTTACGAGCGAGAGGATCATTGCAGAGAACCGTTTGAAGGCTGAAAAATGGCAGTCTCAACTTGAAGAAATATGTGTTCTGTGAAACTAGTTGTGTCGGGGATGTTTCCCTAATCAATTCTTAGTACGTCAAGTCTCCCTCAAGTTTTTAAAGTTTCCACTACTAGAATGACAGATTCTACCCGCCGAGGAGTTAAACTTGGCCCAGGACATCCTCTTCTTGCCGAAATGTCAGCTAAACGTAAGCGACACGATGATTCGGCAGCAGCTGCAGATGCAGATCTCCCCCACCACGCACATACGTGCATCTCGTCAGCAACACCTGGATCTAGCCCGCTCCCAGACGCCGAGCTTGAACGGTATGTGTGTTGGTCTGTTGATAGGCTCCTTACGAGCGAGAGGATCATTGCAGAGAACCGTTTGAAGGCTGAAAAATGGCAGTCTCAACTTGAAGAAATATGTGTTCTGTGAAACTAGTTGTGTCGGGGATGTTTCCCTAATCAATTCTTAGTACGTCAAGTCTCCCTCAAGTTTTTAAAGTTTCCACTACTAGAATGACAGATTCTACCCGCCGAGGAGTAAACTTGGCCCAGGACATCCTCTTCTTGCCGAAATGTCAGCTAAACGTAAGCGACACGATGATTCGGCAGCAGCTGCAGATCCAGATCTCCCCCACCACGCACATACGTGCATCTCGTCAGCAACACCCGGCTCTAGCCCGCTCCCAGACGCCGAGCTTGAACGGTATGTGCGTTGGTGTGTTGATAGGCTCCTTACGAGTGAGAGGATCATTGCAGAGAACCGTTTGAAGGCTGAAAAATGGCAGTCTCAACTTGAAGGAAGGGTTTATGAGGAGTTTCTAGTGAAGAAATTCTCCAAGCTTTCCGAGCAAGCGAGGTGCGTTGAGGATGATGTCAACTCCCTGGGGTTGGCTGTTCCAAACTTTGCAGCCGTAATCACCAAGGTTAACGGAGGTTCGTACTTCCACAAGGACCGTGCCGAGCAAACCATACGCATGGAACTTCCGCCGGCTGAATTCTTGATCATGCGAGTAGATGTGTGCAAGGTGACGGTGGCAGCGGATGGTTCTGTGGAGCGCGTCCCCAAACGACAGTGGTGAAATCAGTGCAAATGGGAGATCTTCAAATGTATTAGAAGATTCCCTAGATAATAAGAACACACAACGTAGAGCAGAACAGCACTAATCTGTCGTGATCTCCACCGTGGACTGAGTTGATCAGCAGGTGGAGAGCCTCAAGAGCCAGGTAATGAGCAGCAGATTCGAGACTGTTTTTGAGAATGGCGGCTTGTGATGCTCACTTCAAGCACTGGGTGAAGAAGAGAAAGTTCAGACTACTTGACCTCCCCGCCCTGGGATTGAGCAAGGTATTGGTCACAAGTACCCAATCTGCATAGTATATAGCATACACAACCCATGTACCTGCGAGTAGTGCGTTCCGCAAACGTTGCAAACGTTGAGCGGGTTGTCTCCATAATTCACGCTGACGACCTTCGGCACGCAGGATACAAGCAAGTATTGGACTGCATCCAGCGATCTCTCTTCTTCGAACCTCGAGACTTGAACTTCGACCTTCGTGCTCTGATTGCCTGCGTGTGAACTTTACAATACTTTGGAATCACAAGGACGTCCAATACCCTGTATGTCAGCTAAGCCAGCCACACTGGCGGACAAAGCCACCACTCAGGCCTATTGTGCAGCGGGACTTATTGGAGTGGGTCCAAGTTGACCTGATCGATATGCACCACTCGCCCGATGGTGAGTATAACTATATCGGTCATTTCATGAACCACTTCAGCAAGTTCTGTTCCCTCTTTTCAGCGATCTCGGTAAGCTCTTACTTACTTCCATGTGCACAAAATCTAGATAGAGGTATCATCTATAAAAGAACCTCCATCTAGTCATGAAATATGCTTGGGTTGCATACATACCAGTACCCAAACCCTAACCCTAACTCTAGATGTACAGTTAGATTTTATTGCTCTTAGCTGGAACAGTGGTCACGTATTGTGTCTTTCATTTTCTACAACCTGTTATTTCCTGAAGCAGAACAAGGCAGAAGTGGTGTTCATCATGCTCATGGTTTGGGTCCTGGTCCACCCATAATATCTCAGACAATGGCTGAGAATTCGCTAACCAGCTGGTGAGGGCAATGTTTGCTAAATGGGACGGCGGCGGCATCGTATCCGTGAATGGGGGCGTGCACGGCACCTCCAGTCCCAAGGATCGGTGGAGAGTGGCAACCGTCAGGTTGAAAGGAAAATAGCAGCCATGAAGGCAGATGTAAAGATTGACAAGGAGCATGGCTACCCAGGATTGTGTTCTCCCTGAGCAGTACAAAGAACCGTACAATAAAAGACTCTGTACAGAGTTGCTAATGGGAGAGACGTTCCGGTTGCCGTAGCGTTGTTCCCGGATCATCAAGCCTGGATATCTTGGATGAGGAGGACTAGCCAGCCAGCTCCATAACTCCTCTTCCTCGATCTTCAGCCTATCAGTCTCTCTTATTGAAAATTTTCTACATACATGCAAGAGTACATAACCCCCAGAGTGCGCAACGCCGATCCAGCTCTGCATAGGGTATTGGTCGAGCGGAATCGGATCTTCTGATGTCATGCGTACACTCCACACCAGCGCAAGGCCGGTCTCGAGGCGGGGCACCATTGTTTTTGATCCAAGAGTACCCGCGACTCCCCGGGTTCCCCTCAGATGTGTACGGTATTATGACGCAAAGATCCGATTCCGCTCGACCAAGACCCTATCCAGAGCTGGATCCGGCGTTGCACACTCTGGGGGGTTATGTATTCTTGATACATGTAATCACCAAACAACATGTTCTGGGTTTCCTTTTCTTTCTTTTTTCTTCTTTTTTTTTACAAAAAGAGTCAAGATTCACGAGTTCTCGAACAGCAAGTACAGTACCTGAAGTTTCTTGTCATCGGACGAGGACGTCTTGTGCATGACCTTCTTCTTTCTGCGAGCAGTTCCCTAAGTGGGCACAAGAGAACGTGGCTTCATCAAATTTCGACGTTGTGCTTGGCCAAGCTAAAACTCGTGCAGAACAAACCTTTCCGCCGATTCGGACTTGGTCCTGCATTGCCTTGAGCTTTTCCGGATTCATGGTGACAGCAGCACAGAAGGAAACGTGTACTGATAGAAACTGTTGTTGTGGAAAGTCACGGCAAAGGCTAGGAGGTGAAACTAGGACAGGCCAAGAAACTATGCGTAAGTCCTCTATCACGACTAGACCGCCAACATGCTTCTTTTACAATACACATGTGTACACATATGTACATGCAAGATCCAGGCGCTAGGCCAGGGTGAACTCCCGATCCTGTGGCTGTGCAAGATGGAAAAACTCCGAAAATCCCATTTTAAAATCTGTCCACATCCGAAAAACAGGAGTGGCCACCGCTTATTTGAGGTTGTACTTTTGGCCAAAACCGGCTGCATGCCGGAGATATCGTTGACCGCAAACCGAAACTGGCGGCGCCATGTAGTAGTTTTAGGATTTAGGCCGGGTTCTACCAAGAATACCGGTACATACCTCGTTGACTTCGTTTTTTGGACGGAATGAAACATGTACAATCAAGAGGACTGTAATTTCACAAATTTTCGGTGTACTTTTATTTTCGGTACTTTCGGTGCATCTGTTTCATACCATTTTCAATACACCGAACAAACACCAACACACATAATCCAATAGGGAACTGCTTCTCTGTACCTAAAATTTCTGTTCACCTAACCTGGCATTTCGCCCTCATACCGAAAATATTGACCACCGAAAATTTCTGAAATTAAGAGTATTATAACCATGATAACCTGAGAGAGTACCCTGATAACCGGGGGGGGCTTATTATAATAATTATACTCTTGGTAGAACTGAGTACATTTCAGAATGCTCTGTCTCCATATCAATGTGTTTGGCCTACAATTGTAGTTTCCTAATTCCTGACAGCTTTTTTTTGCCAAGATCAGCACTGCAGAGGAGATGTCCCACCACAGCACCGGATGTGGTCCAGATGTGCATCAGGATAATGCATACAAGTCCCAGGGATATTACAACAGGTCCCTATCAGGTGTGATTGCATGCACCATGAACAAGACAAAAGATTGAATGATACATGACGTTTCCTCAGTCTCGGAGGTTATATTATCAGGGCTTGACCTGAGCAATGGCATTGACTTCGTATGGGTTATTCACAGAGTAATCTCAGCTGATAGCGCAACACCACGACAAGAAGTCGACTGGCAGAGCAGTTACATTCTAAGCAAATCCATGGTCACATGATTTAACATCTACTTGTAGAGTGATTAACAATCAATATAAAAAAAGGGAAAATAGAATAGAAAATAACTAACTTGAAGAATGCCCGTCTGGCAACAGGTAGGGATATGCCTGCAGCAATGCAAGCAAAGGCAGCAGGATTAAGGGGATCAACGAGAGACGCGTTAGACGGATAGGGACATAAGCTAGGACTATGAACAAACAGAACACCAAACAAAGCAAGCAGCCGACGGGTAACGGACAGCAAGCAGCTAACACCAGCGTGTCGCCAAGCACGGCGACATAGAGAGCGAACGACAGTTATTCACACACTTCAACGTAGTTGGATGGGAACATGCCACGCTCACCGCGCGAGTTGGTGCCCACCCACCAGTTGGCATCGGATTGGTCGACGTCGGTGATGATCTCTTCTGGGTCGATGTTGACCTCGGTGTCATCCTCGGCTTGATAGTCATACAGTGCGCGGCAGGTGACACCGCTGCCAGCCGCGGCCTGGCAATGAGAAGAGGACACACAGGAGCAAACATAGTCAACGGCATCGAAAAGAACATGGCAGTGCCATATCTCTTGTTTGCCCTGTCTGTAATTGCGATACGTTGTTCATCATTCAGTGTCCATTCCTTACTCCCAATCTATTTCACTCCTTTATGCAACTGATGATCAGCTGACGACACACTACAATAGTGAAATAGGAGTAAGCATTGAATGATGCATCGCAGCCTTCTCAGATCCACCACCATTTGATTCAGCGGCCAGAAGACTATAGGTTCTGAAAGTTTTATCTTCGTCCGTGCTTTTATAAGACCGAAAGGACGCGTCAAGCGAAATTTTCCGTACAGCGCCCCATGATCTTGTGGCGGGCACGCTGTAGGTGTAAGAATCTGTTGTATCATCTGTATCACGCCTGTCATGATTGTCTGAAGGTATTGTCTGTGTTGTGGTTGACTTCACACTAGTATTATTCAGTCTGTCGACTGGCCTTTCGTACAATACCTATTGATGTCTAGAGACATACTGTCTAGCCTTCCCCTAATGCTCTTATTGATACACTATCCAGCTGTCCAACGGCTCTCCTTCCACCGTTCTCTATCTCGCTATACTCTTCTTCACACTCTATAAGTTCGTGTCTTCTCTACAATAAAATCAGTTCAGTGACTGACGAGTTCGAGATCACAACAGAATCCAACTCGGAATATAGGACAAGCAGAGCATTGCAGTTTACTCGGACCCAACACAATTCAACTCGAGGGCCGTGCTTCCCACACTACCGTTGCGCTCTGCGGCCGACCACACACATTTCCCACGTGCTTCTGTGGTAAAGCTCTCCTACAAACAAGTACAACAAAGTTACCTCTGGCTCAGATGGAAGAGCTTCCTCTTGGTATTCTTGTTGCTGGGGCTCCTCCTGGTATTCTTGTTGCTGGGGCTCCTCCTGGTATTCTTGTTGCTCGGGCTCCTCCTGATACTGCTGTTCTTCTTCCTGGTACTGCTGGGGCTCCTCTTGATACTCTTGCTGTGGTTCGGCTTCTTCCTCTTGCTGAGAAGCAAACAGAGAAAGCGAGCATACACACAGGCGATATGATAGTCGGAAGAGAAAGTGATCTGAGCATTGTGTATGCAGGGCAGAAAGTGTGAGCGTCTTGACAGGCTCAAAGAAAGGGAACGTGCAGTCTGAAGTGTTTGCACGTCATATCACACAAAGCATAATGATACGGACTCCAACGCCATTATGGGAAGTTGAATTGTACCCGAATAAAAACTCAAACGGTTGCCGCGAGCCACGATGAAATCTGCGCTGGCAGTGCCAGTAAACATACGCTGAACTGAGAGCATCTCATACAATTACCGTAGTCGAAATGAGCACGTTGATGCACTGATAAAGAGAAAATCTACATCACTTGCAGCATGACCTGACACAGAACACACCGTCTCCCATACCTGGTGTCCAGTGCGCACATGAGCGGAAATTGCCGCTCTCTCCTGCACAGTACAAGAAGAATACATACAACGATGTCAACATAACGTGTGTCATGGAGGAAGCTGGAGTCTCCACTGGACCAGAGCAGCCAACAGCAGAGAGTACCGTGTCTTACGGAGTTTAAGCCGCACCCAGTTTTTTTTGTCCTGAAATACAGACATTTACCCTGTCTATCAACGTAAATTTGACCATCGTAGTGTAAGGCACACCGACTTTTTTTGCGTGAATTACTTGTGTTTAAAGTGCAGCTTATACTCCGGAAAATAAGTAAATAAGTTGGGAATCTCAATATCTCAAGGCCTTAATTAACTTCTCCTGATAGGCCATAAGCAGAACTGTTCGGCAGAAATACTCATAGTTTCTCACCTCCTCCCAGGCAGCAGCCTTTGCGACCCTTTTCTCGTCCTCGTCCTGTCCATCATCGCATTGTTGCTCGGCACGCTGCAGGCGGATTCGTTCACGCTCCTGACACGGTGGGACAAGAAGAGATGAACACGCACCAGTGAGCATCATGATCAATTTTTGCTGCAGTGCAATGAATGGCAATGGGTACAGTAGGCACTTGACCCACACCAAAAAGCACCATGCAGATGCACAAGTTCAGCAAAGAGTGACCCTTGGCAAGATCAAAGCAACCCAACCGCATGAATGAATGTGCACAACAGATCAGGACGGGAACTGACCTCTTCCCAGACGCGTTCCTTCTCCTGCTGCCAAGCATCCTCACGGTCCTCATCGGTCATGGTGGACGACTTGCAGCCAGAAATTCTTTCACGCTCCTGTGCACAGCCACATAAGGGACAGGACACGCACAACCATTAGTACTTCGAAATGTTCACTTCTATCTTCCAGGTGACGGTACAATCCGAAAAGAACACACCTACTGACTACAGAACAATTCTATGAATAATTTGAGAATCCAGCCACTGACCTCTTCCCATTGGCGCTTCTTATCGTCTTCTGCGGACTGCTCTGCTTCCGTCATGCGCTCTGCTTCTTCAGCCTGCTCTGCACGCTAACATCAGCAAACGAACAATGTACGCCAAATGATGCAGGCACTTACCAAGAGAAGGAGTGGAATGCAAGGGGATCGGCAGAGTTCAGAGACGACGACTGTAAGGCATGGTATATAACTTATAATAAAATAAATGGATTATTATGGTTTGCACAGCACTCAGTCAGACAGAATTGTTCGCATCAGTAGGAACGCCACCATCCTTCAGGATCAAAACACTGATGCAACTCCTAAAGCGGTGAGAGATGAGACTTATCACAAAGTGGTCAAAGACCGAAAATCCCATTCTCTCCATCAATGCTACCCTCATGCCGGCCATGAGCTCCCAATAAACAGTCACAGCATGCTTGAAGTGGATGTTATTAATATTATAATGACTTGCAAATCTAACGATTTCCCAAAAATCGCTAGCAAGAAAGATATACATGTACATGTACTACTTCTGGAATAGCATTCTTGGAGCTTTCAGGTATTTTCGAACATACATGTAAATTGATGTAATACATACTAGGCCTTTACAAAGAAACTTCAATACACACACACACACGCACGCACACACACACATACATGTTGGAAGACGCTTTCACACAACTAACCCATCTCTCACGAGCCTCCTCCTCTTCACGCTTTCGCTCAGCCACCTCAGCATCTCTGTAGGGAACGTGAGAAAGAATAGGGTTTCTTCCATATGCCCGTTGGCATTTATCAAAGCCACCACCATCACATACTGGACAAACAGCACAATCTTATCATGGTGATCGTCCTCATGTCAAGCAGCAGTTCAAAAGAAAGTTGCTCTGATCTTCGAGGCAAGGCAACAGGAAGCCTGCACAAGGGAGCAATGCAATAGAGCTGTTGCACATCTGACCGTATAGAGCAGCCATGTTGGGTTCCAACACCACTCCACCCCTGCATCGATGGGTCACATGATATTGACCAAGTTGGTCCCCTGTCCACGTGCAATGAATACTTTTAAGATTCAGTTACATGACAAAGATGTGAAACCCCTCCGTTGCCCATGCCACCAAGTGCTCCTTACTTTCTGGCCTGCACCTCCTTTGCCTTGCGGTCAGCTGTCGAATTACGAGCAGCCGCCTCTTTGTCCTGCAGCAGATGCAATACATCAAACACCATCCATTACAAATCGAAGCATTTCCTTGACAGGCGTTACGGCGTCTTGCAGATCAAGGCCAAGCACCCAATACAGTTACGTTTAAAGACGGAAGCTGTGTCTCATAGCGGACTATTGGCAACCAGGATCATTCACTGCCCAGCATATTATTTTCATACCACATTTGCTGCAGTAGAATGCACACTCCTCCTTTAATGGACCTTCATCACCAGTATTGAACCATTCAAGGTACATGTAGATCTGATACACACGTTCACATGGGGAATACAAGTATATCAGGTGCCACAGGAGATTGAGCCGAAACATGACATCCACTGCGCATACTGTAATACTCATGCAAGTACATGTAGGGTATATGCAGAGAAGACGTGGGTGGCAAGGGAAACGCGGATCAACGCACACATGCAGCGCTGAAGACCGCACAGTCTCGTCGGCCAAGACATGAATGTGTCTACACATGCACGAATGACACCACCCGACATAGCAACCAAGACAGCACGTGACAAGAGTTTGAAGTGAGAAGGTAATTCATATTTGGAGCATACCTCGCGTGCTCTCCTCTCCTTGTCGGCGACGGCACGGTCGGCGGCCTGACGCTTGATGTCTTCCTCCTTGCGTCTCTCATCTTCTTGCTGTTGGTGAAGCACACGCACAGTTGGGAATTTACGATACGCAACACATTGTGAAGCACAGTACATGTACAGCCGTGGACCAAGGTAATGGTAGGTACAACGCTGAGCTTCAAGCTAATAACGCCACCATCGGGTTACATGGGAGATGGTGTTGATCAGGCCGGTGTACGCACAAGGAAGAAATAGGGTGCTAACAGTGCGGATGTTGAGGTGTCTTTTGCAACCGAGGCAGAACATGCTGGGAACATGACATCACTACGTAGCATGAGCAGTTATGTCCACAGAATTGTTCGATACATGGCCACTGTCCCTCTATCAGGATCCTCTCCCCAATACAAAGCCTTGAACCCCAATTAGGAAGGAGTAGTGATAGCAGCAGCGGAAGACAAACTTCAAGCAGGAGCATACCACAGTTGGTCACTTACATGCTGTTTGTTCATGTACTCGTTACGCTTCTTGACGTCCACCTCCTTGGTAGCGTCCGTCTTGACGTAGTTAGTGCCAGTCTTTGCAACGGGACCGTAGTCCTTCTTCTTTTCCTTGTGGATGCCGTAGTTGGCACCGGATGCCTTGGAGATTCTGTCCAGCAGTACTTTCTCAGTGACATCGTCGTCATATCGGGCATTCAGGCGTACGTGCACGCCGGGAAAGAATCGCTCCACGTCCATCACGTGCCGGCTAACGACCGCCTTTACAGCAGCGGGCAGGCCGTCGGGCAGCCAGTTGACCTGCAGCATCTTGGGCAAGCCGGAGTTGGGGTCCTTCAGCTTGATGATGGCGTACACCGCCTTGGTCTCACCCAGCTCATCAACCATCTCGTCATATCCATCCTCTGCTTGTCAAACACACACAGTTGATTCGCATAGTACCATATTCGGCGCTTGCACTACCCGCAACCCTTGTTTGGGAGATTCCTAAGCTAGTAGAATCTACTCGTAGATCTACACTCAACAGTTTTTGGGATGGAGTTGAGAGGGTATGTGTGAGACACATGGAGACTGGACTGTTGAGATTTGTGAACAATTGCACGGGCGGGAAATCGTCCCGGGCATATAATCTTTGAGATTACTATGCAGTAGTATAACAGCAGTGAATGCAGCATTCTGAAGGTTGATACCTTGGACAAAGAAGCGCCAATTTGAATTCTGCACAAAAATCTTTTCATAGTCCTGTGGCCCCCTCACCTCCGGTTTCGTTGACCTTCAGCGTGCGATTGTCCTTTTCATAACCAAAGACAACCCTGCGTGATGCAAGCACAATGTCATCATAGAGTGTTGAAAGTTTGGTTATGTTAGGAGAAGAACAGTTCTGTTCGGAAATTTTCTATAATGCACTCTTACCAATCATTGTCAGAATCGCTGCGGACATCCTCGAATGCCTCCTGCATGGCATCTTTGTTCTTTTTCAAATCGCACGCCATTTTCACAGCCTTGGACAACTATTCGGATCACAGCAAGCCAAGGAAGGGTGCCGAGAGGACAAGGAAGATCCGAAACACAACAAGAAATGGACTGGAAGTACCGGTACGAGCACAGAAGCACAGAGTAATTCCTTTTCCTGAGTACAACTACGAGTACAGTACAAAGTCATGCATGCATAATTATGCTAGCCGCAGAGTAGATCTACGAGTGTAGATCAACGAGTGTGATCAAGAGTACAACTCCCGAGTCCTGGGGGGGGGGGGAACTCCTGGCGCGATGGCTTGTGTTGCTGTTTGTGTGGTCATATGATCATGTGCATGTGCTCATGCATATGCGCATGCAGTCATTGCAGTGACATGATGACTAGAGAATGTACATGACTTTGTAGTATAGTGAGTACAGGTGAACATCGATTATCCGACTACCTCTGGGCAGACAACTAGCTGTCAGGCGGTGTTCAGATAAGGCAAATGTTCCGGATAAGAAAACACACTGTAAATACATTATCCATATAAAAATCGCTCTGTGAGCGGTTCTGAAAAACCTTTACTGGTACTGCCCCGTCGTAAAAGTAAGAAATTAGAACTGGCCCATTGTCCCCCCAAATGCGAACTGATCCACCTAAATCGCGAATGACGGGACCCGAACGCACCAGTAGCACGAGGTCGGGAGGGCACAGGATCACGGCAATTATCATAGGGTGTTACACCAGTAGTAGCAGTAGAATTTATTATTTTGATAGGGAAGCCTACCGCTAGTACAGTACATGGCCTATGGTCCGGACCATGGTACCAACGTCCCCATCTGCATCCACAGGTAGGAACCTCGTGCTACTGGTGCGTTCGGGTCCCGTCATTCGCGATTTAGGTGGATCAGTTCGCATTTGGGGGGACAATGGGCCAGTTCTAATTTCTTACTTTTACGACGGGGCAGTACCAGTAAAGGTTTTTCAGAACCGCTCACAGAGCGATTTTTATATGGATAATTTCAGCTCTTTTTCCGTTCCCTCCCCACCCCAACCCCGAAGGTAAACATGATGACCACGCGCGCGATGTACTGTATGTAGCCATGCGACTGCAATAACACACTGATACATACCAGCCATCCCTGCCTCGCTACCCCGCACACAGATACACAAACATGTGTATGCACACGGCACACACACGTGGCCACGCACACATACGCACATGCACACGACACAAACAGGAAATTCTTCATGTATAATGCCATGCAAAGCAGTGGCCACCGTACTTGAGGAAGTCAGTTGTGAAACAAAAATAATTCAACTACAGCGTGTAGACAAGCTGACGGCCAAAGCACAACATAGCAAACATGACATTTGCCCAAGGATTGCAGTTTGCAGACCATGCCATGGAAGCAGCGAATACAGAATGTAATATCATACAAAGTGACAAGCAAGGACGTGGCCATCATACACCAGAAACTTGCAGAAAGTCACATATCCAACAGATAGAGAAGTGAACAGCAATCTGATACAGCCCACACAGGACAAAGCGGACCTGATACTCGTCCCAGTATTGCAAGTGGCAAACCCTTTTCAATGCATAACATGCAGGTGTACGTTAGACGCATGAACATCTGACCGTGTCGCCAGCATACAATGTCATCACATGTTTACCCCACAAGTTACACACATGCACAGTAGAAGCACAATGAAAGCAATGGAAAAGTACGATGTGGTTGCTGAAGCATCTTCACACTTCAAATTCAGACTTCAATGTGGTCGTCACGGGATGATATACCTGCAAGATACAAGTGATGAAGAAAGAAAGCAGAAGGTCGTGAGGTAGGCTATGAGACACCACAAACGGTTCACCTACATGTCTGTTCAGGGCTAGTGCACTCACACGGAGAATTGTCATAATCGAGCATTTCCCTAACTGAGAAGTGCAATGAAATCCACTTGCATGCACAGGAGCAATTTTGCAATAATATTGCAAAATTATGATGCGCAATTCGACACGATCTGCGATGCTGCGTGCGATGTGCCCTGCTGTCATGATAGTCAGTCACCGCGGTATGTTTTGTCAACGTCGCCCGTGCACTCTTCTGTCAAGTCCAAAGTGCTCACATACTTGGCAATGTTTTTGCAGTGATTAACTTTTATCCTAGTTATGTCACGGGTAACTTTAATGAAGTACCCGCAGGCCGTGTCGATCTGCACATCGTCCACTCTCTCATGTACTTGGCCTGCTTTGTCTGTGTATCCATTTCATGTGCGATCCACAAAATCGACTAGACAGTGGGTGCAATACGCTCTCTACCTGAAGACGTTCTTCTGGCGACATCTCGCCATGTACTTGGCCTGGCTTTGTCTGTGTATCCATTTCATGTTCGATCAACAAAATCTCAATGCACTACAGAGACTAGACAGTGGGTGCAATACGCTCTCTATCTGAAGACGTGAACCATTAAATTTTTTGGAAAAGCTATACGTACACCTGAAACGTAATGAAGTACAGGAATAGAGAGAGTGACTACAATACGCTCTCGACCTGATATAGTGATAACGTGAGTACAAGACACTCTCCACCTGATAACGTGTTAGAAGGTAACATGTCTACAGTCCCACTGAAGTACAGTCTGTATCGGCTATAGCGTACCCTTTTGATTTCCGTGATTTTATCACTATAACCGATGCATCACTATATGCGATACGATCGATTTTTTTGAGCGACACATGAAAGGCAAGGAAATATTTCCAGCATGGCGTTTTGACAAATGAGCATGCTGCATAGTTGACAGTGCCCGCATTTCCATAAAAAATTCTGTTATGTACATGTACATGTGTCACTATCAAAATAAGCAACGTGAAGAAAGTTAAAGGGGAAGTTAAGGCAAAAATTAAAATTTCACCAGTTGTAGTCTTCGGGGTGCTGAGTCGAATGGTCTTGGTCCGAGGAAGCTGAGACGCTCCCTTCCTACTTGAATCCCAATCGAACTCGCGCACTTCCACCGAAACTGGTTGACTGCGCCCTACTAGATGGGGATTTGTATGCAAAATGTCACTAAAAGCGCCATTTCGTTCTTATAAAAGCACGGATGACCGCGATTGGCCCATATATTGTAGTCTTTTGGACGCTGAGTCGACTGGTTTTGGTCCGAAAGGGCTGCGATGCGGCGTTCCTCCTTTATTCCCAATCGAACATGGTTGAACAAGCGGTCACGTGCTCCTGCGTACACCAGTCAGCTGGTCACCGTGCCTGCAGGGTACAACTTACTAGCCTGTTTGACCTTTTTTGGGTGCAGTCCTGTCACTCAAGTTGAACTCGAGTTGAACCTTGGTGTGAAAGTTGTCACCTGCTGGCGTGGTGACCAGGTGATTTGGGCACCCAGGACCACGTGACCGCTTCTTCAACCATGTTCGATTGGGAATAAAGGAGGAACGCTGCATCGCAGCCTTTTCGGACCAAAACCAGTCGACCGTCGTCAGCGTCCAAAAGACTACAACATATGGGCCAATCGCGGTCATCCGTGCTTTTATAAGAACGAAATGGCGCTTTTAGTGACATTTTGCATACAAATCCCCATCTAGTAGGGCGCAGTCACCCAGTTTCGGTGGAAGTGCGCGAGTTCGATTGGGATTCAAGTAGGAAGGGAGCGTCTCAGCTTCCTCGGACCAAGACCATTCGACTCAGCACCCCGAAGACTACAACTGGTGAAATTTTAATTTTTGCCTTAACTTCCCCTTTAAAAAATAGGGCCTTTGATATTATTGCAACATGTATTTTAAAGTTATCACTATAGCCGATTATAATGTAGTGTGTTATGCATGTTTTGATTCTATGTTGCCATCATAATATCCGATATATCATTATATCCGATAATATTGGTTATAGTGATATTTGTACTGGATAAAATACGTTTTGCTTTTGATATTTCGTACCAATATCACTGTAGCCGATATATTCTTATATCCGGTCACTCTGTAGCCGATACAGACTGTACAGGAATAGAGAGAGTGACTACAATACGCTCTCGACCTGATAACGTGAGTACAAGACACTCTCTACCTGATAACGTGTTAGTAGAAGGTAATAGGTCTACAGTCCCACCGTACCCTTCATCATTCCTCATTCACCATCGCGCGATACCCTGGCACACACTGGCAACATATCAATGGGGTGCCTTACCGTCTAGAGGAGACGTCTTCGCAGCAATATTTTCCCTCCTGCGCATTCAGTCGCCGACGCGACAGCGTTCACGGGGCCGTTCCAGTTGCGGAAGACATTCGATTCATCGGGCCAATTCAGCAACAGGGCCGTGGACACACAGGGGACAGAGGAGAGACATTGTTAGTGGACAAGAAATATGCAGTGGCAAGTGGCGAGTGCCGCATGGATGTCAAGTTGTCATGCACAATTGACGATTATACAAGGAACTCTGTTCTGATGTATAATCATAATTGCATGAAGAGGTGAAGCGAAATGTAACACTGTAGTGGCCCTACATTTTTACTGCATAAATAACCAGTTTTCAAAGCTTTTTTTTTTTTTTTTTTTCGTTCCTACACCATAACACGCATGCTCGGCCAGTCCTTCCTCGGCCTTGTTTGAACGCGTCAATGGCCAAGATAAAGCCCATGGGCACTCCCCGGTGCATAAGTAAATGGGATGGGCGGGAGGGACTACAGTGTTACATTTCGCTTCACCTCTTCATGCAATTATGATTATACATCAGAACAGAGTTCCTTGTATAATCGTCAATTGCACATCAGAGGCTCCGCTCCATGTAACACTGTAGATTTCAACGCTCAAATCAGAGGTGAAGCGAACACCACAAGACCGGAGAGAGGGACCAACGCAGGCCATGAAAACCCCCAACCGGGCATGCAGCACACCATGCACACCACCAAATCAGTAAGGAACAGGGTAAACCGGTGCCACGGAAACTTGCCGCAGAAAGTGACAAAAGGCCTGTCCAGAACAAGGACACAGGCGTAATGGCAAAAGGAAGAATAAATGAGGAAAGCCGTGTACTATACACATGCACAGATAGAACGGCATTGAGAAAGCCAGGCACAGACAGCAATCGGATTACTGAGGTAGACACAAAGTCACAGACTCAGAACCTGGCCAGGCCAACATTGGTAGCGCTACGGCGCAAGCACAGAGCGGCAGAACTGCTGATGTGCCGATGGGGAAGAGCCGCTGGTCTCACCCTCCCATGGCTTGAAATAGAAGCGCTGGAACACAGATGCGCAACTCCAGTCAGCACATTTCATGATGTCCACTGTCGACATACCTTTACGCTTCGCAGCAGACGTAGAAGCGGCACGAGTGGAATGGGCACCAAACAATGATGTATCCACACCAGCCTTGGACATAACCTGCTTGATCCAACGAGCAATCGTTGCAGAGGTGACAGGGTGGTGCGGACGCTTCGTGCTGAGGAACAGATGTGCAGAAGATGCCTGTCGCAGGTCGGCGGTCCGACGCAAGTACTCCCTGAAGCACTCCACAACACAGAGTGCAGGAGTCACAGGAAAGGCAGCAAAGGTGACAGGTCGGGCTGGTTCCGAACCAGGGCGATGCTGCTTAGGGGGTGTGAGATAGTCAAATACCACGCCCTCGGCAGAGAAACGATGAGAGTTGAGGCTTAGCCGGTGGAGGTCCGAAGAGCGCCGAGCAGCAGTCAAGGCCATCAGAATGGCCAACTTGCCAGACAAGACAGGGAGAGACAGGTCCGTGTTGGCAGGCAGTTTAGAGAGCCAAGAAGTGACAATACCCACATCCCAAGTATGTGAGTACCGCGGCTGCGGCGGACGCTCTAGGCAGATACCACGGAGCAAACGCACCACCAACGGGTGCTGGCCAATGGGTGCACCATCCAGCTCAGGCAGGGTAGCAGACATCGCTGACCGATAGACATTCAGGGTACTGTAGCTGCGGCCGTCCTCAAAGGAATCGGCCAGGAACTGGAGCACCATAGCTAAAGATGGGCGAACGGGATCCACTGACCGTTGACTGCACCAGCCCAGCCACTGCTCCCATGCCGATGCGTAAGCGGCATTGGTTGATGACCGCCAAGAGGAGGAGAGGAGTCGCACGACCTGTGGAGAAAGTCCTGCTGCATTGAAGCGCTGCTGGAGATAGGCCATGCGGCGAGGCGCAGGTGGCGGGATAGTACCAGTGGGTGTGGATGGCCCGAGGGTGAGAGTAGCAGGCAGTCGAATGTGGGCAGAAGCATGGGGAAATCGACCAACAGCTGCAGCAAAGTCGCGTACCATGGCTGCGTATCCCATACTGGTGCGACCAGTATCATCCGGCAAGTATGGAGTGAGGCCACACGATGAAGCACCCTGTCCAGTAGGCAGAATGGTGGGAAGGCATACACCGCGTCCTGATGAGGGAGACTCCAATTCTGAGAGAACGCATCTAGAGCGAGAGCCTCCGGATCCGGCCTCCAAGCATAGAAGGCGGGAAGTTGCGTGTTCAGTCGAGATGCGAACAGATCTAGCACCAAGGTCCAAGGAGCTGCCCTCTGAATCCTGCGAAACAGAGCAGGGTCCAGGCGCCAGTCGCCGGACTCGGAGAGGGAGCCCCGAGAAGGATGGTCCGCTGGGTTCTCCTCGCTCGGCACATATTCCGCCTGGAGGCGGATATCGTGTTGGACCGCCCATCTCCAGAGGTCGCAAGCGATCTGGGACAGGAGACGGGAATGCGTGCCGCCTAAGCGGTTGATGTAGCTGACGGCTGTCGTGTTGTCGATCAACAACTTGATGTGCAGAGGACGGTAAGAGGCCCGGTGATGAAAGGCTTTCACCGCGAATGAGGCAGCGATCAATTCCAGAGCATTGATGTGGAGATTGGCCTCGGTAGGGGACCATTGACCCCCAGTACTCGTTGTGCCGCACACCGCTCCCCAGCCGAGCAGGGACGCATCGGAGAATATGGTGAGCTGAGCGGGAGGTTTGAGAATCGAGCGACCGTTCCAAGTTTCTAGATCTGCTGCCCACCACGTCAGCTCCGTCCTGGCTTCCGGCGTCAGGCGTACCGTGGCAAGGTAGCTCTGATGGCGACGAAGGGCTGCAATCTTCAACTGCTGAAGGTGGCGGAATTGCAGTGGGGCCAGAAACATGCCTGGGGAGCACGCAACCATCCTGCCCAGGAGTGAGGCCAATGCGCGGATGGACAGGTAGGGCTGGGACAGGGCTCGGTGGCACTCCTGCTGGAGTTTCCGCGCCTTGTCGATCGGCACCGACATCGTCATGGCCACAGAGTTCAACTGAAATCCTAGGAACTCGAGCTGTTGCGTAGGCTCGGGAATGGACTTCTTCCGATTGATTACGAAACCCAGAGATTCTAGGAGTTGAATGGCCTGCTGCGTCTGCAGCACGGCGGCCGGCCGTGACTCGGCAATCAGGAGAAGGTCGTCGAGATACAGGATGAGACGAATGCCCTGACGACGAAGAACACTGATCGGGACCTTCATCAGCTTCGTGAATACCCGGGGGGCGCTGGACAGGCCGAACGGTAGGCACTGAAACTCGTAGAGTTGGCCCTCCCAACTGAAGCGCAGGAGCCGGCGGTGCTGGGGATGGATCGGCACGGTGAAGTACGCGTCCTTGAGGTCTAGCTTTGTGAGCCAATTGCCCTCTCGGACGGATAGGGGAACAAGGTGGAGACCCTCCATCTGGAAGTGCTCGTACCGCACATGCTCGTTCAGGTGGCGGAGGTCGATGACTGGACGTTCGGCGGTGGTACCCTTCTTGGGTACGGTGAATAACCGGCTCACGAACTGGCCGGGAGATGGGCTCACCGGTCGAATTGCACCCTTGGATAGGAGATCCTCTATCTCCTGGTGGACGATGGCGCATTTTTCGGGAGGGAACCACATCTCTGTCGGAGCGGACCGCTGGCAAGGAATGGTGTGGAGGTCTAAGCAGTACCCTGAGACGGTCTTCAACACCCACGCATCCTGCGTTAGGTCTCGCCAGGCTGCCGCAAAATGCTCCAATCGGCCCGCTACCTGGGGGGTAGGGGCTTCCGTGAGGCAGCCAGGCACGGGGGAGGTCGTCAACGACCTCGAGGGCGCCCGCGAAAGGGCTGGCCCCGGCCGTTTTTTGCTGGCTGGCGGAAATGCTCCTCAGGCCGGCGGGTGACATGACCCCGTCCTGCCCTGTCGTAAGGGCGGAACCGCCCTGGATCTGACCGGTACACGGTACGACCAGAAAAACGGTCAGGACGGGCAGGCTGCGACCGGTCCTGTGCGGTCCCCGGGCGCCGCCCAGAAGGCCGTGGCTGGAATACGTCCATTTCCTGGCACTTCCGTTTATACTCCCGGGAAAATCCATCACCGAAGAGGAGATCACCGGAAGGACGCAAGCCCTGCAGCAGGCTCTTCGGGCATCTCTTTGGCAGCGCTGCCATGAGGCGCTGACGGCGTGTCTCCGACAATACATTCGAGGCGTCGCCCGTCATGACGATCGCCATCTGGACCAGCTCGGTCAGTTCGTGGACCGGCCGGCCCTGCTCAATAGCAGCCCAGAGCGCGGCCAGGGGACGGAAAACGTCCGTAACCTTTTGTTGGATGTTGGCCAGCATTCTATCCGCTCTCTTGGCGTTGGCCAGGCCCTGGACATCCGCCAAGAACGGGTCCACGCGTGGACATCGCGTTTCCTCCACGTCCGGTCGGGGACACAGTTTCCGCACCCGTCGACGCTCAGCGAAGGACAGGGAACCACGGCAGTGCTCCCGTAGGTACGAGGCCATGTGCGAGGGGGGAGACCATACAGAGTCGTCCACTAACCCCTTAGGATCGAAGCCCGCGCCGCTACCACGGCGATGCTCTTGGGCAGCCGAGTCGTCGGATGACGGACATGTGCCACTAGGACTGTCGGAGTCACTATCGTCAGATTCTGACGTACCAGAGCTAGAACTAGTGCCAGAACCAGGGAGTCGTAAAAGCCCGGGAGAGGACACGGCACACATTCCCAGAAAACATCTTTGCCTCGCGCTGCCGGGGAACGCTGCCAGGGAACGGTGTTGCGAGGCAAGGAAATTATTATTTTCGAAAATTGTGATGTCTTCTTGAAATACTAATTGGAACATTCTCCGATTTCTCTTAGAGCACGGAGACGATTGCTCCGTCGAGTCTTCTAATCTCTATTTTCATCCTCAATTCTTCCAGCTGCCTCACTCATTCTCTCTCAGTTTATCGAAGTTAATTTATTCTGAGGCGATGGAAATGCAAGATAAATCCCTAATTGTACTTCACTTTTATTTGAGTTGGGGTGAACGAAATGAGATTTGTGGAAAATGACGCCACTTCCCGTGTTAGCCGCTGGTCGTATCATACAGCCCATATTCCATTGCAGGTGATGGGCGAACGTTCGTGTTGAGATCCGCTGAGTTTCCTCGTACTCGTGGAGTTGAATTTGTGGCAGAAATTGCACTGAATTGCAGTCAAATGGTTGTGAATGAAATGAGATTTGTGGAAAATGACGCCACTTCCCGTGTTAGCCGCTGGTCGTATCATACAGCCCATATTCCATTGCAGGTGATGGGCGAACGTTCGTGTTGAGATCCGCTGAGTTTCCTCGTACTCGTGGAGTTGAATTTGTGGCAGAAATTGCACTGAATTGCAGTCAAATGGTTGTGAATGAAACGAGATTTGTGGAAAATGAAGCCACTTCCCATGTTAGCCGCTGGTCGTATCATACAGCCCATATTCCATTGCAGGTGATGGGCGAAAGTTCTTGTGGAGATCCGCTGAGCTTCCTCGTACTCGTGGATTTATGAATTTGCGTCAGAAATTGCAGTGGAGTGGACTTCTGAGTGGACTTCTGTGCGTGTGTTGTGAGTGAATCGCAACGGCTCCCTTCCTTCAGCATCGTCAAAACGCAACATAGAGCATTATTACGCACTCGTTCCATGATTCATGATATTGCCTGAATTCTTTTTATAAACAATCAATGTGTGTTCCCTATCTATCTACATTGTACATGGTTGCAGGTCGTTATTTATAAATCTTGATAATTTCAACACTTTTCTACTCGTATACTGAGTACGCGGTGACTTAATCCGTTTAGGAAACGGAAGGCTCAGCCTCCAGGTTGGCCAGAAAGGTTCTCAGTGAATCTAACCGACGTCGTGGCGAGTGTACAAAAGGTAAACCTATCATTTGTACTTCATAACGGAATTGTGCACAAAAAATGCGCACACACGCGCGCACACACACACACACACACACACACTGTACAAACACACACAAAAGTACAAGCACATGTGCACATACACACGCCTCCCCCCCCCCCCCCACACACACGCACATTCAAATCCCCACCCCCTGTACCATGTGTACTGAGTCTGACAGACACACAATCATGTTTATGCTTCCTTCGCCACCAGTTTCGGATTATGGTGTCAACAACGAGTTGTAAAATATTGGTATTTTAGGACTCCCTGCCCTGAAGACGAGCACAGCGCCGTGGATCGAGCAGATCCGGCCGCGCCGGCCTAGCGTGCTTCACTTTCTGGCCGAGGCAAACATCGTCCGCGTGCGCGCATCCCGTGTCCTCTCCCGGGCTTTTACGACTCCCTGGCCAGAACTATCTCGGTGCCTGGTGAAACGGTGCGACTCGCGCCGTCTGGGTGACCCATGGCCATGTCGTCCCCGGGCACTCAGGCGGGACTCGTGCGTAGCACCCGAGCGTGACCCTGACCGACATCTGTCCGCAGATTGAGATCTAGATCTAGATCTACGTGTACGTGTAGCACCAGCCGATCTATGGCGAGTACGTGTACGTCGTTCACATGAAGCAGAACGATAACGAGGGGGAGATCGTGAGTGGGGTGGAGATCTGTCCCGTGAGCATGATCTAGATCTATCTGTACGTAAATCACGTGACCCAGATACGTCAGTGACGTCACCCCTAATATGGCCCCGCGCCCGGCCGCCATTGCTGGAATGGCGGTCCGTGGAAAAACCGAGGCTTGCCGAACGACGTTCGGCCAATGAGACAAAACGAAAAGGCTCCCCGCCATCTACCTGAGAGTCATCCTGGTTCCCTTCCCTGTTGGAAGAGTTCCGAGCCTCCTCCATTTCTTGACCGCCAGAGGCTGCGGTGGTGCCACGACCAGTTTCTAATCCGCCCGTGGGTGCGGAATTATTTGAGGAAATTTGTATACCGTTCCCCGAAACGGTGTCTCCTATTTGTTTTCCGCGGGAGTGGGCGGATGCCGCGATGGCAGATTGTACCTCTGGCTGCGCCAGGGTATGCAGCAAATCCAAAACAGCGTCCATCGTGGAGATATTTTGGAAAAACTCGAAGAGGCATGCAATGCAAACTACGCAGAAAATGCAGTAAAAACAAGGCCGAGGAAGGACTGGCCGAGCATGCGTGTTATGGTGTAGGAACGAAAAAAAAAAAAAAAAAAAGCTTTGAAACTGGTTATTTATGCAGTAAAAATGTAGGGCCACTACAGTGTTACATGGAGCGGAGCCTCTGATGTGCAATTCAGCTATTACTTACGGTCCAGCTAGTCCTGCCATTGCTCGCTCGTCCTGGTTCCTCCTCGTTCGTCTTCCTGCACGTCTGCACTTCTCCTTCCCCACCGTTGGCTTTGCGGTACGGGGGTGCCGGAAGGAATTCCCACCATGTATCCATATCCATGTACATGAAGTCCCACCATGACTCTCCATGTACATGTCCACGGCCACGTCAGCAGTTTGTATAGTACCGGAAGGAGTTCCCACGATGTCTCCAAAGGCCTAGAGCGGACGTCTTTGCAGCAATTCTTTTCGCCCTGCGCATTCAGTTCGCCGACGATGTCTCCAAAGGCAAAGGCCTAGAGCCTAGTACTAGTAGAGGGGACGTCTTTGCAGCAATTCTTTTCACCCTAGTACCCTGCACATTCACTCCGCCGACACGACAGCGTTTACGGGGCCGTTCCAGGTGCAAAAGGTCCACGTCAGCAGTTCTCAACTATTTCGCGTACGGGATAGTCGCCGCGACAGCGTTTAGGGGTCGTTCCAGGTGCAAAAGGTATCCATCAATGGCACTTTGCAGTATGGGGTACGGAAAAGGGGCCTCCTCGTTCGACTTCGTCGACTTCTGCAGTTCTCCTTCCCGTCAGGGGTACCGAAAGGGGCCTCCTCGCAGTTGTCCTTGCCGTCAGGTCCACGTCATGCAATTCTCAACTATTTCGCGTACGGGATAGTCGTCTTTGTCGGACGCGACATCGGCGTTTACCGAGTGGCATTGGCACAAAGCAGACCGTTGACGGGGTCACGTGTCAAAAAAGTATCAACAACGTGTCGACTACGTGTCGACCACGTGTATAGCGGTACACTCAGCGGTACACTAATTCTCGTGCCATTCTCGTGTCACAAAACTGGAACATCGAGTACCATGTACCAGTATGGAAAGGCTTCAGACAGGAAGCCTTTCCAATGTACATGTACATTGTAAATAGAATAGAGTGCTACTTTTCAAAATTTTCGTATTTTTTGAATGGCTCACTACATGCACAGTGCGTACTCTACGGCACGTGCACCCAAAAAACTGTTACGGATAATCGAATGGTCGGATAGTTGATGTGCGGATAATCGATGTTCAACTGTACTAAAAAGCCGCGTTTTAGTACTCCTTGACAATGACACATACGGTAGATCTACAACACAGTTGAACACACGCACAAGCGACGCTTCATCGATGCATCCTATCCCGGGAATTATCAGGGAATCATCCGATGCATCACATATATGCGCATATCTTGTCAAGACAAGACTCGACAAGAGTAGATCTACGAACGTTACTTTTGGTCTTGTTCATGTTGTACTTGTAGTTGTCATGGTTGTACCGGTAGATCTTCCTTGCACCGAGCACCAAGCTAGCTAGGTACCTAATGGCAGTCCCGACGCCCGGAATTCCGGAAGGGCTGCCAGAGCATGTACAAAAAAGCCACTGGTATACTGGAGAAGGGAGCCAGGACACAAATGTGCTGGTCGGAAGCAGGGAGAACAAAAAATCGGGAGACGAAGCCGTAGGCATTTCCCAAATCGGCCCGATTTTTTCGCCTAATCGGCTTTTCGATCGGCTAAAAGAGAATGTCCAAATTCGGCCATAATATGAGCCCCAAAGTCAGAATTCGGCTCAAAGCAGTACTTGAATTCACCCCTACAGTGTACATTTACATGAACGCTTTAGAGGCACTAAAACATCGATTTTCGGCGAATTCAATGCGAAATTTGCAAATTCGGTCCAATTATCGGCGATTTCTTCGCAGCCATTGATTTCGTCGACTTTTCCTGCTGACCGGTTTCGGTATTGACTTAAGTCACAGTCACCTTTCGCAGTATAATGGCTACAGGCATTGTATTTGCATGCTGTTGAGCCTACTTGAGGCACAAAAACATCGATTTTCGGCGAATTCAGTGCGAAAATTGAGTATTCGACGAAAAGATCGGTGATTTCTTCATACCGTATTTCCGCGCATATAAAGCCATGGCGTTATATCCGAATATAAGGCCACCCACATGCCATACCGCCACCGCACCTTCACACAAGTTTGTATGCCACCGTGTACACCACACAATAGGTTCACAATTTGAAATTTTCAGGGAAAATTGAAAGTACATGGATGCTCGACATGAACGTGCAACGGCACCGTACGAGTACTCCAAGTTCATACTCTGCCGATTTTTCTGCATGTACGCGTCTCTCACTTTTAGCGCCATGGCGTTAAAACCGAGGCTATTTTCTCCAAAGATATGGTCCAAAACAGCGATGTTTCACCTACAACGCCATGGCTTTATATGCGCGGAAATACGGTAACTACAGTTTTCGGCGAATTTTTCGGCCGGCCGATTTGGGAAATGCCTACGAAGCCGCAACACAAACCGGGCTACAGCCTACAGGGGTTGCCTCGCGTGATCACAGGCTTCGTGCCGGGAATAAAAATCCTGGGTCGAGACGTTTTTAGTACTCCCTGGTTGGAAGCCGGGTCCAGGGGACCATGCACTAACTTCCCACTAAGAATGAAAGGGGGCTAAAGACGCAAGGGGGCTGCATTGGACCGTGTGCATGCATGGTGGGAGAAGGGAGCCAGCACAGTACGTTGCTTGGCAGAAGGATCTAGGGAATCAAGACGCAAGGCGGCACCGGAACAGAAGGGAGCCAAGTGCACTAGCAACTAATCTGTGCTTTCCCCTTTCAGCAAGAATTCCACAACCCCTATGACTGTAGCATGAGGCTGTATGTGTTCTTGCCTTCACTCCTGGTCCAAGACACCGGGTCTTGGTGCGAAATTGCATCCGATGACTCAAGCGGTTTTCCTACTTGTAGTCGGGAGGGCAGTCAATAGCTTTCGCAGCCTGTTCGGCTGCGGCATTACTTAGGCGCTCTCCGAGTGCCAACCCCGTTCACACCACCAGCAATGCGACTCCAAGTAGTTGTTGCAGATACTGGCATAAATTCCTCCACACAGCTGTTTCGACCATACACGGATCTCATCAGTGAAGGTTGTAAGCATACTGAATGGTCAAAAACTTGTGAATAGCTCTTTTTATAATAATAATACCACAGCACGCGTACAAAGGCCAAAGAACAATGCATGAGAATACACAGAAATTAAGTCAAGTCCGCTTCTGTCTCCAGTCAACAAAAACTCATCCATAAACAATGTCTGATCTCCATTTCGACTTGTCTGTAGCAAAGGCTCATGCTCCTTCTAGCTCTTTTTATGCAGAGTATAATTGTGAAAATGAAATCCAGGCGTGATGATCGCGCTTTGAGGTATTGAGAGAAGTGCTAACACATGAAAGAACGGTGCAAAATAACCGTGGTTCAATATCTCAGTGTAATGAGGTACTGCGATTCTGCGAACATACAATAATGTACAATGTAGATACATGCAATACCGTATGCGCAAACTGAGATCCTAGCAGCACATTGAAATAACACGCTGATGAGTGATGTGGGGAGACAGTTCAGGCCAGATAGTAGAAAACTACTTTTACAACTCCCTGGTTCTGACCATTCTTCTCACCTTCCACTGTTCCAGCTTCCAGAAAGTGGAGGCCGGAGTGTCTCCTCAGCTCTATAATTATGATGGGGCCTAGCCTAGCGCCTGGGGATAGCGGCGGGGATTAGCCTACAACTGTTACTTGGGTGTCGATGAGTAGTGCATTGTTTTTGGGATGGGGTGTTGGCAAGAGTTTAGATTCTTGCTCGATACTGTAAAATAAAGTGTAATGCAGATTATGATTCGCACAGCTATGGATGGCAATCGCACATGTCTTCGCCCGGGATGCTCGTACAAGGAGGTCGAATACGCCATCGGGTACCGGATGGTCTGGTGCAGGGAGTCGGCTTTCACGACTTCCCGGTCTTGTGCACCAACTTACTCGTGGCGCTGAAACTCAGCTGGTGATGATGGGACATGGAGGACCACCCGCGAACCTATTCCTCGCTATCGCCGGCAATCCGTATGAGAAGGAAGAGACTCCGGAGTTGAGCAGGAAGTATGCTTCCGTCATTGCACCAACAAAGACGCAAGGAGATTGCAAATCTGGCCGGCTGTGGTTTCATCTAGAGTCGAGAGCACAACTCCGGAGCAACTCGTACTATACTCCGTCAGGTATGGCATGCAGCCCGCGGTAGTTGTGTAAACACATACCGGTAAGGTGGTAACGCAAGTGTCACTGTGCAGAAATGCAAGACACATCAGTCATCATCACATCACGACAATGTAGACCGACAACTAATTTCTTTTCTTTTCTTCCCTATGCGTGTACAATGTACTGTCATGTATAACTACATTATGGCATTGTACTAGTCTTGTGCACAAACACACGGTATACTTCGTCATGGCACAATACCAGCAAACCATCCCACATGCACTCTGAGAGTGAGTCTGAAGCAGCCCGACTTTCATATCAGGCGTTACCGCCCGTTTGTGCTGCGACAGACCATGCCATGCCACGAGATGGGTTAGACAATACATGTATAGTTATACTACACTCCCCTCTCATACCAAGAATACAATACATGTACTCGTATTCCGGGGTTTGCCTATACCTGTTCAAATCAAAGTCACTTTACCCATGGGCCATGTAGATCTACCATGCAGAATACCACACATGACTGTATACCCTATCGTAGCTTCGCAATGAAGTGACAAACACAATCATGCTCACTAGTACTAGTACATGTTCGAGAGGCCCATGGGGCATTCACTCTTGTACTGCGCCATGGTTTGACATCCGCCTGTACTTGCAGTCGAAATTAGCGCCGCGTTGCAGCCATACTGAATCTTCCCGAAATGTCTACTTCTAATCTCACTACCACGCTTTAAATAATTATCCCTAGTGTAGTCTATAGCTTTTTTGCTTATCCCCCCCCCCCCGGCAATCTTCGCGCCTAAGACGCACTATTATGTTTCCCATTTTTCCTACAAAAGGGTGAAGTAACCATTCTAAATTGTCAACCAACCCAAGTCCTTCACTGACGAGATCCTGATGATCGAAACAGCTGCTGTCTGAAGGAGCAGAGTACAGAAAAACCTGGTTTAACAAGCAAAAGTGGTCGTTAAAGCCAGGTGGTCTTTAGAACCAGGTTCCAGTGTCTGTCTAGAACTGTCGGTGCATGGACAAATCGGCCGTTACGAGCAGTTGGTCGCTAAACCCAGAGGTCGCTTACACCAAGATATACTGTACCAGCTTCAAAGTGTCGTTTTGCTGATGGTGTGCTGTGGCAACATCTTTAGGTCGGCCGGAGAGCGCAATGGTGTGGTGCGGTGGTTGATGATAATCTGGACAAGGCCGAATGCTGCTGCTTACCCCTCTTTTAAATACTCCCTATCGGTACCGTAATTGTAGATCTACCATTATCAAGACCTATCAGTGAATACTAAGTTCCCAGAGCAGAGTGACCGGCATGTCCTCTTCACAATGCTCGGATACCGTGGCTACAGCCGCGCGTGTGCCCACCCCTTTACCTCGAGGACTTGCTCCGTACATTGAAAAGTACACAAGGATGTGAAGACATGAAACTGAGGCTCTTCTACAGCGGTACAGTTAATGACACCACGACAGCTTGGAGCATGGTGCGTTACTTCTAGTATTATCATTTTTTTTAAGTAAGTGAGAACACAGATAACGTAATGTGTCTTGAATTCAAGAAGAAGAACAGAAGAAGAAGAAGGACACAGTCATTTCAGTTTGAAAGCGGACCAAATATAGACAAGTACGAGTATTGTTGAGTATTGTTGGGAATTGTTACGTTATGGTATGACCTATCAGTCTATGACCTATACTATTACAGTGGGACTGCTGCCCAGTGGAACACATAACCCTATACTATTACAGTGGGACTGCTGCCCAGTGGAACACATAACTGTTAGGATATACTAACAACGTGGATTCAAGTAATTTGGCATACATTGTTACGGTACCACAGCAATAAAAGCCTAGGAGAGGAAAAATAGGAGACCCGAGAGAGAGGGAGAGAAAGAGAGAAAACAAAAAGAGAGAGAGAGAGATAGATAGCTATAATTATAGAGATAGAAAGTCTGATGATTGCAGTGGAATGAAGCTTTGAGTCACGACAAATCCAAACTGGACCTATTTCTCTTTCTCGTGTGAAATGCTCTGCACTTTGCCGGCAATTGCCAAAATTTCTCCTTTGTGCTATACAGAGATAGAGAGAGAGAGAGTTGGAGTAGGGATTAGGCAGGTAGATCAGTACATTTCCCAGCAGCTGCAGGCCTAGAAGGCCAGGGCTGCAAAGATGGCGGCAGCAGCAATCAGGAACGCCATGGCAGCGTTTCCGGCAGCACCGCTTCCTAAAAACCAGCAGGATTGCACGGCACAGAGAACAGAACAAATGAAGGACAACAGTCAGCATAAATTCAATACGCAAGTGACTGTACGTAGAGCTACTTGTGTTCTGGAACAGACCAGTGTGCTTCAGTCCGAAAAAATGCAGCAGTCTGCGATGAGTTTGATGATTGTCAGTCGTCAAGAGAAGATACAGTAACTGCCACATTGCTCCACTCGTAACTACTTACAGAAAGCTAGCTGCACCAGCACTGGCTGTCGCTGTACCCTGAAAGCGACAACTGATGTCGCATGCATGCGTCGGCCATGCCTACAGGGCCAGTACTAATCGATGGAAATATGGGCGCATCTGTAACACCTGCCCACACGGATCATCATGGAGGGTGGGCAAGGCAACTAAACCCCGCACTGAAGCAGTCTACTAGTAGCCAGTACACACCATTCTGAAACAACACAGTCGTAAAGTTTTGACTGGGCCACATGACCGGCTTTGATGGAGTTCAATTTCCATAAAACTGAAGGGTTCCACTGTTCTACCTCTCTATGTCTAGCTGATCCTACTAACACAAACTGTACCCGAGTCACAAGCCCATTGCGCAATGACGTAATTTGTACTGCAAGTACTACCAACACCCCACAACGCCACCTGGGTATGGTCGTGCGGGGTGTTGAACAGCGCATTCCTGAATCCTGATCCAAGTGTACTCACATGCATTGCTCATACAATCCATATTTGGCAATGCGCAATGGGCTTATTACATCTCAGCCGGGTTGCTTACCGGTGCTGCCTTCACAGTCCGGCTGACAGACTTCCAGTGCCAGGGCAGATCTCTGGCTGCTGCTAAGGGTAGCAGTTTGAGCGGAGGTAACGGCACGTGCCTGCTCACCGTCGAACGACCGAAGCTGAGCAGTGTTCATACACTGCACGTAGGTAGGGGAAAAAGAGCATGCATTAAACACTAATATAAACATGCTACATTGGAAAGACCGGCAAGCCACATCACGAGCATTGCAGCCCAAAACCAGTGCATTTTATTGCTTCACAGGGTACACAGGGTACCTGCGGCATACAGTGGTGCACGGTCAACACCGTTGTGACGGCTCAGCGTGTCCAACACCCGGGCTGAGTTGTGACAAGTGTGACACTGATCTTGCCCTAGTGTGGAACAACACCCCTGAGTTGTGACAAGTGACATCTTGCCCAACGTAACCGGTTACACTTGACCTCAAGGCTCATCATGGCATGTGTATCAGAGAAAGAAAGAAAGAAAGAGAGAGAGAGAGAGAGAGAGAGAGAGAGAGAGAGAGAGGGAGAGAGAGAGAGAGAGAGAGAGAGAGAGAGAGGAGAGAGAGAGAGAGAGAGAGAGAGAGAAAGAGAGAGAGAGAGAGAGAGAGAAGAGAGAGAGAGAGAGAGAGAGAGAGAGAGAGAGAGAGAGAGAGAGAGCACTCAGGACATCCAGGATAAGTGGACTGCTAGCGACCACGACTCTAGAAAAAGCGGGAGGCAATGGACACATTTAATTTTTCCAGCACTAAAAGCATGCCACACCTATCTACACACTCTACCGACCTTGAGGTTCTGCATGAAGGGGACAACAGATGGGGCAATCGTTCCAATCTGGTCAGCAGTCATGGTCTGGACGTAGGCCTGTTTACATCCCATCGTGGATGTGTCCAAACCAATGTAACCTGTAGTACAGCAACAGTCACACAGGCACACAGTCACAAACTGTGCCGTTCGGTTTCTGCATGGTAGATTTCTGCATGGTCGGTTTCTGCATGGTAGATTTCCAGAAGTTATACTAACTACACACGCACGCACGCATGCACATTCACACAAACAGAACATTGTACTGCACATACAGCTGAGCTACTGAAGCGCCCGGCACCGCGACGCATTGCATCGTGCCGGACATTGGCCTTACCAGTGATGTTTCCCAATAGACGAATCACTCCAGCCGGCCAGGTAGCAAGATTTTGACTGTAGGCATTGATGGCACCATCTCCCAAAGCGCGTCTCACACTATCATCAGAGTAAGCACGTGCTCCCAGCGCTGGAGCAGCGGCCCTGAATACACAAGAGGATGCAAAGGTAGGACCAGCAGTGGAAAGAACGCGAAGCAGAACTTTTAATGATGCATGCAGCAGGAGGCACGATGCCACCTTTGGTGTGTGCTGGGTGTGGGTGTGTGTGGGGGGGGGGGGGGGCATGGCTGCTAACTTAGAAAGCATGCCGTGGGGTGCATGAGAAATGTCCTAGCAGCTTTTAGGCCTGAGATTGCTGAATAGCACGGCCAGCGGAGAATGTTTGAAGTGCGACTGTTGGCCAGTGCAGGGTTGCAAGCCACATGTTTTGGATTGCCAAGCTATACAGTGAATAAACGCCTCTGAGAAGCATACCGGAGACAGTGCGCACAAGATGTCATACGGCTGCTGCCGCAGAACTAGGCACACAGTAACGTTAGCACAGCGTTCGCCTACTTACAGGAAAAGGTGACTGGCTGTAGCCAGAGATTTGACGTCGGGGCTTTCAAGTCCAGCAGCGAACGAACCGAGGCACGACAGCACATCGGCAGTCGCGGATGAGAGCGATCCACCGTTCTTCAACTTGGCAATATACACACTTAACTGAACAGGCCGACAAATCACACAACAGGAATAACTCACAACATTTAGATGTTAGAACACAATGAGAAAGGACTGCCGGCGTTAAGGCTCAAACGAGCAACCTGCAGAATCGAAGGGCACTGTAACTTGTCATGCTAACACCCAATACCTCTATTTCTGTCTTTGGTAGAAATTTAAAAAACAAACATTTCGCCAACAAGCCACGGCAAGATATCAGTGACAAAGTTAGCTGTGGTGAATGAACAAGCCGCTACAACCCCGGCGCACCTGGGCATCCGAATAGCAATCCTCCTTGCTCAGACTGCAGATCACGTCCGTGTCATCCATGTACTGGGTGAGGTGGCTGGCGGCGAATCCACACGCTAGCGAGCCGAGAGCCTTGACCTGGGCGCTGGTCAGCGTGGTGAGGATATTGCGACGACGACGACTATCAGATACTTCTGCACCCTGTAAAAGTCACCAAGAACACACACACACACACACACACACACACACACACAAGCGGCCGGTTACAGTCAGTTTGTACTTCTGCACTCTGAAAGTCACCAAGAACAGATACAAGCGGCTGGCTAGAGTCGGTTTTCATAGCACCAACAGTGCATCAGCATCAAGGATCTACGCCACAGTTAAACACTGATTGGCAGTGGCAGATCAACCCATGAACACCATGCTGACCGTTGCCGCAATACGTGTGTTCTTCCATGCGCGCAGAGAGGAGTAGACTACCACCACCCAAAACACCACCCACTCTTCTCATGAACACATGCACAGAACAGTACATGTACACTCCACACATAATGGCGGACATGGTCCCCTCCCAATAGCATGTCGCCTGGCGTGACGTACAGGTGCAAGCTTCTTAGCAAAGAGCTTGGCTTGATCTCTTGAGAAGCCAGCCCGTCCAAGTGTCTCCAGAGAGTCTTTGATCGTCTCGACGGAGAGATCGTCAATGTCAGCTGCGCTCATGGCCGGCAGTGACCTGTTCAGTGCTCGCAAGATAGCCAGTGACAGGTTACCGGCTAAGTAGAGTATACAAACACACACATACACACACACATACACACACATACAACACACACACACATACAACACACACACACACACACACACACACACACACACACACACGCACACACGCACACACACGCATGCACGCACGTACACACACACACACGTACGCACACACAGCGATTCGGGGTATAAGGAGCAGGCTTATAGACTATTGTCCACAGGGTGTTGAAGTTGTTTCAGCGGAAATAGATCCTAGACTTTTTGTCCCAGTAGTTTAGCATACATACACTGATTACAAACACAATCACTTTCTGATAGGAGCACTAGTGACCCAGGCAGGAGGCAAGGAGACTTGACTGTTGTCTCAGCATAAAACTAGTAGCTTAGCAAGTCAGATCCGAAGTGCACGCACTGTGCTCTGCTTAGGCCATACCAGCTCAATCGCTTGGATATCCATGGTAATAGGGTGGTCGAGCAACTCCTAAACGAGTGTGTAGTGCGAGTATGTAGCATGGAATGAACTCGACAAGCACATTAATTAAAGGAACGCCGGAAGCAGTTTTGATCGGTCCGGCCATGTGTATGCCAGTGGCTACACACAATCTCCTCATCAGTAAACATGCGTTGGTAACCAACAAGTCGGTCCTCCGGTGATGACCCGACCAACCGGACCGGTTCCGGCGGGCCTGGGTCATTTGGATTGGATTGGTTTATTTAAAATGTCGAATAACAAACAGGCAGTGTTGCCTTATCACATGACATCGACTAAAGGCACACAAATGTAAGGAAAAAGGAAAAGATTAAAAGAAAAAAGAAATAGAGTAGGATTTAAGACAGCAGAGGAAAGAGTGGATGAGGTAGGAAATTGTGAGACAGTATGCACACGTGCATGTACACGTATGCACACGTGCATGTACTGAAGTACTGGAGTCATACCTTTGTTGTTGAAGGTGTATAACAGCTTAGCTTTGCTGATAAGGGTCTTTGGTGCCGTGGATATTGGGCGACAGCCAGCATCACCAATGCTGTCTATTACACTATCAAGCTGGGCCTGTGATCAGGTGTAGCACAAAAAAAAAAAACCGAAACAACAAACAAGCACTGCATGAGAGTACTGCTTCTAACTAATGTACAGGTGCATGTGCCAAGCGAAATCCTACCCAAAGTGCAAAGCTGGCGCCCTGGACCAGTTCCCACCACACCGGCGTATTTCTACACGTGAACTTGTTGAATTCAGTCCATTTCCAGGGCGCCGTCAAGGGTCATGCAAGTCCAGGGGTGTGTGTGTGGGGGGGGGGGGGGGGCTAAATATGAAAGTTAGTTGGGTGGAGTTGCATTCAGCACAACTGAATGTACAGGCATTGTAGTACACAACCAAGGGCTACTTCGCAGTTCCTACAAGTGCTAGTATTAAAAATTTACTACTGAAAGTGCTCCCTGGTAACAAGTAACCCATGTTATAAAACTGCAGAACCGCCGGGCGCCAAACGACTGTGAATAGGCTAGATGTTCACCAGGTCCAGGATACCCTTATTAGGTACATGGTGGCTCAGCTACATAGACAGTTTTACACGAAAAATAAAAACGGACTGGGCAACCAATGGCACTGCCCCCGTTCTGCGGCACCAGACTGCTCTGTGCACAGATGCAAACAGTTTCGCTTCCAGCACCTACAACGCCTCATTACAGAACTAGCTCAACTCTAAAAGTTCGTTACCTTTCTGACCAAGGATCTGAAGTATGCGTCAGGCAAGTAACACACCGCATCACCCATGTTCTTCACAACCTCTGGATCCAAACTAGATGATGCACTGAAAATGAAAAGCATGAGGATACAGGAAACAGGAACACCAATTTGTTAATTATAAGCACACAGCCAGAAGAAAGAGAGGATGGATTGCCCTCAGTGGGGAGCCAGGGTCTGGATTGCCCTCAGTGGGGAGCCAGGGTCTGGTCATTGCTAACTAACTTTAAACCGGAACTGAGTGTTTTTTCCACTGCATCCGGTGAGTATATTCTCTGGTAGACCACTACCCCGTGTACAAACTGGTTGCTCTGTGAGTGAAAGGTATCTAGCAGTGCCTAGTAGTCTTGCGCATGCCAAACTGTCATGCAGGACACACTGCACTTTAAAAAAAAACAGGCAAGAAAATCAGTACTGGTACCGTCACAGTCTATTCCACAGCTGATGCCTGCAGCCTCTGCCATTCTCCTCTCAAACCATTGCACACTGCCTTTGCACACTGCCATTGCACACTGCCTTTGTGTTCACCAACCTCTAGTTATTAGTGACTTACTACAGACCCAGCCAAATCACTCGCGCTGAAGCTTCAAAGCAACCCGGGATTTTTGTGGAGGATCCGTGACTCAAGTTTTCTTTTAATTAAAGACAGGATCAACACGGGTCTAGAGCTTCACAAATTCATTAGACATTGCAAGAGTGCACCCAGTCCCAGGATGATAACTTACTCCTTGAGCTTCATGTGCACTTGGCCTGCAATGAACGCAAGACGCATGCTGGTATCGTCAGCAGCTTCACCAACGGGGGTTTGGGTCAGCTGACTGACGGACGATTCCAGGTCATCGGCACTCAGCGTCTCGATACGGCTAGCCGGGACAAAGTGCACCAGATTTCCTAGCGCCTGCACCTTGCTGTAGTCAAGATCGCCTGTATCAGCATTCTAACCATACCAAGAAACACAGAAGTAAGCAAAGCTGTTTATACCATCAAGCAGAAACCCTGGAGAAAGGCTCAGAAAGCTCCAGCCGAAACCATGCTCAAAATCACATCACTGAAGAGTGACTATTCTACGAATGTAGTCTGTGCGTGTCCATGGTTGCATACATGATGTCATGGATTACATCATACACATTTTGTTCCAGCGTGATCACTGCCCCTGGTCGCTCCGTTGTCACGTGCTTACCAGCCATGTCATAGCCTTGCTGGCCAGGTCTGTGATGCGAGTCTTATCACCGGCAATGCCCAGCAGGCGACGGGCGAGACCCAAGTTCCTGGCTACCTGCGCCTTGGCACTTGCTGATAGACTGTCAACAACAGATGAGCTGCATAGACAAATAGAAGAGTGCATTTGGCATGATGAATGTGTAGTGAGTAGCCTGCAAAGGAAGGCCATTCTGGTGCATATTCCTCACCATACTCCCACATGGATAGGACATTGGACTGACTCTTACTAGGCACTTCAGGCGGTTTTTTCAAAACCAGAAATACTCGTATTTCTTTCTTGTATCCGATTCAGATAGGTTTAGGAAGACTCCACAGAAAATTTGAAGCAAAAAGAATAACTTGGCACAGAGATATAGCCATCCAAAGTCGGAGAATTGAATAACGGCAATTTCAGTATTTCGACGGCACCAGCAGCATATCAGAAATTGGTAGGACTTGCTTCAGTGTCTATAGTGGCAAAATACCAGGCTCGCTCGAAGCAGGTCAAAATAACCAGATGAATGCAGAAACAGCATGGTTTGGAAAAACTTCGCATTTTTCATCCGTCCGGCAGCTCAGACGAAGATATCGGGTGTGGTCACCATGGCAACTCCATCGCAACAGCATGAAAACAGTGCAGAGAAGCCTTTGGAAAAGCATAAGATGAGACTTTGAGGTAAGATAAAGTAACTACAATAATTCAGTGCCAGAACACATTGTTGCTACATGTACAGTACTGACGTGGTGATGAGTACAGAAGAACAATGAGCCACAGACGGAGCAAACTAGAATTTTACAGAGTATTTGACGGAAAGAAATGACAAACTATTACATGTAGAACATCGTTTGCAAATGTTTGGGACTACTGAAACTTCAGCAACTCCAGCATGAGAGATTTTGTGCATAGAGTGTGTGCTGGATTCTTGGTATTATATCACCGTCAATGCTTTTCTTGGTCGCTGGAAGCCACCTGCTGATCAGCTGACGATTTGTTCCAAGCAGGCCGTTTTGATGTCAGCTCTCTTGGTCCAGTCGCCGAAGTATATACTGTCCTACTCGTTGCCTGCAGGAGAGGACGACTGCTCCGATGCGACTCCAATAATACCTGGCAATATTAATTTTTCTTCTTGCGCAGCCATGCGCATGGGCTCCGACGAACAAGGACTACTGCCGGGAGGACGCCTGCCGCGGCTCGCTTTTAATAACACCTCGCATTATTTCTTCTTGCGCAGCAATGCGCAAAGTGTTGGACAAACGAGGACAACTGATTCCGAAAGGAAATACGACGCTGAAGACGATGAGCTACATGGCAAATGCGTGCAATCAAGTGAAATGCCCGAAAAATCCTTGCCGATTTTACTCGAACTGTACGTGAGTTCAAAAAATTGCCGCATCATGACGTATGTGGGCTCAAACGAAAGCTGAGGGCCTCAGCTACACGCTGCGCCACACGAGAAGGCCCTGCGCAGATTCCGTGCAGCTACAGATCGATCTATGCATGCGCCTTTCCGTGGTGCCACGCATGTACGCGATTCAGCGTTAGCACTTTTTGACAGGTCGTGTCACGTGACTGAAGTGCCTACTCTTACAGCGCACTAGCCAACGCTCAACTGGCTTCAGGGTTGTTTATCTAAGCACATGTACAAGTGACGGCGGGGACGGCGGGGAAGACGAAGGCTGTTTTGTGTTTTCGTATGGGGTCCCTTCTGATTATGCCAAACCGGGTATAGTATTGCTGTTATCATTGTGCATACACATGACATCATGCACAGGAGATCATGCACATGGTTGGTTTGGTTGGTTTTTATTATTTCAGTTCGTTGCCTCAACAGTACAAAGTACAAATATCAAGAGGGACGACATCATGCGCATGACATCATGCACATGACCTCATAGTACAGTCAAATCTGCCGTTAGCGACCTCTGCTGTAGGCGACCATCTACCGTTAGCGACCGATTTTCCGTGCACCGACGGTTTCACATACAAACTGATCTGTCCAGAGCGACCATCTGCTGTGCGCGACCAGCGACCGCGATTTCATGCACGGTGGCTGCATTCAAATCTGCTGTAAGCGACTGCGACCCAGGTTCAGTAAGGTGCGAAAATGTACTTGCCAGTGCGCTGTCAACTGCAAAGTGTGAAAGTGCGCTGTCTTGCAAGTGCGATCGACTGGCGCCTGGCCTGTACTCAGGCTGTGCTGTAGCTCTCAAGTCCAGGCAGTGTCGATCTACTGCCGTGTCGCATCCGCGTACTATACGGGTATGGTCGTCGTTGAATATCCAATAAAATGATAATTATTAAAAATCTCATTTTTCTCGTCGATTTGAGTACATGGAAGCATATACCTGGTATGCCGGATTTATCATACATCTGTCGTAAGAGACCATCTGCCGTAAGCGACCGCTTTTTCTTGCACCAAGGGGCGGTCGCTTACAACAGATTTGACTGTATATGCACATGACCTCATAGTACATGCACACACGGTGACAGACAGATACTATGTAGATACTAGTAGGTAAAGTACTTACTTCCAGTGGGCCACCAAAGGTCCGAAGCCACGTACTGTCTGTTCGTTGAACGTTGCTACTAGATCACCGCTGTATCGCTTTGCCATATCGTGCAGCTGCACAGGTAGGCATAAGCACGTACAAGATGGTGCAGCACGGACAGAGCTGAAACGCCTGAAACTAACTGAACTACACGTAGTACGGCAAGCCATTTTAAATACCAGCCATTGCAACAAGAGAAGGGTCTTGGATTGTTGGTACGGCAAGGTCAAGTCCATTCTGACAGAAAACAATGACAAAACTGCAAAGTAAAATACTGTTCATTGCGCCGCCGTACGTCAATGAACATTACATGTACACTCCTGGTTCATATACACCGAGGTCAGGGGATAACAAACTCATTGTAGCATGTTGCTAAGAATCTGCGGTACATCGGATGCGCGCGCCTGTTTGTGTGTGTGTGTGTGTGTGTGTGTGTGTGTGTGTGTGTGTGTGTGTGAGAGAGTGCGTGCATGTGCGTGTGTGCGTGTGTACGTGAACAACTTTGTGCTGGTACACACCTGTCCAGCAGACAAGTCAAACTTTGAAGCAGAGCTAGCGAAACCATCAAGACCAGTCAATGGTAGATCCTGGAAGTTGGACCTGGTGAATCCCTGGACTATGTTCTCGCCCAGCTCACTGTACACGCAGAAACAAGGCGGCATACATAGGCACAACAGTGCAAGGAACTGAGCATGATGACTAACTAGAGAGTAACTACAGATGCCATGTGTCTCCACCAGTGCAAGTGCCCGGCACACAGTGGGAATGGAGCACCAACCCAGCACGAACATGGACGGACGGGAGAAAGCCTTTGTGTTTAAAACACCTTTCTTCAATTTAAGATTTAAGACAGGGATTACTACAGGGATTACTACAGGGATTGCTACAGGGATTGCTACAGGGATTACTACAGGGATTACTACAGGGATTACTACAGCGATTACTACAGCGATTACTACCCATCTCAGTGCACCAGGCAATCCGGAACGTCAATCGGTCTCACCAGGACTTCACACCACTTTAGAGTTAGTAGCAACGGACTTACTTGAATATAGTGTTAGACGGGAACTTGTCGGTATCGGAGAAGTCTGTACCGAGACTCTCCAGAGCTATCTTGGCAAACTGGGATGCCTGCAGTAAGCGGAAAAAGAAGAAGAAAAAGTTGAATTCGGATATTGAGCCAACGTAAATCACGGATAAATAAAGGAGGGACCACGTGTTACGGGTTACGACCTACTGCGCCTCGTAGATGTGTTGGAGCTAGGTGTCAGGTCGTTGAATGTCTCAGTACTCCGTGTCAGTTTTGTGCCTTATTGTTGCACTTGCTGACTGTATAGGATCCACTTCTTTGGTACACAGGTCATAACTTGTAACATGTGGTCCTTCCATTATTTATCCAAGAAGGAAAAGATACAGGAATTACAAACAGTGCAGTATCGGAAATGGGAGCACAGAGGCAACTCAGGAGACAGGACTCACTGCACAAACTACCATCATGTTACGAATAACAAGATGAACTCATTGGACTCAAACCGCCATTCGGAACCATATGGGGTTCAATGGTGCATTGAACTCTATGGATAAACTCAAATTAGAATGTGAGAAATACGGGCACCCAAGGGACGAGCCCAACTGACTGGTCTACTCTCTTCATGTTGGCCAGTGTCTTCACTGTGCCTCAGTGGACAGTTTGAGATGTTGGAATACATACTAATACAAACTGTTTTCATTTCAAAGGTGTCCTCGCAGGTTTGGGATAGACTGCGTCTAGCTTGCAGTGTGTGTGTGTGTGTGAATACACCTCCACTGGACTGCCACACAGTGCCCTTGATTTTCCAGATGTCTGTGAATTCGTTACAGGCATTCATTTATCCGTTTCCGGACATGTTCCACTGCATTGCTGCGGTCACTGAGTGTGAGCAGACGCTGACTTACCACGTCCTTTCCGACGCGCAGTCCCTTGCTCGTAGCATCCTTGATCTCGTCGAAGCTAACAGGCTTAGTGATGTCAGCAACGTCTTGGGCATTCAGAAACTTGCCCACGCTCGGCATGTCATCCAGGTCAAGCCGCGAGGATCCCTGAAATGGAGGCGCACAGGTATAGCGGCAGTGATTAGTCGACAGGAATCTCTAACTAAAGAGACCGTCTTCTTGGTGCACTGATGCCATTTCCACGGACATATTCAAAACCTCAAAAAGTTGGATCACAACTAACATGAGCTTGACAATCGGTGTCACTGTCAGAACTACTACTAGAAATGCTCAGCATTAGAAGACTGGTCGTACTAGGGAAGCCGCTGAATTAATTTAAATGCGCAGACTGAGCCACTTACGACGGACAGTTTCTTGAGGATTGTACGACCCTGGAGATTGCTGAGGGCGTCCGACAGCTTGGCGTTGAGGATAGCTGACTTTTTCTTGAATGCCGACTTGACGTCCATCTTGTCAATATCGTCCGTGGAGAAGCCAGCCAAGTATGGAGCCACTGCCTCAATATCGTCGCTAGTGAACGAGCTGACCTGAGGACCGGCAGCAGAATGATCACAGCATTATGCGCGTGTGTCAGTGTACATGAGCTTAGCCAAATTCAGCATGTCGATAATATTAAATCTTATACATGACAGTCCAATCCCCCCCCCCCCCCCGTGTAGGTATTCAAAGGCAAGGGGAAATTCAGTGTGGCAATGACATGCCACGCCAGAGAACTGCAACAAGAAATATCTTGCATAGAAGCGTGAACCGTCCTGAGCAGCCTTACGTGCAGAGCAGCCCAAAAAC